CTTCTTCTGACGCTGATAAGATAAGATGGATGTATACGTGACCGAGGGTCTCGTGAGGGTGACCGATCGTGTCGCTGAATTCGCCACTGGCATTCCATTCCGGATCCGAAGAACCCGAATCTTCCGAGGGATGGAAGCCCTATGCAAGGTCGAGTTTGTGGAACACACGTTCTGAAAGTTTCCTATTGCAGCGGGATCCTTCTCGCGGCCACCGCTTCGTAACACTGACTAAACCGTCGGAGTGAGAATTTCATCATCGAATCAGCCCATCGGATCGAAGCGTTTATATTTGCCAAGCAGGGAAGCCATTCATTGCACTTGCTAACGACCAACCATGTCCGCGCCGACGACCGTACCGCTCCTCCTCAACGGCGAAGAAGTCCTGTCTCCATCCTCGTCGACGTTCCCCGTCGAGTCCCCCGTCTCCCACCAACTATTATGGTCGTGTTCGTCAGCATCGCCGGACCAGGCCGCCGCTGCCGTGCAGGCAGCCTCAATGGCGTTCCCCGTATGGTCGAAATCCCGCTCTGCCGAACGACGGAGGGTGTTTCTGAAGGCGGCGGATCTTATCGCCGAGCGCAGCGAAGAACTCAAGTTGCACATGCACCAAGAGACGGGCAGCCCCGACGCCTTCTGCACCTTCAACGTCATGACCGCGGCAGAGCAGATGCGCGATGCGGGAGGGCGGTGCAGTGCCATTATGGGCAGCATTCCCATGACGCAGGATGAGGGGACGGCGGCGCTGGTGCTCAAGGAACCGTACGGCGTCGTGCTGGGCATCGCCCCATGGTACGTCCGGTTTCTGCGGCTTTTAGATCCGCCGGGGTGGAAGAGCATCTGACCGAGATTCAAATATCAGGAACGCACCATATATTCTCGGATTCCGTGCCGTCATCTATGCGCTAGCGGCGGGGAACACGTGTGTGCTCAAGGGCTCGGAACTTAGCCCGCGCTGTTTCTACAACATCGGGCGCATTCTCCTCGACGCTGGGCTACCCAAGGGTGCTTTGAACGTGATCTACACCCCTCGCGCAGAGTCCGCCGCGATCACCACCCAACTTATCAACTCCCCCGCTGTGAGAAAAGTCAACTTCACGGGAAGCAGTGCAGTAGGCTCTATCATCGGGTCGATAGCGGGTCGTGCACTCAAGCCTTGTCTGATGGAACTCGGTGGCAAGGCAGCGGCTATCGTGCTGGACGACGCGGATCTCGAGTTGGCCGCCTCCCAATGCGCTGTTGGCGCATTCTTGCACTCCGGACAAATCTGCATGAGCACCGAGCGCATCATCGTGCAGGAGTCCGTCATCGATAAATTCCGACCGGCACTGCAGCAAGCAGTGGCAAAGTTCTCGCCTGCCGACGCACTGTCTCCAGTCCTCGTCCAGGCAGCGGCTGTTGACCGCAATCGTTCTCTAGTCGCAGACGCGCTGAGCAAGGGAGCCAAGCTCCTGCACGGCGATCACACCGTGGACGAGAAACATCCGGAGACGGGCCTCGCTTCGGGGACTCGTTTGCGTCCGCTGATTGTGGATGGAGTGACTGCGGACATGTCGCTGTATAGCCAAGAAAGCTTCGGGCCCAGCGTCAGTGTCATTTCGGCGGCCAGCGAGGAAGAGGCAGTCAGGATTGCCAACGACAGCGACTTTGGACTGAATGGCGCTGTCTTTACACGCGATCTGGCGCGCGGACTCAGAGTCGCAAAGCAACTGGAGTGCGGGTGAGTCTCATTCGCAGAATGGACCTGAGCTAGTCTGAAGATCAATCAGGTCCATCCACATCAACTCGATGAGCGTCCATGATGAGGCCAACCTCCCTCACGGGGGCACCAAACACAGCGGGTGGGGACGGTTCAATGGCCAATGGGGAATTGAGGAGTTCTTGCGGCTCAAAACAGTGACATACAAAGAATAACCTTGTCTGTGAAGGATACAAGTTGTAGATCTAATCCCGTCAAAACGTCGTCTTCGACAACGGACTGGCTGTCATCGAAGATGAGCGTATGGTCGTCACTGTCGTGCCCTTGCCAACCGGTATCGCAGGAGGCTTACGTCGTTTGGGCGTGGGCGGTGGCGGTGGCGTCCGACGATGGGGCGTTGGCTGAGTGACATGGACTTGCAGATGCACAGGGCTCGACGGCAAGGATGATCCACTGAAACTCGTCGCAATGGACGACGGAACGGTCATTGAGCTGGCGCTTGGGTCGTGAGTTGATGGAGCCCGGTGTCGATTTGCGTGAGAACCATCCACGATTCCAGAGTGGGCGCTCCCTTTCCGAACTGGAGCCGGCAGGACTGCGGATGCCACGAGATTGACCGAACTCGCGTTGCTGGGTCTTCTCGGAGCATCGGTCGAGGAACGAGACGCGGGCTGGCCAGCAGCCGCTCCTGGTAGAAATTCAACACTCTTGCTGCTCCTGAGGCTCCTGCGCCCTTGAAGATCCAGGGGCGACGGGGTGTGTAGATGGGACTGGGGCGCAGATGCTTCGCTGGAGCCTCTCCTGCCTTCCTCCGCAGGAGGCGATTTGCGGAGATGGACACACCAATCTCCACTTAAGCATCGCTCCACAAGCCGTCTCGTGGTCGGATTGATATCCCGCACACCGGCATTCGAAATCAGCCCTTCCAAGGCCAGCACGATTTGCGGCCGCTTGTACGGGATTTCTCGGAGCTGCGTTTTTGTCAAAAGCGGATGAAGAACACGTAGATAGGTGTGCCGGAGCTAGTGCAAAGTCAGCTGTTCGCCACATGCATTGTCGCTGGTCATACGCACGGATTCACTATCATCATCCAGGTCCGTGAGCTCTCTCAGGAAGACATCCACCAACACGCAGAGATCGTTCGTATAAAAGTATTCCGAAGTCCCTTTGGTCGTAAATAGCAGATACAGCAGCTTCAAGACGAGCAGCTGCATGCACAAGTCTTCAGGGGTATGCTCTAAGATAAATTAGATTGCTTCTGCAGGCAAAGACATGACCGCACCGGCACGATTGAGCATAAAGATCATATTCTCCCCAAATGTCTTGCTCGATCCCAGTCTCCTCATCAAGATGCGCAGAACCCGGTTCGCGGGTTCAGAGGAGGAGGGATGCTTGTCCGAGTGGTGCTTGTCCGATTCAGAAGGGAGAGATGCGACCATGAATTGCTCGTTAAGCGCAACCTTTCCTGGCGTCAGCGACGTCAACAGCGAGCATGAACACGACATACGATAAGCTTGATGCACGAGTAATTGAAAACTTCATCTTGCATATTCCTGGTTTGCTCCACTAGATCGAAGAGGTAATCGAGAAATTTATCGTCGAATATCTCTGAAGACGTGGGTTGAGGAGGGAGGCGTGCAGGCCCTAAACATAGATCGACGTACTGAGGTCATGGGTCGAGAACTTCTGTACCCGACAGACTTCATACACCAGTCGAATGCACAATGAGCGCAACTTCGCTTCGATCGGAATCGGCACCGATGTTGAACCAGGGTGCGACGAGGACGACCCTGAGTTCCCGAAATAGGCATCTTCCTCTTCGGGGTCAATCTCAACGAGAATGTGGTCCATGAGAAGAGGCAGAAGAGGCGTCCATCGTTTACTCGAACGGAATAAATCCGACCGGCGGCGTCCGTGGCAGAGCATGATGTGGTACATGATCAACTGCGAGTGTGGGTCGGTGTTCTTGGAGCAGGGTGCTTGAGCTTAGGAGGTGGCGCGGGGGAGTACAACGACACTCACAGATCTCAACTCTTCTCCAAGCATCTCGCACATCCTCTCAGAGTGGAAGGAGAACAATTCGGACTCGGCAATGAGGTTGCACGCATGCTCGAGCTGCAGGGGACTCTGGAGGTACAGTTCTAGCCGCATATTGCCACGTCAATAGATTTCATGATTGAGCGGGGCACAGACCATGGTAGGCTGCACAAAACGCTGTGTAGCGCCTCAATGTCAAGTCCAGCAGTGATAGCGTGGGGGGCTCTTTCGGCAGATTGAGCACATCCTCCAACTCTGCACACGAGCAGTCAGCAGCGGCAGGGCGAGACCAGGTATAGCGCAAATCATACCAGACCAGAACTGCTGCGCATTCTCGACGAGGTACGTTATGCCCAGATCGTCTTCGACGTTCATGTCGACTGAAGGGCAGTGAGGACCGAAGATGGAAGGACGGCTTGTGACGTGATGTTACCCGGAATAGCAGTCACACAGGTGTTACGCTGTCTCGTGTTTTCCCGCCCCTTCGTGACCTGACGCGTGCGATCCCATCTTGAGTTTCTACCACCACCTCTGGGCGCGGACAGACACAGCCGACATGGGAATCGAGTAGTACGGAGTGTACTTTGGCAAGAATTTGGGTGGCAAGTAATCTGCGTCTGCGCTTCTTCTTGCCTTCGTATCGCAACAATTGGGTTTGTCATCTCGACCGTTTTAGTTCACAAGTGATCCTGGAACGGCAACAATGCTCTCCCATCTCTCTCTTCAACTCTGGTCGAACTATGCACGGGATGAAAGCCTGCCACGTGCTCGCAGTGACCGGTCCGCATCGTTCGACTGGGTCCTACTTGCTGCAAATATCTTGCACGGCTTGCACACTTGCTCTGGCTGCATCTCGGCTCTTTCTCCATGTAGAGTCTCCCGTGGTCAAAACCACCTCAAAAAAATTAAGCAGCGAGCTGCTATTCTATCTGCAGACGAATATCCATTCCATCGTGTGCCAACGGCTGACCTGGATACAGCATGACTTCTCCCATCCCCTTGGTCAAATGCAAACTTTTGTTTGGTCGACAGTCCCAAGGCCAATCTAGCTTTGACTATTCTGGAAGGATGGATATCGATGCTCAGAGTCCACGCCAGATCTACATTCCTGATTTCTTCTGCGTTTGATGCATCATTCTCTCTGTCTCCTGCTGCGTTTTCCGAGCAGGGTTGTGCCGTGGTGGCGGAGAATGTGGATGAACGAATCGCTTGATGCGCTACCCCCAACCCGCTACGGGTCAGTTGACCTGTCAAACTCTCAGCCGGTGACACCAGCAGATCATCTCCGTTCTGAGGGGGTGGCTGTGGCCGCTCGGTGTACCTCACCTCATAAGTGGTCCATCGAGGTAAGACGATGGCTGAGTCGAGCACATAACACTGAAGCATCCATGGCAGCCTTCACTGCACCCCTGCTGAACAACGGAGAAGACTTCTTCTCATCCGCGACATTCCCGGTCAACTCCCCCGTGTCTCGCCAGACGCGGTGGACATGCTCAGCTGCATCTGAGGACGACGCGATCGCTACTGTGCAGTCCGCTGCAGCCGCCTTTCCGTCTTGGTCGAAAAGCCGCCCCGCTTCTCGTCGTACTATCTTTCTCAAGGCAGCGGACTTGCTTGAGAAGCGCCCGAGCAGTTGAAGGAACATGAGTCTCGAGAGACGGGAGCTTCGAAGGGCTATACAGCCTTTGACATCGTGACGGCCGCTGACGAGCTCTGGGATGTTGGAGGCCGCTGCAGCGCAATCCCATGACTCAAGAGCAGGGGACTTGTGCACTGGTGCTCAACTCACCCTACGGTGTCGTGCTAGGCATCACCTCATAGTACGTTTACTATCGTCGGCTTGACTACAATCTGATCTGAATCTGTTCAGGAATATGATTACATATATCTGGGCTTCAGAGTAGTATCATGTGCGCTTGCTGCCGGAAACACTTGTGTCTCGAAAGGCTCTGGACTCGGTCCTCACTGTCCCTATAACATCGGACGCAGCTTCACAAACCCCGGGCTACCCAAAGGCGCTCTGAACGTGATCTACAACCCCCGCGACTCTCCTGCTCAGATCATGACTCTCCTGATCGAGTCCCCTACTGTCAAGAAGCTTAACTTTACGGGAAGCAACACAGTGGGAAGCAGCATCTGCGCGGCCGCTGGCAGAGCCGTCAAGCCTCGTCCAATGAAACTCGGCGGCAAAGCAGCGGCTATCGTGCTGGGCGACGCTGATCTCGCGATGGCTGCCTCCCAGCATGTTCTAGGTGCATTCATGAAGGCGAGCCAAATGCGCATGGGCACCGAGCGCGTCATCGTGCAAGAACCCATCGAAGACCAATTCTACGGCGAGCAGGGGAAGAATTCCAACCTGCTAACGCGCTGTCTCCCATCTTCTTACAGGCTGCGGACGAAGCAGTTAGGATCGCCAACGACAGCGAATGTGGAATGAAAGGGGATGTGTTCACACGCGATCTGGCGCGCGGACTCCGAGTCGCAAAGCGATTGGAGAGCGGACGAGTTTCATTCGTCGAATCACGTCTGGCACTGAGGATCAATCAGGTCCATTCAGATCAACTCGATGAGTGTACACGATGAAGCCGATCTCCCCCATGGTGGAGCGAAAAGCAGTGGATGGGGCCGTTTCAATGGTCAATAGGGAATTGAGGAGTTCCTGCGCCTCAAGACAATCACATGTCAGGAATAGCGGCAAGCATCCGTCTGCTGCAGTCTGGATCTACCGAAGTTTCTGATCTTATCTTAGACCTGTGCGGCGTGTAATATCATGTAAATTTAGCCTAGCCGAAGGTCGTTTTCTTATTAGCGACCTCTCGTGGTGCCGATTCCAGCATGCTTGCTCTCCTAAATCCAACCGCCCTCAAAACACCGCCAGGGTTTCGTGGATCCCTCAGCAGCGCTTGTTTTTGGGGGCATGCAAGGCCCGCTGGGACCATGCCAAGAATGGTCGGGGGGTCTATAAACGTCCCTTTTCGCCCCTCCAGGACCGCTTGCACGTGGACCAGCGCCCGAGAACGTTTCCAACTGCTCGCTGATGAATTGAGTCCAATAGAGTTCGTTCGGAGGATCGCCATGAATTGCAGTCGCCAGATGCAAGGCGACCATGCACTCTTGCTGATTTGCCCCGTATTTTATGTCGCCATGTTGGCGATAGTTCCGGATGAAGAACACTATATGTGGCGGCCTAGGTCCTTTCCCGTGTGTCGTTTGAGCGCAACAGGGCGGGCATTAACGCCGAACGTTTGCAACCTCAGCTGGATCCTCAGGGCGCGGAAGCTGGCTGAACAACTTGAAGCCAGTCTGATGCTGATTGAGGCCAAGGATCCATCCTCAATAGGGGCCTGAGACCCAACGACAGAGAGATTGGAGTTGCAGCAACATCAGCGCCGCTGACGGGAGCAGGCGAGATCATCACCACGCGCAGCATTTTCGGAACCGTGGTACTCCCGTGCTGGCCAGCCAACGCGGAGATATTGCACGCCTTTGCGACATTCAGTTTCGGACCTAGGACGATTAACGTCGCATGGGTACCCCTCGCTTCTTCAACGGGTCTTTCGAAATGCAGGCATGGTGGTCTGGACCGTTCGAGGATCTAGCATGGTAGTTCGCTTCATCATTGTCCAATGCCAAAAACGCTGCATGGTCGATCTACTCGTTATCCATGTTGGGCCGGGGTTGCCTGACTGGTTTCCGTCCAATCCAAACGATATAGTTGGAGAAAGACAATGCATGGTCACAGACAAGAAATGCTCGGCTTCGAGAACGACGGCGAAAGCAATTTAGAGGCTGCATTCGACTGTCCCACCACGCGTGTCAATGAGAACAGAGCTGCAATGGAAAGCGGTTCGGGATGTCATACGGTAGCAAAGTCTGGTCAGGCTAACTCCGCCTCGCCTCAGCCAGTCCCTACACCTTGTTCATCGCGTCTCCGTTTCCGAGTCTTCCGTATTCTGACCAGCACCCGCCGGTTCTGGAGGAGGGTCGTAGTCGTCGTCAAACTGCCCACCCCGCCCATTCGCTGTTGCCATATCCAGACACTCCTGGCAGGAGGTGAACATCCATCCTCCTGGCGTCTCCGCCATCCTCCCCTGGTCGTCCCCGCACGTCTCGCACGTCCAGTGCGAGTCGTTTTCCGCCGTGTCAATCAGATCCCCGAGATCCAGCCCACCGCCCAGGTCGGACGTGTATGTCCCAGAGATAGTGACCCGCAAGCCGCCGTACTTCTCTTTAAGCCCGGTGTAGGTGATGCCTGGATGATGCGTCTGGAGCGCGGCGCTGAGCCAGCGAAGCAGGCCTTCCCATCCGTTGCCAGTGTAGACTTCTCTGGGATGCCCGAAGTCGGTGAAGAGCGCTGGAAAGTCGGCTGCGAGACGATAACCGATGCCAGTCTGGCTCGCGGTCATAGTTCAATTCAAGATTTGGCAAGTCATCTCTGACAGCCGTTGATTCAGATGTGATCCGTCGTCGACCGGCTTTGTGACATTGCCGACACGGAAATATTACAGTTTTCGTATTTAGCGGATGGAGATCGGTTACAGCCGCCACAGCCTCATGCGTCGGAACCGCCACGCAACCGCGCACACACCCAAAGCGTACGTAGAGAGGACAGTCAACGACACAAATGCGCCGGCGTACATGGTTTTCATGGAGAGATTCACGATTCCCGTTCCGAGGTTTGCCTTCAATCCAGTCAGTCGCCGTGCAGCATCAGAGGGGAAAGCGACTGACAAGCAAGAACAACGCGAGGCTGTTGGTGTTGATGGCTTCGAGGAGGAGCGGCGCGCGGGCGGGTGGTGCTTGGATGACCATCGAATGATCGTTGGAATGGATGCCCACGGCACTCTTCTTTTTGACGCGAGGTCCAGGAGTGAATATCATATCGAGGCAGATGTATCCAAGAATGAAACTGGTGTTGAATGCTGTGACCCACAGCACATATTGAAGATTGGCCTGGGCAGAATGGGGATAGTAACAAGAGATGGAATAGTGCCTACTAACCGTTTGCCTTGAAACTCCCTGGTCTATTTTCAGCAAGCTCGCGAGGCCTAGCAATATCCACCAGACTATAGCGTACGATGCCAGCTCTGTGGTTGTTTTATCGTTGCGGCGAGGGGCGGCAAGCTCGGCTGTCGTCCAGCGGCCTTGCCTCAACCGTTCGAAGAAATTTGGAGACGGCGGAAGCAGTGTCGTGCCCATGGCCAGTCCGAAAAGATGGATGCCGAGATAACCTTTGGCAAGATCAGCATCCACGCAAGCCTGTGGCGAGCAGCTGACCGAGAAGGGAAGCGATTCCTTCCTTATTGGCACTGATCAGGTTGATGCGAGGGGCTGTTTTGACATAGTGCTTCAGCCCCAACTGAGATAGCGCCAATTGGTGCACTGCATCCCAAGTCAACAGCAAAGCCGGCGAGAGCGCTATGCACGCACATAGAGAAACACCGAGCGCGAGGATTGACACTGGAACGCGACGGATCAACGGATGTAACGAGACTTGCATGATGGGCAGGACAGCCAAAGTGAGAAAGAAATTCCAGTGTGTTCCATATTCGGTCTCGTGCTCCTGGTCGTCTGTTGACATGCGGTTTCATGTCTGGAAGCGAACAGGACGCACGGGGTAGTCTGTGCCCTTGACCAATATAACACGGATGCCCCCGAGCACCAGCACTGGCACCATCTTCTTCATAATCGCAAACACTTTTGGAACGAGGGGCGCATCAAGATGCTGGGCATTCTTGAGAAGGGGGATAGCGGAAACGACACCGCCGGAGAAGACGAACGATCCTACGCCGAGATCCATCTGCAACCTGTCAACGCACAATTCATCTCAGTCGGAATGCACGCACCACAGACACTCCATATGACTCGCATTTCGCTAGCGCACGAGGAAACACGGGGAAGTCAACCGCCAAGATCCCAAGGATCGTCATCAACATCATATGCGCCCGATAAGTCGTGAGGGCGGGTAGGACGGGCAAACTTGGAGTTGAAGCAGAGGTTCGCTGGGCGTTGTGCTGAAAACGGGGCTCGTCAGGACTTGGTCGAGGGCTGCTCAACGGCATTAGTGTCCCGGGAGAAGGAGTCCGCCAAAGTATGAGCCCGGCCGGGACGAGCAGCAGGACGAAAAACGTAATAGGCTTCATTGCGAACCACGTCATCGACAGCAAGAGAGGGAGGACGAGGATTGTCCATGATACAAAGAATGATGGGTGCCGACCGGGGGCGTAGAGTCGTGTTTGAACGGTATGATACAGGAATATGGAGGCCTACGCTAACCAGTTCTAATGAGATTTCAATTGAAAGCACCGATAGATCGCGAACCAGGGCAACAGAGGAGATGGAGTTCACGTGGGAGACGGTCGACCCCGTCATTCCAGAGACGAACGCCTCTTTAGCGGCCTTGTAATCGTCGTCCATTGTGGTAAGTTACTAAAAGGGTATGTCGTGCTGCCTGTGAGAGCACCGCCACATTCTTGTTCTGTTTCTGCGAGTGTCAGTGTCATCCACCATGTCGCGCGGTACGCGTCCTCAATTGTTCTTGGAGGACTTGGACTCGTTCCCCGCGCCTCCGACGTTCATTCCTCCATCCCCTTCCACGCCATCTAATCCACCGCCCTCGAAACCCCCCGCTCAGCCGCTTCCTCCGGTGCCAGGACCCAGTCGGATATCCGATACCGACACCTTGCTTTTTCTTAATTCTACAGGGCAATCACGTTCACGTCGTTCCTCGAAACTGTCATTTCGTGACGTCGGGGAGAACAATCGAGACTCATTTGCTTCAAACCGCAGTTCCCTACTCAGTGTCTCTCTCGACCCCAGCTCCCAGCGGTCGTCTCCAGTGACGCCCAATTCTGCCACCCAAAGCCCCCAGCGCCACAGCCTTGTTTTCGCCATTCGGGAAAATCTGGATTCGCAGGAGCATCTGCTCGATGCTCCCCTTTTGCGCGGGCTACAAAAAGCCCCTTTGGACGACGACAACGTGTTAGACGATGTACCGCCCATTATGCCCGCCTCCGTGGCCTCCGTACTTTCTTCCTCCGCCGGCCGCAACGTCCCTAGGTTGAAATCTCCGCGTGCCGCTGGTCGCCGCCGAGAAAGCATCGCCTTAAGCTCGGTTGCCCTACCGGAAGATGATAATGATTCAGACGTCGACTTGGCCCTACCGGCTGTCTTGCCTCATCCTAGGAAACCATTGGAGTCTCCTAGTGTCGTTGACCCGCGCGCTCCTTCGCCGGACATCACCTCTATTATCGCCGCGACGCCGCGACCGCGATTGTCCAGCGTGTCCGGCAAACGGACGTCAGACGAAGACGATTTCATTGACGACTACGGGCAGCCTCGCAACAGCGTGTATTCGACGCGTTCGCAAAACGGGGAGGACTTCGCGTTCGGGTTCCCGCAAGACCACGAAATGCAGAGTGTCGCGGAGGAGAGCGAAATAAGTGGACTTCCTTGGGACGAGGCAAACGATTCAGAAGACTCGGATTTGGATTTGCACACGTCTCTCCCGTATGTGTACAGTGCATTCCCTCTCTGACGATCCTCTGACCCTGTTTCCAGGCAACTTATGCTCCATCATGGCTACCTCTCTCCGCGGTCTAAACTGCTCACGAGCTCGAAACCATTCCCGGCGTCATCCTCGAGCGCGTCCCTGCGCTCGAATGCGTCCTCTGCAAGTCAGCTGCCACGCGACTCGCGTGATACTCCGTATCGCCGAGTGCGGCACCGAGATGGCAAGACATTGCGTGGCGGGATCGGACTCACGACGGGTCTTGGATGGAGCGACTCGGAGGATGAGGACGCGCCCAGCGCATTAACGAAACGCTTGTCCCAGCTGGATCTCAAAAACGGCGGACTTAGTCGATCCGCATCACGATCTAGTCTACGTTCGACAGCTTCCGGACGGCGATCATCGAGCTTCTCAACGTCAACTTATGGCGTTCCATTTTCGCGGTCAACGTCTTTTTCTTCCGCGGCTGGGTTCTCGCGCTCCGTGTCAGGCTTAAGGCGAACTCAAAGCGAGCATGATGACTCGGCGACGGATACCGACGAATTTGGAATGATTCAGGCCCGGCCGAGACGCAAAAGCGGACCCGGAGGCGCTCCACCGACAAGCTGGACTGGGCCCAGGCGGAGTGATCCACCTGCAATGCCGCGGTATCGGAGTCGACCCAGCTCGGTTCTTACGGATGAAAGCGCGGAGACGACCTACACAACCGACGCCGGGAGCAGTCCTCTCCTGCGCACGAAGAGTCGCGTGCTGCGGGTGATGGCTGCTGACAAAGAGAAGCCACTGCCTCACACTCCGGCCCGGTTGTCCCAGTCAGTGTCCTCTGTGCCCTCCTCACCGCGCTCGCAGATGCGCCCGCTCCGACTCCAGACACGCTCCAGCCTTGGTTCTGGGGGCGGAGCGGACCGTTCGCCCGTTCCGGTGCCCTCCGTGCGCGAAAGCACATCGACCATGTCGATTCACTCGACTAGGACAAGCGCCTCAGGCTCGCTCCTGTCGCCCTCGTCGTCTGGTTCGGGTTTTGCCTACGCGCGAGCCCCCTCGCCGTACCGGTCTATGCCGACGACGCCAGCGTCCGAGTCTACTCCAAACAGTGGACTGGCGCGGCCGAAGCCGAGAACCGGAACTGGCATGTCCTACCGCAACTCGTCCTACGGTGCATCTGGTATTGGCCGCGGGCGAAAGGTTGTTGCGCTCTAGATGTTCTGCATGTATCTTTTTCTGTTCGATCCTTCGTGCTATACCTCATTACTACCTACCACATACCACACTCATTACCGGAACATGGATTGTACTCTATACTTAATTGTAGCGCCCAATGTATATACTATTTGTCTTTCCAAATGGAAGCAGGGTCTGTTCGTCAAGTGAGTGTGTCATTTTGATTAGTATGTGCAGCTATCTATGTATATGCGTCTCCGAATGCAGAATCCAAAAAGAGTGTGTATGTATAGTCCGTGGAAAGCGATTGTGGCTCGCTTTCAGTGCAGCAGAGCGATCGCCGCAATGCCAGAGATGAAGCTCACGGCAGCAGCACCGACCAATTCACCTCCAAAGCCAACACGCGTGCCGCGGATGGCAGCGCTGGATCCCGAAGCAGCAGCGGCTGAGAAGTAATCGATTAGCTTTTAGGTTTATGACCATGAGGAACAAGCGCACCTGCACCAGTGCTGGTAGCCTTCGCACCACCTGAGACTTTAGCAGAACCACCGCTGGCAGCAGCGCCGTTTGCAGCGCCGTTGCCGGCTCCGGCAGCAGCGGTGGCTCCGGCAACGCCAGCAGTGTAGCCAAGCGAGGCCAGCGCGATGCCGTTCGAAATGCTGGAAGTCGTGACACAGTTCGAGGAGCTAGGGGTGAAGTAGGCGGACGACGGGGTCACGGTCGTGCCAACCGTGTAGGATGTAGGCAGGCCGTCGCCACCAGTGTATACACCGGCATAGTACTGAGCGAATGTCGAGAACAGCGTGGTGCCCGCGGAGGTCGCGGTCGGGTACCAGCCGGGAGGGTAGTTCACGTCGGCATCACAGGTTTCGCTATCAGGGGTCAGTCAGTCTATACCCTACGCAGACGAGATAGACGAAAGACGTACAATGTGCCATTGAAGTTGTAGTTGCCAGGCATGTTGTACGTGCAGCCCATCTCGTCGAGCTCGTGCCAGCACATGAATGCGGACGAGTACGTCGAGTTAGCATTGGTGCACGCGCGGATGCAGAACTGGTTGTAGTCGATGAATAGCATCCACTCGGCGATCGGCTGGTCCGTGCCTCCAATGTTGACGGTGACGTTACCCCCGACGGGGTTACCAGATCCGGTGGCACCGTGCGGATCGAGTTCTCCTCCCCAGTCACCGGCAGGAATGTTCAATTTCGTGAGATCGCCGTAGCCCATGATCTGCACGTAGAAGTCGGTCTTGATGAAGTTGAGACCAGTGAACGTGCCGTCGGGAATAACCCGGGCGTTGTTACGGGGTTTGGTACACCATGCAACTTCTTCTGTCTGCGAAATTGAGTCGCCGAGGATATAAGGAACAGAGAACGCACTTCAGTGTCAGAGATGTTGGCCACGGTGGGTGGGGCGAACAGGCAGAAGTCGTCGATGGAGTTCAGACTCAGTAGACGCGCGTAGGACGTCTGGTTAATTGCTGTGCCCATCGTAGGCACAGGAGGGTTCGTTACACCCTGTGTGCCAGTCGCGATGACGCCCTCCGGGAAGGACGATTGGGCATGTACAGAGGCAGCGAGGCCAGCAAAGAGCGCGAGAGAAGAGAACATCGTGGGCGGAGTGGAGGATCGTGAAGGGAGAGAGAAGGCAGGAAAATATTATTTTACACCACACCACAGTCCCAATTATAGCTTTCGGCTGTTTGAATCACTGTGATATGTAACGCCCTGTAACGCCACATAGTGACGAGTTTAAAAATAGCACAGCTCTAACCCCGAGGATCGAATTCGAAACGCCGTGACATCGAGCGAACATTTGCGGGACACCAAGAAATCCGCATGCCAGGAAGAGATGGGACTGGTTTACACAGGCTTAGATGCATGGGGGGCGTATCTGGTGAACTGCTATTCTGGTGGGTCAAGGCCGTCGACCTCGTTCAACTACAGAAGCCAGTGGAGGATGATCTCTGGATAGGCTCGAGGGCGAGCCTTATTACACATAGGATGAGTTGCTGTGAGAAGAGTAATGGTGGCAGCTGAACAAACAACGCGCTATACTGGGAAGTAAACGCGTCAAGGTCAATGCGTCCATACACTAGTCAATATGTTTGGACGCCAGCGCTCTTCATACGCTCATCTCTAGCGTCTTCCCACCATGAAGGAAGACTCTGCTGTTATGCGGTTCATGTTCGTACAGTATACGTTCTCTTCAGCACCCTCATATCTGAACGCAGTTCGTTTCTAGCCACATGCCCATAGGCCCACACGACACGTTGTTTTCATACATGAACACGTCTGAGCTAGTCGCGCTCATGGCTACATGTCGCAGTTTCCGAAAGCTCATCCTCGAAACCTATTTCGACATCAATCTACTCCTGCTTCCGTTCTTCGGCAGCATCGCTGAAGTGCGGAGGTTTCGAGACATGCAAGCTGAATCCGGCACAATCATCTCTGGATCCATGGCTTTGCAGTTCTTCAGTCGTACCCGCTGGCCTGAATCTGATCTGGATCTCTATGTAGAGGAAAGATCGCGGCACCATCCCGTTAGATTCCTCGATGCATGCGGATACAAGCATATTGCGCGGCATCGCCGGGACAAGTTTCTGGAAATGTTCGATGATTACTCCTCAGGGGAGGCTACTATCATAGACGTTATGGACTTTAAGAAGGGAAACAAGAAGATTCAACTCATAATTGCCTCTTCACCACCGATGCGGATTATCGTCCTTTTTCATTCCAGTACGTCAACGGCGATTCTCGCTCTACCACCATTTCGACTGATCTACGCCCAGCTGTCGTGATGAATATCATCACCCATGCGCACGCATTTTCGCTGTATCCGAGACCGACCTTTATCGAGAACAAGTTCTTTGCCATCGATACTTCATTTCTTCCTAAAAAAATCCATGCTGCGAGGCAGAAGTATGTCGATCGAGGCTGGCGACTGTAGGCCTCACTTCCCCGCTCGCTCGGAGTTCTCCGGTCTCACTTCGACTGATTGAGATCGAAGTGTAACAAGAATCTATCATGTATGCCACCTACTGAAATTGTACCTATGATCCTTGTGTAGTTCTCGTTGAGTTCCTGTGTCCTTTTCATGTTTCAAGCGTTATGGAGACCTGGGGAGCCACGCTTGTCGCGCGGGAAATGCTTGGGAGAGCGGGCGGACATCTTTGGTTGATATTGCTGCGAACCAACTGGGGAAGGCTGGAGGCATCATGTGGCCAACGGCGACGATCCTCTCAGGCACTCCTTCGCTTCGAGCATCTTCTAGTGTCGGCAACAGATAGTAATCAGCGCTCTGATGGATCGAGTCGGAGAGGCTACAAGTTTCGAGCATGAGCGGCCCGCAGAGCCAAGTCTTTTTTGCCTACGAATATATAAACGATCAGTCGAGAATAAGAGAGACGTGCAGACAGAGCCTCTCTCATCAAAGATGCAGTTCATTCTCCTCCTCGCGACACTCCTCAGCGGCGCTTCTGTAGTCTCTGCCGGTGGAAGAATCGACAAACCGACAGCTGGGACGACCATCACCAGCGGAGCTACGATTGCTTTCGCCTTTCAGACGGGGACGATCACCGGTCAGTCGCTCTGGAACTGTCGTGTAGTGTACACTCACGGAGACTTTCTCTAGGTGGATGCCACCAGGGCTACACGCCTGTGACCATCTACCTCTCGGCCAGTGCGCCCACTGCGCTCAATGCCACTGGTGGTCTCAACCCTGGATCATTCATCAAGTCATACGGTCCTTTCTTGCAGCCGGAATTGGGTTCGTGGCGACGCAGGTTACAGGTCCGAGGAGCTGATCCTGGGTGTACAGGTCTCGGTCCCCTGCCAGGATCCCCGGTACCGCCCAACAACTTGACCATACCGAACATCTCCGCCTACAGCTCAGGCACGTCACTTTTCTTGACGGCGGTCGAGACAACTGCTGCCGGTGCTTGCGCGGTATGTTCAGTTTCACGAGAGTTTCAGCGACGAGTGTTGACAAGGAGTGTGCAGCCGGGTGTTAACCCTAAGATGTACGATTTCACCACCGTCGGCTTGACCGTTGCGTAGAAGGAGTAGCACACGATCGACCCTTGTTGTCGCTACGATAGTTGTCGCTACGATACATAGTATCCGCCTCAGCTTCCAGCCGACCGCGCTTTGGATATTTCGGGGAAAATGTTGTCATGTCAGATGAGAGGGGACGTGCGTGGCTTGTGATAAACTTACGAACAATTTCAACCCTAAGCGGGCCCGTTCGCGTCACAGGCGTGACCTGCCACTCCCTCCTCTCGCGCCCATCCATGCCCGCGAGCAGTCAATCGCCTCCTCCTCGTTCCCCCCTTCCCCGTCGTGCATCGGAAAGCCCTGCGAGGGACGCTGGAGTCAAGGGCATCACCAGAAAAGTCATCAGAACGCTGGAGGGGCTCGGCCACCTCGATCCTGCTCCAGAAGCAGAAATGGAGGACGAATACGACGACGAATCAGAAGTTGCCGCCGCGCTCGACTCTGATGAAAAGAGAGTGGGGAAGCAACGGGCATCCGAGGTGCCTGAGGTAAAAAAGAAGATTGATTGGGAGATTCCGAGGAAGGTGTTCCATTCGTCGATTGGTATGTGGTACTGTGTTAGGCTTTAGGCTGCTGACGAGCATCAACAGGATTCATTACTCTCTGGCTGTACTTGACCCCAAGCATGTCCCCACGCATCGTCGCCATCGCCCTATGGGCGGCGCTTGCCATCATTGCTCCAATAGACTTTGTTCGGCTGCGATCACCAGCTGTGGAGCGCGTCTACGAGCGAGCCGTAGGGTTCCTCATGCGCGAAAGCGAGCGTGTGAGTCGCTTTCTTGATTATCATTCTCATCCCATGTATCGAACACGATGACGCAGCACGGCACCAACGGGACTATCTGGTACATGCTGGGCGTCAACTTCGCCCTCACATTCTATCCGATAGATGTCGCCACAGTGTCTATTCTGATGTACGTTGCTTCTCCTATTTCTTCATGTTTCTTGGTGGCACACGACCTGGATCGCCTCCTGGCGTCATGGCTCTCCTTTCGGCGTCCTTGTGTCGCAAAACTGTCACAAAGGCTGTCACATTCTTGCAGAATCTTTCATTATTACCGTCGATACTCATTTGTCACGCAGCCTCTCTTGGGCAGATACAGCTGCATCCACCATTGGACGGATGTACGGGCCGCGGACGGCGCCGGTCCCCACCAGCGCGTCTCTTTCGTGGCTACCCAGTTGGATCTGGGTGCCTGGGTTCCTTCTTGCACCTCAAGTGAAGGAGAACACCACACGCAGATTGCGTCTCCCTTTCGCTCCGCGCAAGAGCACTGCTGGGTTCACAGCAGCCTGCGTTACCGGTGCTCTCGTCGCGCTGATGTTCTGGGTCGGAATCGCGGGCAGCGCTCCATTCATTGGACCTATCCCGGGTGTGGCAGAAATGCGCGCTGTAGCCGAGGGTGCGTTGCTTGTCTTATCTTCTGGTCTCGTGCTTATCGAGTTGACTCCAGGTGCTGACGGGATCCATGATTACCATTCCCAGTACTCGATTGCTGGACAGTATCTACGAAGCGAGCACGGTCGTTGGTTGCGTGAATGGGTGCCTGAGGGTATCATCGGGATCGTGGCCGGTGCTGGTGCGCAGACGACTCCGGCGAGATTCAACGTTGGTGGATGGATCGGCTTAGCTGCGACTGTGACGTGCGCTGGAATCGTCAGTGGCGTCGCAGAGGCTTTAGGTCAGTCCAAGTTGCGATGCTCCAACGCACAATGACTGATATTGTCAACAGACGTCGGTGGAATGGACGACAACCTCACCTTACCCATCATCTCGGGTGCCGCGCTCATGCTCTTCTTCCGTGTCTGGGGCTGGGCAGTGGGCGCCTGAACTAGACTTGGCAGATACCCTAGATCTCATTGGCGCATCTCGTCATATCTCTACACTACTCGCAACTTACGACCTCCGCCCCGCGCGGCTCTTGACGCTATACCTTGCTACGTTTACACGATTAATGATGTCTTTGCTCTCTGGGCGAGCAAGTGAAAATTGAACTGGGAAGGACTTGGAAAGGGGCATTCTGTCAGGGAAAAGTAGTTATCCAGCTGGTCCGGTAAACGTTGCCCGCCAGGACTTCGACTTTTCCTAGTCCTTTGCGAAGTGGCAGCGTTCTGGGTCCAATTATTCAAGTATGGGGTACCTCAAGGCCGGGTATATGTATACGCCCAAGATCTTGGAGACACCCATACTACTCGCCTTCGCACCCTGTTTTGAAAACTTGAAGGTTCTTATGTGCAAACGGAGGGAACCAGTCGTCTCAGGAACGATCAGCTACGACACTGTGCTAGCGCTTTTGAACGAGATCAAGGAGGAACTGCCGGACGGAGAGGATTGACCTCGATGATGGTTCCCGACGGCTACTTTGGGACACAGAAGCAACTGGATGCTCGGAGCGAAAAACGGAGACGCGCCCCAGATACGGAAGAAGACGAGTCAGATGACGATGAACCAGTTGGTAGTCCTCCCGCTGCTGCAAAGTATCAGCGGTTGGGCGGCGCCAAGCGTGCAGCTACTTCGATTGCCTACTTGCGGCAGCGAGAGCCTCCTGTTCCGTGGGCAGCCGCCGTGGCTGCCGTCGCTGTACCCCAGATCTTCGATGATGAGGCTGAGTAAGCTGAGTGCCACTTTTCAAATATGTAACTCCTGTATCATACATCATTCCCGGCTTAACGATCATATGTTCCATTGCAATCGATATCATCTCTGCAGCAAACCATGCAAGATCTGTGCCCTTTCAGGACGAGTGATCGCTGGATCCGCTTCATCGTCGCTGGTCTCATCCTAATTCGAAAGTATCCGCCACTCAAAATGGCATCACCGAGGCTAAAACGCACAGTCCTGCGGTAATAGTAGGTCTCTGTCTTTTTGGCAGCCACGATTGATTACGTCAACGACGTACTCGGTTATGTAATTAAGCTTTGCTGAACGCACTACATACATCATCGCTTGGGCCTGCTCTGTCCTTCCACTGGACTTCGTCTCCTTCTCTTCCTGTGGAACGACATGACTCCTGAGATTGACCTCGTCATAGCCTTCCGCGCCACGCGGAAGACCAGCCTCGTGAAGAGACAAGCGCAGGCAGACGCACGCAAAGCCGAGGAACAGTACACGCGCCTCATCAAGACTCTGACTGAGGCGGGGTTACGCGCGGTGGGGCGGCGGGGGGAGTCCCTGGGCCATCTACTTGTGTTTGTGTCCTGTCCCAAGTCGCTGCTGCAGACACTGGTGCGGCGCGAAAGGTGCGTACTTGCTCGCCAGAGTCGTCCCGATTTTCTCATGTTTGCTGTCAGGCAGTCCGACTTTCTGCATGGACTACCCGCGACCTCCCTGACGAAAGGAGAAGGAGGTCTTGACGAGGACGAGGACGAGGATGGGCGACGGCTTTCGCCAGCAGAACGCATCCGCCTGGTCCATGCGTACATCGCGTCCATGCCCTCGGATGGGGGACTGGGTGTCTCTCCTGACTCGTCGCAGTGGGATCTTGTCGAGTCTATCATGGCTCTGCACGACAAGGAGTTCAATGAGCACTGGGTGCATGCATGGACGCACAGCCGATATGTCTCCGTCAAGCAGGAGCACCTGCGGGAGCAGTTCGGCGACTCCGTTGCGCTCTATTTCTCATTCCTCAACTCGTATACACAGGCGCTTGTGTTCCCTGCGGCGCTGGGCGTGTTCTATTTCTTCTTCGGCACTCCTTATTCGCCGGTGTACTCGGTGCTTTTGGTTCTGTGGTCAGTGGTATTCGTCGAGTGGTGGCGCATACGGGAACGGATCCTGTCGCTGCGGTTTGGGACGCGAGGCTCCTTCCGTGTCGAGAAACGAAGAGCGCAGTACATCGAGGGAATGCCGTGGTGGAAACACGAGCTACGGATGGTGGCTGGACTGCCGGTCATCCTGTTATTCGCTGGCATCCTCGCGGCTACTCTCACGGCCATCTTTGTCTTTGAGGCCTTTGTGACCCAGCTCTACACCGGTCCAGGACACAAATACATCGTGAGCTTGCCGTATGGATGTTACATTGATGGCTCTGACGACTCGCAGTCATTCAGTCCCACGATTCTCTTTGCTGCACTCGTCCCGCGCCTCATTTCTCTGTACCAGATGATCATGACACGTCTCACCAAATGGGAGAATCATGCACACCAGTCCTCGCACGCGGCTTCCCTGACGCTGAAGACATTCGCGCTCGGTGCACTCGTGTCGTATCTCGGACTGGCATTGAGCGCGTTCGTCTACGTGCCTTTTGGTGAAGGCATCATGCGTGCCGTGCAAGCCTATCTCTGGTCGGCAGAAACCGGCGACTTCTCCCCAGCGGCGGATGCCGCCTCCGGGGCCAAGAACGTGACAATGACAACGCGAATGTGGAACATCGACACATCGAGTGTCGGCCAGAAACTCAACGCGCGTCGGCTACGGGATCAGATGTTTGCGTACACGGTGACCAATCAGGTGGTCAACACGTTCATGGAAATCGGGCTCCCGTTTGTTTTGCGGGGTGTCCAATCGTTCCGGAAGAATGGAAATGGAAAAACAGACAAGGGCAAGAAGCGCGTCGTTTTCGAGGACGAACAGGAGAAAGGAGGGCAAGAGGAGAGGGATCTTCTCGAACAAGTGCGGCAGCAGGTGGAGCTGCCGGAGTACGGGACGTTCGAAGATTACAGTGAGATGGTGACCCAATTTGGCTACGTCGCATTGTGGTCTACGATCTGGCCGCTTGCCCCAGGTGTGTTTATCCGTGTGCGGTAGCTCTTTCCGTTTTTGTTGAACAGCGTTTTCCAGTCATGGCGCTTGTGAACAATTTCTTCGAGCTCCGTTCGGACGCGTTCAAGATCACAGTCCATAATCGTCGCCCACTTCCTGCAAGGACAGACACGATCGGACCCTGGCTGGACACACTGTCGTTTTTGACGTGGCTCGGTGCTTTGACGAACTCGGCGCTGGTCTATCTCTTCTGTCCGCGCTCCCAGAACCACTGCCACGCTATCTCAGCTTCCCCGAACACACTGGATCGTGTGCATCAGCATATCATGTCGGCGGCCGGGGTTCCTGGTGTTGAGAGCGGGTCGACAGGCGGCTCTGCGGCGACACGCGAGCTACTCGGCACGGCCCTTCTGATTGCTCTGGCCGCATCTCATGGCTACATCCTGGTCCGGGCCATCGTCCGCCGGCTCATGGAGAAGGCGATGTGGAATGCCAGCTCTGATGTTCGGCGGATGGAAAGCGAGGAGCGGGAAGTGAAAGCGAGATTCCTTGCCGCCGTCTCGTTCAAAGAAAACGAACTAGCTGACACTTCGGGAGAACTCGACGTGTTTTGGGAGAACGATGAAGGGCTACAGGAGATCCAGCGTATCACCAAATCGGCCTAAGTAATCATGCATGCACCTTTAATTATAATCTTCTGATACGAACTTTGTTGTGTGTGCTAGACTTGTGTACCTCGTAATGATAATTTGGAGACCTCAGTCAGTCACTGTGCAAGTCTCGAGACGAGTCACTCTGTCTGCTTCCGTCGCTCAACTCGAAACAATGCAAAGGGTCATGAGGGAACAGGCGCCAAAGGCCACAATCAAAGCAAGGCCCTCTGCTGATCCAGATCGGGAAACGGGGAGCACTTCATTGTTTCGACGGTCCTCATTGTCATGCTATATAAGTAGAGAAATGACCTTTGCACGACCACCTAGTTCTTCATCTTGATTCGATGGAAGAGCAGACTGCTTACCCAGGGACGGACGGGCGAGCTTCGTTTCGCAACTGGGAGTTTGCGCAGGTGAGCCACGGATCTGCAGGGAGAATGTAACTAAATGGTCAATGATATCAGGCATCTTACGCGCATGTCTCCAACTCAAGACGCGACAGGAACCTCCAAGGCAATCAGTGGCAACACTTGAATGACATCGAAGTGTTTGAAGGGGATCCGGTCCATTTGGCCGCATCAGCATCAGACGCGCCGTGCGAGACGATCGCGGCTTTTAGGACCTCTATGAGCTGGGAGGAGTTGGAGACAGCTGTCGGTTGGGAAAGGGTACACTCGAGTAGAGCCAAGTCTGCCGATGTAGACGAGGAGGAAATTACGAGCACCAAAAGTGTTTCAGCCGATGTCGGCATATATACAGTGGGTTAATTTTCGTCTAATAGGAGATTACAGTCTATAACTATACCCACCCTTAGGTATCAGAAACATCCCGACCGAGTTCTAGATGTCCGGGCCAAGATGCTATCCAAGTGCACGAGTCGGCTGAGCCAGTAAGACCGCCGGAAGAGCAAGCTTCTAGTCCACCTTTTGTGGAAGTTTCGTTCGATTGGGACGAATACATCACCTGGGAATAGGGTTTGCTCTCTATAGTAGCTCAAAGGCGTCGTCCTCGAGTGCTGTGGAATAATGATTGACTTACTTGGTCACCCGACGTCGAGTCTGATCTCTGATCTCACGTCACTCAAGGGTATATAATTCTTGCTTTGAGAATGATGCATATTGTACCCTATTGTACCTGTACTTAACTGTTGAACCAGCCATTGGTGATTTACCTATTTGGGTGAAGAAGTGTTGAATCGATGATTGGTATTGCTTGGCTTTGAGCTATGTCACTGGATCGGAGTCATCAGACCGAATCAGTTCCTCCGTCCCAGTCTCTTTCTATCACTGCAACGTCAACTTCCAAGGTCCTCACAGAATGCCCGACGCGCTTTTGTTACCGCCTCCCATCGTTCGTGACCTCGCCCGCCATCCCGGATTGGTTTCCCTCATCCCGTCTGCAGCACGCGATACCCATGTTCCGCCACGATTCTACAGCAAGCGCCGAGTCCACGCTGGAGTCGCCGCTCCTCACGCCTACGGACGAACGCGATATGTCTCTCGACTCGCTGGGCGATAGATTCGCAAGTTTGGATCTGTCGGACGGCGTCGCGATCTCGGGAGCCCCCAATCGTACGCCAAGACGACTGAGCCTCACCCGCCAGTTCTCAAAAGCCTTGGACGACGCAAACAAGAGTGTATGTCACTGAGTGTCCTCGCTTCCCGTCGGATTCGTCTTACATTGCGGCTCAGACGTCGCCCAACGGAATGTCTTTCAAGCCCAAGTCGAATGTTCTCGAGCCAGTGCGTTTGTCTGGCTCTTCCTAGACATTCTCGCCCAGTTGAACGCCGGCAGATTCTTCTTGGTAGTCCGCTCAGGAGCAGAGAGGCCCGGAACGTTCAGATGCCGCCATCGCAATCGAACGCTTTTGACGAGCCGTGCGAGCCTCTCAATGAAGGCAAGGAGACTCTCCCTACGCGCATAATCGAATTTCAAGTCCAATCTTCCCGACGATACAACGACGAGAACCAGCAACCTGATTTACAATCTGTCGGTGAATCATCTTGCATAGCAGTGGCGACTGACGGGGCTTTGAAGACACCCGTCGTTCGAGTCCCCCCGCGTAACGACGTTTTCTTTTCCGTACCGGGCCCCACTGTGGTCACGCCAGACGGCCATCCCACGGACGAGATTGAGTTCACCCCTCGAGCGCACTCTACTCTACGCCTCAGACGGGTGCGTTGTCTTTCCGATCCCCCAAGTCCATGTCTCTCATAGCCAATAGGGCTTCCATGAAATTGACGATGACGTCACAAAAGTAGAAACCGAGTTCAACGATCTGGAAACGAAACTGCCTGAAGACCACCCTATCGACATCATTGCTTCCGCTGCGACTGCCTCCGGAGACGCTCTGGAGATCGAGAATCCTGAAGCGATCAACGAAAACGATGCTGATGTTCAAGAAGAACTTATAGAAGAGTCCATCTTTGCTCAACTCTCTCCACTCTTCCCATTGCAAGCTGCCTTCTTTCCGCTCTGGTGTGTCTGCGTTGGGGCTGCCATACTTCTTGCTCCGGAACATCTGACTGCGATTGCCTTCCCTTCTTCTGTCCGATCCACTGCTGATTCTTCTGTCATCAAGTCTGTTCAATCTCTGTGCACGGCTCTGTTTCCATACGCAGCTCCTTCGACCCGGATCCGCGCTTTGGCTCACTGGGCTTCGGTTGCCCATCTCCATGTCTGGATCTTCTTGACTGCTTTGGCGGCAATCGGGTTCCTGTATCCGCCGGCTGGGACATTGCTCGCCGCGCTTTCGACTGCCCAATTCTGGCAAGCATGGGGTGATTTCAAGGTCGACGACGACTGCGCGGAGCTGGGTGCGGATATGCGACAGATGCTGTACCAGATTCTGCTCACCCCGGAGTCGGGATTCCGCGATGGCGACGTTCTCAAGCGTCAAGGCGGCCACTATGTGAGAGAGCGTGCGCCCAAAGTGGAGACACGGGCTGAAATTCTCGCGGCGGGGGGACTGAATGAGGAATACGAATCTGAGGATGAAATGTGAAGCACTACACTGTGCGAGCTAAGAAGATACATGGTTATAGATACGCTAGTTGTAGTCGTAGTATGTAGTCGTAGTTACCTGCAGATAATGTTCGCCACTCAGGGCTCGTGGAAATCCGTCTTTCCGGCGAAATGGGCAGCAGTGTTTGGGCTGGATATGGCAGCGCCAGGTGCTGTGAAAGCGTATGGTGCCATTCGAATGGCCTCGGGGTCATATGGGACGGGATCGCTCGTCGATGTGAGAAGTTTTGACCGGTGGCTTGGACCGGGAGCCACTCCGAAGGCCTGTCCAAAGTCCAGCTTGGACTCGTCTCGATGGTGGCGATGGACAGCAGCGCCAAAGAAGTAGCGCAGCGACTGGTAGATCTCAACCGCAAAGTCCCCTGGATACATAGTCAGCTCGAGGATGGAAATCAAGGGTCTGTGTGGCTGACAGAAATTGATCCTGTGTCCACTCTGTCAGTTGACTGCACCGCAGGGCGTTGAGAGCGTGTACTCACGAGTCCCAGATCGGTCTCCAGATGCTGGTGCGCACGCCTGCTATGCGGTACTCGCTGGCAGGGTAGGCCCACCACATACCAATCGCAAAGAAGACCATCTGAACACGTGTAAGCAAGAAATTCATGACCGGGCGACGGCATGTCCTACCTCAACGCAGATTGCCAGAGCGTTCAGACCATCGGCGATGTTTGCTTCTGTCCAGTATTGGGTAGCTGGAAGGAGAACCGATATCAGATTCCGAGTAGGAGGGTGTGCATATGATAATTTTAAAGCAATGACCTTTGATCACATGACCCTCGAGCGCGGAGAACTAGGGCACATGCAGTCAGCTCATGTAGAACGGTCTAGTTGAGGCACGCACAACAAATGATTGGTAGAAAGTAAACATGACAATCAGCTTGATGCAGAGGAACTTGGCCAGCGGGCGCTTGCCCACCAGCTCGTCTTTGGTGAGACCGTAGAACAAGAGCAGGCCATACAGTGCGATCCTTTTAGAAACTGAGCAGAGCCGAGATTAGAGGAACAGGTTGCGTACGAGATACTGATGAAGTCCACAGCAGACAAGTAGACACTTGCGAAGCGGAGGTTGTAGCTCTGGCTCTCGCACAGGACGCCGAACGCTTGGCAGATGATACCCGCGACAGAGACCAAGGGGCGGACAATTACATACTGCATGACAGACCACTATGCTCAGTCAGCGAAAGCGGCGGATCGAGGAAATCTCCCGGACGCACTTTTACAGTATACATGAAGTAAGCCTTCCAAGTTCGGGTTAATCGAATCGGATTCGCCGCGCGCCAAAATCGCGCACCTTCGTGGGTCTATATCTCCAGCAGCAGAATGGCATAGGAAGCGGTCGCTTGTCCTTGCGAGCCATGGCGCTCTCAGCGTTGTGATTCACAGCGGTGTTCGCCACATATTCTATGATGAGCAGTCTGCCGAAAGTCAGCCGAGGGTCCCGATGTCAAAGCGATGACCGCACAAGAAAGCACTGATGGTCACTGCTTCGTAGGCTAGAAACACATGTGAGTGAGGAGCCAGGGCAGCGGTAAAAGACAACGGACCGACGTATATGAGAGAGTAATAGGTGTAGCTGCGAAAGTACCGATATGAAAAGAATGAGATGACCGCATATACTGGCGGCATGTATAATATCCGGAGGCTAAGGGCAATGGGAATCCTTCAAGAAGTGGCAAGATAAGAAGCCATACATCTGACGCTGCTCCCGAGGCACATGGTAGTTTCTAGTAACCTTGAGTGGAAGGACACGACTGGACGCGAGACGCACCTGGAGTGCTGCAATACGGAAATGAAGGAGATGATAACGGTCTGCGGATATCAGATGAGGAAGCACGCATGCGAATGCGGGGTGGGTCGTACGAGCAACGAGCAACCCCCTGCTATGGCCCAACCAATTCTAAAGTACCGTTAGGCAGCTGAAAACCTGGAAAGCCGCGACAGGACAGACCTGTGTTTATCCCAATTTAGCCCAGTCTTCGGGTTCCAGAAATCGGATTGGTCAATGACAGAGAGATTGTCGCTCGGGCAGCTCATGAAGGAGAGAAAGCGGAAGGGAAGGTAAGGCTACAGAAATTGCCGCGGCTGACGCGATCGCGGCTGACATGCACTGACAGTTGACAGCCCGATTGGCCGATCCCACTGACAGCCAGTGAGGGCCTGAGGCTGTTCATTCCTTGGCAACGGAACTCAGGTTGCAACAACTTGCAACGCCACTCCGACTCCGCTCTTGTGACTTGTCGGATCTTCCGGCTGCAGTGTCATGATTGTTTGGAGCATTATTGCTCCAGTCGTTTATTATTGTTCCTCGGACCATGAGCTTCGATACAGCCGTCGTCCCATGTCCACGAGCAACTAGATAGAGGAGTATCTGTCACTCCACAGCTCCTCCATGGAGCCTCACGCTACCGTCCACCACGCGCCAAGCTGACGACAATTGACCCTGATTCCCGGACTCCATTTCACTTCATCACTATGTTGAAGTCCCCGGAGCCTTGTCCTGGGCTTCCAGTAGGATGCTTAGGCGAAGGCGGGGTCGTACCAACGACCGGAGTCACGGCATTATCAGCATGCTATTCCTCCGAGCAGGGCACATTGGCCTTGTGAGACCTCTCCAGCGCTCTCTGCTTTCCTACTTAGATGGTTGCACGAGACGTATGGAACGTGCCCCCATCCAAGCTGTTGTTCAACGATCGTAATTACTTACTCACTATTGGCGGTGCTTAGGCTCGCATCGAACACGCATAATGGACATGGCGGAAACGTTTTGCAGGAATGGGCGACGGAGAACTCGGAACTGTTATCTCAAACGCTCGGGTGATCCTAGGTCCAAAGACTCCAGTCGGGTAAAAATAGCTATATTGGGGCTTGACTATCAGGTAGAGGGGAATACATAGTATTCTGTAGTCGATTCTGTTCTTCGCTCAAGGTCTATTCCTTTAATTCTTGTGACTGCTTGCCAGTTGCAAGTGTTCAGGTTGGGCAGGATCAATTGGACCGCCGGTCCAGGCTCACCGGCGCCTCGTGGTGGTACCTCGTACTTACAAACAGATACAATTGCAAAACATCTAAATCGGGAAGCGGCCGAGCACATTCCTGTCCGTCATGGGCACCCTCGACGGCGACCCATTCAAGGACCACCTTCTGGCGGTCCTCAGCCTACACGACGCTCCCGACGCTGCCCCAATACCACGCTATCATGGGCCGAGCGACTGGCAGACTGACGCCATCCTGCGAAAGATAGAGGCGCTTATGATGAAGAAACCACGAATTCCTCCCACTCAGAACGGAGACGCCGCTCACCGCAGCAACGGAAGCGGCAACGGAGGCGTACGAATGCGACAGGGAGCTACCCCCACCCCCACTCTTAAAGAACTGCCGCCTACTGAAACCGACTTTTCCGCGAATCGTGCTCGGCCCGGTTCACCAGATTCGATATCCTCATACAACACTGCGTCGGAGGACGTGGAACCCCCAGCGGACGTATATCACAACGACTTCCGCGACTTCGGGTCCATTGCGGGTCCGCTCACTTGTCCCGCTTGCGGGCACCGACCGCTCCACCGGGTCTGGGATCAAGGCGAAAGTCCCGGGGTCGTAGCAAATGGTAGCGCGCTCGCAAATTTGGTCAAGCAGGGTGGGATGGACGCTCTTGAGGAACTCAGGCTGCTCAAAGACCAAGTGCGAGGTCTGCATTCCTACATCTTGGCCCTGCTTACTGATCATAAACTAGGTACGCGATGTATCCCGCGTTTGTAATGCTGTCGCCACCGGCGACTTGACCCAGAAGATAATTGTCCCCGTCCAAGGCGATCTAATGGTCCAATTGAAGAAGGTGGGCCGCCTTACGTGTTTAACGTTCTGGGGTTCCAATTCTAACGCTTTGTTACGCAGGTGATCAACAACATGGTGGACAACTTGGGCCACTTTGCAACCGAAGTTACGCGTGTCAGTCGGGATGTCGGAACGGAAGGGAAGCTAGGTGCCCAGGCGCACGTCGAGAATGTTGAGGGAACATGGCGAGAACTCACGGATGAAGTCAACACCCTCGCCGCGAATCTGACGACACAAGTACGAAGCATCGCAGCAGTGACGGTCGCTGTTGCAAAGGGTGATTTGAGCAAACAGATCGAAGTGCGTCTCAATTTCCTCTCCTCACCCATGGATTCACATCGGACAGGTCGATGCGAGCGGCGAGATCTTGTATCTCAAGAATACGGTCAACGACATGGTGCTAAGACTACGGACTCTGGCTGTCGAAGTTACAAGAGTCACTCTCGAGGTCGGAAATCAAGGCAAACTCGGTGGGGAGGCAAATGTTCCGGACGTCGAGGGTGTTTGGTCAGAGCTTGTCACCAATGTCAACAAGATGTGCGGGTCCCTCACGCAGCAAGTGCGGAGTATCGCCAAAGTGACCACGGCAGTCGCTCAGGGAGACTTGTCGCAAGAGGTGGGATAGTGCATCCGTTCTATCGAATTGACATATCGATCCATTCATAGGTCACCATTGACGCAGAAGGCGAAATCAGCACACTCAAGGATACTGTCAATCAGATGGTGCAACAGCTCCGAGGATTTGCATCCGAGGTCACCCGTGTCGCACTCGAGGTCGGAACGTACGGGCAACTTGGTGGTCAAGCTGAAGTCGAAGGCGTGCGGGGAACGTGGGCAGATCTCACCGAGAACGTCAACGTGCGTTTCCACCTTCAACTGGCCGCTCTAGCTCATATCTTGTATCAGAAAATGGCCTCGAATCTTACCAACCAGGTCCGGTCCATTTCAGAAGTGACGAAGGCTGTAGCGAATGGCGATCTGACCAAGACGATGGAGGTTGATGTGAGCGGAGAGATGCTCGATCTTAAGATGACGATCAATGAGATGGTGGAGCGTCTTGGCAAGTTTTCGAGCGAGGTGACGCGGGTTGCGTTGGATGTCGGAACTCATGGCAAGCTTGGTGGCCAAGCTGAAGTGGAGGGTGTTCAAGGAACCTGGCGAGATCTGACTGGCAATGTGAACGTGAGAGTTCTCGTTCGCGCCGCGAGTCTTCTATGGCTAATGAAATCTCAGCGAATGGCCTCCAATCTCACTGACCAGGTCCGAAGCATCTCTTTGGTGACGAAAGCAGTCGCTACTGGCGATCTCACGAAGGCCATCGACGTGAACGCCAGCGGTGAGATGCTGGACCTCAAGAACACCATCAACGACATGGTATCACAACTGGCGAACTTTTCCAGTGAAGTCACTCGAGTGGCCCTCGAGGTCGGGACTCACGGTGTCCTTGGTGGCCAAGCAGAAGTCGAAGGTGTGCAAGGAACTTGGCGAGATCTCACAGACAACGTCAACGTCAGTGTTCTCATGACCGTATCTGAACTCGGACTCGGACTTTGGCTCATTCTCATCTTAGCGTATGGCCTCCAATCTGACCGATCAAGTTCGAAGCATCTCGCTAGTGACCAAGGCTGTCGCATACGGTGATTTGGCGAAGACTATCGATGTGAATGCCAGTGGGGAGATGCTGGACCTCAAGAATACCATCAACGATATGGTTGCTCAGCTAAAGAACTTCTCGAGCGAGGTGACACGTGTTGCATTGGATGTCGGGACACACGGCATTCTGGGTGGTCAAGCTGAAGTCGAAGGCGTGCAGGGTACCTGGCGAGATTTGACGGACAACGTCAATGTGGGTGTTCTTGCTATTCTGCTCCGTTGTCCACGCTGAAAGATGCTTCAGCGGATGGCCAATAACCTGACAGATCAAGTCCGAAGCATCTCCTTAGTCACGAAAGCTGTAGCGTATGGCGACCTCAGCAAGACCATCGAGGTTAATGCCAGCGGAGAGATGCTCGATCTCAAGGTCACAATCAACGACATGGTGGCTCAGCTGAAGAACTTCTCGAGCGAGGTGACACGCGTGGCACTGGATGTCGGGACACATGGCATACTTGGTGGTCAGGCCGAGGTCGAGGGCGTCCAGGGAACATGGCGAGATCTCACAGATAACGTCAACGTAAGCGGATCTTTCCTATTGACTGATGTCATTCTGATTGATTCTGTAGAGGATGGCGAGCAATCTCACTGACCAAGTGCGAAGTATCTCGTTGGTGACCAAAGCGGTCGCCTACGGTGATCTCACGAAAACCACTGACGTGAACGCAAGTGGAGAGATGCTCGATCTGAAAGTCACCATCAACGACATGGTCGCCCAGTTGAAGAACTTCTCAAGTGAGGTTACTCGTGTTGCTGTCGACGTCGGCACAGAAGGCAAATTGGGTGGTCAAGCCAAGGTGGAAGGTGTCCAGGGCACCTGGAAGGATCTCACCGACAATGTCAATGTGAGAAGAAACATATCATCTTTGTCATATGTTCTGACACGGATTAGAAAATGGCATCCAATCTTACCACACAAGTGCGGTCCATTTCCCAAGTGACTAAGGCTGTGGCGCACGGCGACCTGAGCAAGACGACCGACGTGGATGTACGCGGCGAGATGCTTGATCTCAAGAACACCATCAACGAGATGGTTGCGCAATTGGGCAATTTCTCTCGCGAGGTCACACGAGTGGCATTGGAAGTCGGCACGGAAGGAAAGCTTGGTGGCCAGGCGGAAGTGGCCGGTGTGCAGGGAACGTGGAAGGATCTCACGGACAATGTCAACGTGCGTCGCCGGCTTTTGTCGTTGATGGTATTGACCCGAGACAGCGTATGGCAAACAACCTCACCGGCCAAGTACGCTCCATCTCGGACGTCACGAAAGCCGTCGCGTATGGAGACCTAAGCAAGACCATCGAGGTGGAGGCCAGCGGAGAGATGTTGGATCTGAAGATGACGATCAATGACATGGTGTCCCAGCTGAAGAACTTCTCGAGTGAAGTGACGAGAGTGGCCCTCGATGTCGGCACCCGGGGCAAGTTGGGTGGGCAGGCCGAAGTTGAAGGGGTACAAGGCACATGGAGAGATCTGACTGATAATGTGAATGTACGTTGGGTCGCCTTCCACCTCTTATTCATTCCATCCCGCTGACTCGCTCGCTACACGACAGCGCATGGCATCCAATCTGACTGACCAGGTCCGAAGTATCTCACTGGTGACCAAAGCTGTCGCGTACGGTGATCTGGCAAAGACCATCGACGTCAATGCTAGTGGAGAGATGTTGGACTTGAAGAATACCATCAACGATATGGTTGCCCAGCTGAAGAACTTCTCTAGCGAAGTGACGCGAGTCGCTCTTGATGTCGGCACACACGGTATTCTCGGCGGTCAAGCTGAGGTTGAAGGTGTGCAGGGCACCTGGCGAGATCTCACCGATAATGTCAATGTGAGGGATTCTATTTGCTGCTCGGGTCTTGGTGTAACCGTGTTGAACAGCGCATGGCCAACAATCTCACTGATCAAGTCCGTTCGATCTCGCTAGTCACCAAAGCCGTAGCGTACGGTGACTTGACCAAGACCATTGGCGTCAACGCGTCTGGCGAGATGTTGGACTTGAAGGTCACGATCAACGAGATGGTGGAACGACTCGGAAACTTCTCCAGCGAAGTGACACGTGTCGCACTTGAAGTCGGCACTCAAGGTCGGCTTGGTGGACAAGCAGAGGTGCCCGGTGTCCAGGGTACTTGGAAAGATTTGACGGAGAATGTCAATGTATGTTTTATGATCCTCGTTCGTTCGTTTGAACATATCTGATTGTGTTACGTACAGCGCATGGCATCCAATCTCACCGACCAAGTCCGGAGCATCTCCCTTGTCACCAAAGCTGTCGCGTATGGCGACTTGACCAAGACCATTGATGTCAACGCCTCTGGCGAAATGCTGGACTTGAAAGTCACAATCAACGAGATGGTGGAGCGTCTAGGCAATTTCTCGAGCGAGGTGACTCGTGTTGCACTAGAGGTCGGGACTCAGGGTCGGCTTGGAGGGCAGGCAGAAGTGCCCGGTGTCCAGGGCACTTGGAAGGATCTGACGGAGAATGTGAACGTGAGTGATACTGTTCATATCGGGCCGTTCACACGCTCACGAAATCCAGCGCATGGCAAACAATCTCACAGATCAAGTGCGCTCGATTTCGGAAGTGACCAAGGCGGTTGCGAACGGCGATTTGTCCAAGAAAATCGACGTCGAAGCCAGCGGAGAGATGCTGGATCTCAAGATGACCATCAATGACATGGTGGAGCAGTTGCTGAACTTCTCGGGTGAAGTGACCAGAATGGCGCAAGAGGTCGGCACGCACGGAAAGCTTGGCGGACAGGCCAAAGTCGAGGGAGCACAGGGTACCTGGGCTGATCTGACCGACAACGTCAACGTATGTGTCGTCTTTTGTCTCTGGTCCATTGATTGACCTATCTGCGTAGAAAATGGCCTCGAACTTGACCAATCAAGTGCGGTCCATCTCTGAGGTGACCAAGGCCGTGGCATACGGCGATCTGACCAAGAAAATCGGTGTCGATGCATCTGGAGAAATGCTGGACCTGAAGCAGACGATCAACGAGATGGTGGAGCGTTTGGGTAACTTCTCGAGCGAGGTCACGCGTGTTGCACTTGAGGTCGGAACCCAGGGCAAGCTGGGTGGCCAGGCCGAGGTCGAAGGTGTGCAAGGCACCTGGAAGGATCTGACGACGAACGTCAACGTAGGTGCTCGACAGCACTTGCCTGTTCCATTCGCTGACCATCGACCCCCAGAAAATGGCGTCGAACCTGACGGGACAAGTACGCTCCATCTCGCTGGTGACTAAGGCCGTGGCTTTGGGCGACTTGACGCGCACCATTGAAGTCGATGTTTCCGGAGAGATGCTTGATCTGAAAAACACGATCAACGACATGGTGTCGCAGCTGAACATCTTCGCTAGCGAGGTCACGCGTGTCGCGCAGGAGGTCGGAACGGAAGGCAAGTTGGGTGGGCAAGCGCTGGTCAAAGGAGTGCAAGGGACATGGAAGGACTTGACAGAAAATGTCAATGTGAGTGCTTGTTTGTTTCGTTTGCTTCCCTCTCGGCTTTTTGTGCTACTTGTGGAGAGCGAGGCGAAAGCTTATTCGACTGACACATACATGCATATGCTAACATCGTGCTACCAGAAAATGGCCCTCAATATCACAAATCAAGTGCGCTCTATTTCGGACGTCACGACCGCTGTTGCTCGCGGAGACTTGACCAAGAAAGTCGAGATCGATGTCAAGGGAGAAATGCTCGACCTCAAGTCGACGATCAACAACATGGTCTCGCAGTTGAGCACCTTCGCGTCTGAAGTCACCCGGGTCGCGCTCGAGGTCGGCACGGAGGGCAAGTTGGGCGGACAGGCGGAAGTGGAGGGAGTCGAGGGCACATGGAAAGATCTGACGGACAACGTGAACGTATGTGCTCTTGTCTTGCCTTGCCGCTTGTATACTGAACTCGCCCGCGCAGAAAATGGCCATGAACTTGACTTCCCAAGTGCGATCCATCTCCGAAGTCACCAAAGCCGTCGCGCTGGGGAATCTCACGAAGCAAGTCGAGATCACAGCCCGCGGAGAGATGCTGGACCTGAAGAACACGATCAACGGAATGGTCACGCAACTCTACACACTGGCGAGCGAGATCACGCGTGTCAGTATCGAGGTCGGGACCGAAGGCAAGCTTGGTGGACAGGCTATGGTAGAGGGGACCACTGGCATGTGGAAGGTATGTGTCTGCGTCACTAGGTGTTCGCATACACTCATCCCCCACTACAGACTGTCACCGACAACGTGAACCTGATGGCCCAGAATCTCACTGATCAAGTCCGGTCGATCGCGGAGGTCACGAAGGCTGTCGCGCGGGGTGACCTGACCAAACAGGTCAAAATCACTGCGCGGGGCGAGATTCTCGATCTCAAAGACACCGTCAATGCGATGACAGCCTCTTTGAGTCAATTCTCGGCCGAGGTCACACGAGTCGCCCGAGAAGTCGGGACTGAGGGCAAGCTGGGTGGGCAGGCTGAAGTCGAGGGCGTCGAAGGCACGTGGAAGGATCTGACAGATAACGTGAACGTCATGGCGAACAATGTGAGTTTGTCTTGCCTTATCTGACTTCCGTAGATGTAGCCGCTGACTTGGCATGCAGCTGACGCTGCAAGTGCGGACGATTTCGGACGCAACGAAAGCTGTCGCTCGCGGCGATTTGACGCACAAGATCCACGACCTCGACGTGTCAGGAGAGATTCTCAGTCTTGTCATTACCATCAACGACATGATTGACCAGCTTGCGATCTTCGCGAGTGAAGTCAAGAAGGTTGCGCTTGAGGTCGGGACCAAGGGCAACATGGGTGTCCAGGCCGAGGTCGGTGCCGTCCAGGGCATCTGGTTCGACATCACGTCCGTTGTCTCCGGTGTCGTCTTTTCTCTAACAACTGACATTACTCGGGCAGTGTGTCGGTTAACACGATGGCTTCCTCGCTCACAACGCAAGTGCGCGGGTTTGCGCAGATCTCCAAAGCCGCTTCGGACGGCGACTTCACGAGTTTCATCACCGTCGAGGCGAGCGGCGAGATGGACGAGTTGAAGAGTCGGATCAACCAGATGTTGTACGATCTCCGTGACAGTATCCAGAAGAACACGGCCGCGAGGGAGGCGGCTGAGTCTGCGAACAAGAGCAAGAGTGAGTTCTTGGCCAACATGAGTCACGAGATCCGGTAAGCTGCTGCGATTTTGTCTGCGATTCGCGGAGGAAAAGCTGACTGGATTATCAGGACGCCCATGAACGGTATCATCGGCATGACTGAGCTGACGCTGGATAGCGACCTCAACCGCAGCCAGCGGGAGAGTTTGCTGCTGGTGCATAGTCTGGCGCGCAGTCTACTGCTGATCATCGATGATATCTTGGATATCTCCAAGAGTGCGTTGGTTTTTGACTTGCCGGTATCATGGCGCTGACGATTCTTGTAGTCGAAGCCGGCCGCATGACGATCGAAGCGGTGGCCTTCTCGGTCCGACAAACGATTTTCGACATTCTGAAGACTCTGGTTGGGCGTGCGACGCAAAAAGGACTGGACCTCATTCTGGACATTGCCCCTGAAATTCCGGACGCGTTGATAGGCGACTCTCTGCGACTGCGACAAGTGATTACGAATCTTGTGGGCAACGCGATCAAGTTCACGCGGGTCGGCTATGTTGCGCTGAGCATCCACTTTGTGTCGATGGACGAGGACAGCGTGACGCTGCAGTTCTGTGTGCTGGACACGGGGATCGGCATCGCGCAGGACAAGCTGAATCTGATCTTCGATACGTTCTGCCAAGCGGATGGCAGCACCACCAGGGCAAGTGATCATTTTGTGTGCTCTGCGCGTGTTCTGAACTGGAATGCAGGAATACGGAGGCACTGGACTGGGACTGTCCATTTCGAAGCGGCTGACGTCTCTGATGCAAGGCGACATCTGGGTCGAGTCGGAGCTGGGCAAGGGCAGCAAGTTCTATTTCACGATCACAGTGGAGACGAATCAGCAGCAGACGATTGACTCGATGCTGCTTAAGCTGAATCCGTTCTCGAAGCGCACCATTCTGTTTGTCGATACACGCGGGGACCAGAGTGGTGTCGAGGAGCGGGTGAGCGAGTTGGGCCTGCTCCCGGTCAGGGTGCAGGACGTTTCCCAGGTGGCGGACAAGGAGCGGTGTCCACACATCGACACCATCATCGTTGATTCATTGACTGCGGTACGTGGCGTTTTTGCTGCTGCTCACTTGGCATATCTGATGACGTACAATAGACTGAGAGCATTCGCGAGCACGAGCATCTGCGATATATTCCGATCGCACTGCTCGCGCCGTCTCTGCCGCGCCTGAACATGAAGTGGTGCCTCGAGAACGGGATCAGCGCGCACAACACGACTCCGATCAGCACCTTCGACCTGTCGTCGGTGCTGCTGTCTGCGCTGGAGAACAACCCGGTGAACCCAGCGTCGGTCGCGGCCGACGTGTCGTACGACATCCTGCTCGCGGAGGACAACATGGTCAACCAGCGGCTGGCGCTCAAGATCCTAGAGAAGTACGGGCACAGCATCGAGTTGGCGGAGAACGGCAGTCTTGCGCTGAACGCGTTTGTGGACCGGGCGCTGGCGAACAAGCCGTTCGATGTGATCCTGATGGATGTGTCGATGCCGGTCATGGGCGGCATGGAGGCGACCCAGAGGATCAGGGCGTACGAGACACAGTACGGCCTGAACAGGACGCCGATCATCGCCTTGACTGCGCATGCCAGTGAGTGTTCTATTTTCCCAGCAGGTAAAGTGGTTGTTGACCATGATGCCCAGTGATCGGCGACAGGGAACGCTGCCTGCAAGCCGGGATGGACGACCACATCACCAAGCCGCTGCGCCGGGTCGATTTGTTGAATGCCATCAGCCGGCTGACAACGGAGGCCGGTGTTTCGCGTCCGCTGCTGAAGAAGACGGCTGCGACTGCGTACAGCGACTACGTGAACAACGGCAGGTTCGAGGAGGTCGGTATCGACGACGGGATGGACATGATGGTCGTCCCGATGAGGAATCTGGACCACGACTTGCCCTAGACTTCTGCCCTCCCCCTGTTACCCCGTCGCGTGATACCTGCCTTGTCTGATCTGCTCCTGCCCCCCGCTGCTCTCCGCCCTGCCCTGCCATTTTGTACCACCAGCCATCCATCCATCTATCCATCTAATTCATTTTCTGTATCTACTCTCTCATTTGTACCACGTATACGCGCATGTTTCATTAATAATAATTATCCTCTTTTCTTTCTTGAAATTGCGGGCGTGTTTTTATTTTCAGAATGCTAGCGAATGTATATCCAATGTGCGGTATGCGATGCCAAGTGAGTACAATGCTGCAGATAATCTAGATATCGTAAACCCCATTACAAAACATTAAAAGACGTCACCAATCGTGATCGTGATCATAAGACACTCGGGAGCTCGCCCGAGTGCAGCACGTCGTCCCGCTCGTCCGGCGAGCGAGACCACTTGTCCGGGGCCGCAAAAAAGTATCCTTCGAGCGAGGACACGAACCGGTCCTGGTACTCTGCGGGCGGGACGACCGTGACCTCCTTCCTGCTCGCTCCGGGGCGGCTGGTGCTGCCCTTGAGCTCCAGGTCGAGCAGGCCCTGCTTCGCCTTGTACTCTAGCGTCTTGGCGAAGGTGTAGCTCCCGATCGTGTCGACGAGGCCCACCGCGAGCTGCTTCGCGGCCAGATCGACGCCGACGAGCAGGCTGTAGTCCATGATGTTGTTCCGCGCCAGAAACTCCGTGTCCGCGCGGAGCGCCTCGCGCAGGGTGTGCTGCGCGTGCGGGGGGATGAGCGTCGGCGCCGTCGTGTGCCGCTGCGCGGCGATCCAGTCGCCGTCGAAGAGCGTCTTGGTCCCGCTGCCCGGCTTCGCTTTGCGGCCCTGGATGCCCTTGAGGTCGAACACCCGATCGACCCGGGCCAGCCCGCTGAAGAGGTTTTCCATCACCAGCAGATCGGCTCTCCTCGTTTCGCCGCTGTCCAGTGCCCGGATCTCGATCGTGTAGAACCCGAGCAGCTTGGCAAGCACCGTCGGCTTGTTGGCTGAGGCATCCATGTATCGGAAATACGACGGTCCGAGGTCGATGAGAACTTGCCTATGATGCATGTCGTGAGATTCATCAACAGCGAGTGAGGAGAATGTAAACGCACAAGTCTGCGACGTTCCACGCATTGACCAACGTCTTGATCATAAACCGCCCGTCCTCAGTCTTCCAAAAATCCGACTTGCTCTTCCCTCCATCGGCCGCCCAGTCGGCGCTGCGGGACAAACTCTTGACGAACGCATCCGCCTCGATCCCACACCGCTTGCGGAGATTGTCGAATTGCTTAGCGTAGTACACCGTGCAGCTAAACTGTACGCGTTTGCCCACCGTCCAGTCGTATTTGATGTGCGGCCGGTCGTCGATGGCCGGTGAGAGCAGACCGTGGTGTGTCTTGGACGACAGCGGCGACGGCCGGGGAGCATCGCCGCCACTCCGGAATATGGAGCGCATGGCGGACGAGAACGAGAAGCTCGTCGGCGGTGTTGCATCCGGCACAACCGGAGACTCCGGTTCTGACTTGGGCTCGTCCTCCACGAATTCCTCCTCGTCATTCACGGAAACAAAAGATTCAGCAGAGATGGCCCGGCTACTGCGGCTGCCAGAGGTGGCTAACGCCGGCCGCGGCTCGCCCAAGCTGCTATTTGCCTCCTTCAGGATCTTGCCGACGACGCCAGACTCGAGTTTACTCCCGCTCGTCACCTGCCCACCAGCAGCATGTTTGGTGATCTGCACGTCCGCTTTCTTCGACCAGGCGGACGGCGGTAACAGCGTCGGCGCGCTTTTGCTGACAGCCGAGATGCTCCCAAACCGAGATGCCGCGCTGGGAACGCTGTCCGATGTCTTTTTGAGACGCAGAGACAGCAGTGAGGTTGCATCGCGCGGATTCTCCTTGCGCGCTATGACAGACGCGTGCTCCTCGATTTCGTACCACACACCGCCTTCGGCATCTGGGTCCGGATTCGCTGAGGCTGAAGACCCGAATAGTTTGTGGCCGGAGAAGAACGACGACTGCATTGACGAGCCTGTGGAAAGCGCCGGCGAGGGCGAGAGCATCGCCGTCGACGGACGAGCCAAGTACATCGACGTCAATTCCCGACTGTAGTCAACCGTGCTGTAAAAAAATATCCCACTGTGAGATCGTACTGGGTGGTGAGAATATATTCCACACACCTCATAGTATGAGCCATGATGCTGCCCCAATCATCCTCGCGCACGACGACACTGCCGCCAGGGGCGACGTGCCATCCTCGACTCCACCACTCCGGCTCCGACCCAACCTCGGGCGGCGCATTCCGCGGCAGATGCTTGCCTTGCCAGGCTACCAGGCGCCGCTCCGCTCCCCGGCCGGTCGAGAGAAACGCGCGGCGTACATCATTGAGCGAGGAAACGGGTGTCGCAGTCAGCTGGGCGTACAGATCTTGCTCCAGCCGGTGGAAAGTCTGTCGCATGGCCCCGAGAGGACGGATGGATTCGGCAGAATCTTCCATCGACGCTGGGACAAAGGGCTCTTGAGTCGCCTGCGTTATGTCTGGTGTCGAGGTTCCACTAGGGGGAAGACCAGAGATGAGGCTCTCTTCGTTAACCAGCTCAGGTGTGGATCTAGAGCGGCTTCCAGAGAGATGGCTTTCCTGTCGATCTAATGAGCCGCGCAGCCAAAGGAGTTCTCCGCAAGTCAACCCACCAACAAATCCATCTGATCCGCAATGTGGGTCCACCACTCGTTGATCTCCTTCCTCAAGATTTCCTTCTCGTTCGCCTTGTCCTCGATCTTGCCGACGGCGTCTTTCTCGCGTGTGATTTGCAGCTGAGGCACCCGCAAATCGAACGTTTCATCCACGACGGAGAGCGAGAAGGACACAACGTGCGTCTTGTACCGGAAATGCCGGACGATGCACAATCGTGAAGCAGGAAGCGATTGTGATGATGCCGATGTAACCCTTGATTCAGGCGTGGTGTGCGGGCAGAGTGCTGGAGTCATGGCGCAGATCGCAGGAGAATAGACGAGGACCTCGATAAACTTGCCAAAGGAGTAGAGGCTGGATTGCGTCAGCGCAAGGCATGCGAGAAAGAGTCAACAGATACTCACTAAGCCCCGTCGCTCATACGTGTCTTGGCCGAGCATTTGCCACAAACAGAGCAACTGAGCCACATGTCGATGGCCTCGTCGTCGCCACGGTCGTCTTCGGTATGTTCCTCGCCAACCCTGACGTTCAGACGAATCCCCCCATGCACCATGCGTATCAGATGATCGCCTTGCATCCACGGACACCTCGGCCGAGCACACGGCTCCGCAGCCTCCGCGACCAGCGACACGAGAAACTGGCCGACGCCCTGATCCGAATCCGACGCGTAGTAGCGGTACGTCTCCCAGCGCGGGCGGCCGCACATGCCGAATCCGTTCTCGCCCTGCTCCTCCTCGCTCGGCGCGCAGCGCAGCACAAGCACACTCAGCTCCTGCATGCTCGCGAAGCCGCGCGCGCCGCACAGCGCCTTCCCCCGCGCCTCGCGGTCCTTCGCGCGGGGATCCCAGCCGAGGATGCTGCCCAGGCCAGCCTTCTCGTCCCCCCGCAGTCGCCGCCCTGGAGACTCACGTTCCTTCGCGGCCAGCTCGGATATCAGCCGCGGCGGGGGGATGCGCACGCCGGCGGAGGAGGAGAGGTAGGTCGCGGCGTCCGCCAGCCGCGACATGATGGAGGTGAAAGGTGTTGGGGATTTGGCGGAGGTGGGAGATGGACGCAGGAAAGCTGGTCGGGGATCGCCGATGAACGAAAAGTGTCGCAGGCGACCGCCTCGTTGCTCAGTCGGGGGAGGAGCAGCCGAAGGACTCTGGGCATAGGGTTGATGGGGGCTTCCGAAGATTAATGAGAGTATGGCGAATAAAACCCCTCCGCTGTGCCGATATCGCGCGGCGGGTTTGGGAATCACAGGTGCCTCTTCCTCAGGTATGCTGAAGAGCGGCATTGCTGGCCTTGATACCGGGAAGCTGATCTTCACTCTAGAATCGGACAGGAAATGCTGCTCGAGCAAGAGCGAAAGGTGCATGTATATCGACAACCTGAGAGTCTTGCACAGCGCGTAGTATTGTTTCGGAGAGACGACCCCTTTGAACGCAAAAGTGCCACCGACGAGTCTCAAGTTGAAGTCCTGCAGTGCTGGGGCGTTTTGGTAGTCAGATTTCGTCTATGGAGCGTTGAATGAACAGCACAAACCTTGAGAGTCCCATTCCGTCAGCCCATACAGAATCCCCGATGCTCCGTCATCGCCACCATCCGCAGCTTCCTCAGAGACAGTGAACACAGCATCAGTGAAGACGCAAGCGACGTTCGCAGGGATGAGCTCGAAACCACTGTCCTCGCTGGGAAGCGCGACATCGCTGCCCAGGGGTGCCACGCACAACAGGAGATGCATCGGGTGCGACGACAGCGTGGAGTCGCACGAGTCCGAAACAGACGATTCCGAGCCAGCCAGATTCCCAGACTCGCGAGCATTAGCGAGATCTCGGAGCTGGTGCAACGACTGATCGGTGGTGTCGACGGGGAACGCCACACTCGCACCCAAGTCCGACAAGAGGCTGCCCAGCGACCCAGACAAAGGGGTGGAGGGAGTCGGAGTCTGCGTCATGACACTGCCGATACTCGACATCGTGTCCGAGCGCACAGGCCTCGGTGGCTCGCGGCGCTCCCCCTCCGATGGCTGCCGCCGGCCCGTACCCCGGAGCCGTTTCAGCCGCACACCCGTCAGCCAGCCCCCGCGGTCAACCGCCTCCCCAAGTGCATCCAACACGTGTTCCAGCGCCACAGCCCACTCCTCCTTGGTCGCTGCGTCGGTGCCCGGCCCCAAATCGCATTCCGAGTCCGCGTCGGAGAGGATGTGCCGCACGAAGCGGCCGCGGTGCGCGCGCGCGTCGACGGATAGCGTGTTCGTCACGTTCGGGGGAGCCAGGGGGTGTTTCGCAGGGCGGAACCGGGGCACGCTCTCTCGACCCGACTTGGACTGCGTGCCGCGGCCGCGGCCGCGTTCGGGGGCCAGGGACGTCGAGTACGCGAGCTGGAGGATGCGGTACGCGCATATGAAGGGCAGGAGGAATACATATAATAATGTTATGCCTCTGAGCTCGAAATCGACCGGCATGGCATTGGGAAGACGCTGGAGCAGTGCTGAGCCTGGTGCGGGCACGTGTTTTGTCTGATATCCGGTCACGTGGACATTGCCTCGTCTGGCTGCGCTCTTGGATTTTCTTTCTCAGGTTCAAGTCTCAAAAACAATGGTCTATTCGGAAATCGCGTGGAGAGAGTCTACTATCCCTGGGAAAGTCTACGAATTGCCGTGCCTCTTTCGATAATCTGAAATAATCCTCTGCTTCAATCCACCCTTACTGGCAGGCTTCAACGGCTTGCAGTTTCTCTGCAGGTGCTTCACGATGACGTACGAGCGGTTATGCTTGAACACCGCGCCGCATCCCGGAGTCGGGCACCTTGTCGACTGCGCCTCGAGGTGCGCCCAGCGGAAATGGCGCGACACGCCGTTAGTCGTGGCGCTCCTGTGGCCGCATCCGGCGAACGGGCAGGCGTATTTGTTGTGCTCGTCGGATTGGGGGCCAGTGGAGAGCGTCCAGGTGCTGCAGGGGGCGTGGCGCGTCGCCACTTGTGCTTTGCGCAGGGGTCTACTGCACTCGCTGTAATCCGAGTCGTTCGAGTCCAAATCTTCTGGCGCATCGCTCGCATCCAGATCTTCGTTCATCGGCACGTCCGCTAAAACAGTGTCGTCTGGGGCGGGAGCGGGAGTTTCAAGTCGGCTTTCGCGTGTGTCTTCTTCCTCTGGTGTGAAAAGAGCCCAAGGGTGGGCCACTTGGAAGTCCAAAGCGGTCATCAGCAGGGACGGATCGATGGTTTGCTGCTCTGGAGGCGGGGAAAAGGAACTTCTGGAGGCAGCAAGAGGCTGCCAGATGTCGTCCTCATCATCGTCAAAGGGCATTGCTTGCTGAGCGCCTGTTTGGTCTAGGAGTGCACTTGCGAGATGGCTGGGGTCCGTCTGAAGAAAAGACGCATGAGGAAGAGCCCATGCTAGGTGAAGTTTCACTTACGAAATAGCTGGCGAATTCCATTTGTCGGGTCTGTCCTGCTGGCCGCGCACATGCTGCTGCATTTAAACAGTGTAGGTAGCCAAAGCACCGTTAAAGCGCTGTGATCAGTTACAAAGCTCGCCTGATGAAGCCTCAGAATTTCGGGTCAAAGTGATTTCCCTTTGTTTCAACACATTGTCTGTGTTTCGCTTTGTACATTTCTGGCATGGGTTCAAGTCCAATGTCCATCGCGCCAAAGACATCCGGAGCCACAGAATTGGCAATGAACTCGGTGCTGTGGCATGTGGAAATACGCAAAGAGAGAAAACTCAGGCTCAGTGTAGTTCAAATGTCTCTCTTCATCTAAGTATCAACTCCCCGAGGCAAGTCGTCGCGGGTTGCGAGCGACGCGTCTAGCACGTGATGTTGCTCACCAAATCACGGGACCGCGAAGCGTCGCAGTGGTGGCCCACTTGCCTTATAGGCGCTAGTGTGTAGTGCTACGTAAAACCTGAGCAATCGCGCGATGGTCAGCAAACCCATGCGCGCACCACACTCCGTCCCACATGCTCGGTATCCGAATCCCATGATGCTCGCGTTCCTGGCTTCGCTATCTTCCATTCGACGACTTCGCGAGCCCCAAGAGAAGGCGGCTCCCATTTATTCGCAGCTAAGAATACCTGGGCCTGTCAGGTGGCCCCGGGCAGAGCACCTTTCTGCTGGTCATGGGACGGCTCTGGGAGGGTGCGCTCGAGCCCAGGCGAGTGCGGTGTAGGCTTGCCGCGACCAGCGCATAGTAAGGCCAGAGCGATGGTCTTGATCTTGATTCTGGGGCGGGCCGCCGTCGGGCCCGGCGGGGGTGCTCTCGTTTGGTGGGTGGTTGAGATACGGCGCACGCTGTGGTGGACGGACGGACGAACGCATCACCGCGCGATGCTCCGCCGCACTAATCACGCTCGGGCTCGGCAACCTGCCGGGCGAATAAGGTTCAGCTGAGTGGCTGCGGTTGTTCGCACAGTGTCATTCTTCGCTCGACCAACCGAGTTCTCGCCATTGCCCCTGCTAAGTGCACTTGCTCCCTCGAACTGCACGAGAAGAACCTCACTTCTTTCTTCTGGGACTGCTGACCCAACCTGTACCGAATACCCGCTGCGATTCGTCGAAACGACGATATTTTTGACGGAGGCAGGCTGCATGACCCAGTGGGCTGTTCTATCCCCATCTCTCCCACAATGCCACGAACGGGACGTTTACCGATTCAATGCAGGTCACTTGTTCATCCTGTTTTCCCATCCTCCTAGTGGCGAGCGTATATATAACACACCCACCGGGGGCCTACTAGTGCACTCCCACCACTCTCACCGCCGCAATCAGACCAATGGTGCAACCACAGGAAGTTGATGTTATCGTCGCGGGGGGCGGGCCTGCGGGCTGTGTCGTCGCGGGCCGTCTCGCGTTTGCTGATCCCTCGCTCAAAGTCATGCTCATCGAAGGTACCTGCCTCGACTCGTCCCGTCGTGCGCCAGCCAGTCTCTGATGCACACACCCACAGGGGGTGCTAACAACAGAGACGATCCCTGGGTAAGCTCGAGTGGCCGATCTGCGGCGCAGGATTCTGATTAGCTTGTGTTCAGGTCTACCGGTCCGTCGTTCATGACCCACGCTGCGTCGTTCCCTCGCACTCACCGCGGATCCGGATCGCAGACCGGGCATCTACGTCCGCAACATGCAGCGCAACGGCGTGTAAGTGATCTTGACCGCGTCACCCGGGCCTTCCGTGTGCTGACTGGGCCACAGAAACGACAAGGCCACGTTCTACACCGACACGAAGGCCTCGTCGTATCTCCGCGGACGACAGAGCATCGTCCCGTGCGTGCCCCAGTTCTTTTTTTCGCGCGGTGTTGTGAGTGACCGGATTTTGTTCGATCCAGATGCGCGAACATCCTCGGTGTGTAGACCACCCCCTCGTGAAGTATTTCGTCTCACAATTCCGTGCGACCAGGCGGAGGGAGCAGGTGAGAATGCCATCCCCCGATGCGTCCCGCAGAGATAACCCGGACCCCCCGCAGTATTAATTTCCAGGTCAGTCAGTCGGCAAACTCGGGTAGTACAGTCGAGTTCACATGACTTGATGTTTCTAGATGTACACAAGGGTGAGTTCATTTCTGTTTTTGTTTCGCTCTGGCTATTTTGTATGGAGGCCGGGAACTATATGCTGATAAACGGAGGACGTATCACTGATACGCGATAGTTTGCCGACATAGGATCAATTTCATGATGCGCTCCATGTCATGATGCGCTCTATCTGGACGGCTGAAAACGTTATACTAATGACCGATGTCTGAATCGTGGATGGCCGCTCGGCAGATATTGATCAGATGATTGACGCAATGATCAAGACCCCAGGTAGCCGACTATCGCAATATCGCAACATCGTAATATTCGAAAAGCGCAACATTCAAGATAGTGTAATATTCGAGATAGCGTAGTGAGCATGTAATTACTGTAATTCACTAATCATTTTCGCGGGAGTCTTCCTCATCCGAGAACCATGCGTACAGATCAGGACCAACAGCTTGCCGCAGCTGATTGATACGACACGCACCCGAGCGATCCGTTGGCCGAGAAGCCCTCTAGCAGCGGCGACTTGACACTCAAGTTGGTTTCCAGCATGTACCCCCACTCGCGCTCGATCAGATCAATTGCCCGCTCGCCCTTGCCGGCCACAAAATGCGCTTGGATCTGTCGCGCAGGTGACACGCAAACCACAAACCACCAGCGCAACACGCACCTCGAAGCCACGGCCTGATGGGCGTCCAGAACTTCATCAGCCCGGCGCTCACGGCCTTGTTCTGTGCGTCCGATGTCGTGAGGTTGTACAGGACCGCGAGCGCGTTGCCGTCCTGCGGGTGGATGCTCCTCGGCAGGTCGTTGCTGCGGAACCGGCCCGCCGCGGCGTCCCACAGCAGGCTGTTGAACGCAGTTTTGATCTTGGTCGCGTTGGCGAGGTATGTGGCGGGGAGGGAGACATTGCCGAGATGCGTCGCCAGGTCCGCCGTGGTGACGAGCGTCTACGAGCTTGATGAGCGCGGATACATGATGCGAGAGACAGAAATCAATCCTCACGCGATAAAGCAACGCGTTTGCCGCAGAGTTGTGTCCGGCGCCGCTGGCCCTGCCCCAGTCGTTCGAGAGCGCAGACGAGACGTTCATCAGGCCGGTCAAGTCCACCTGGCCCTCAAGGAAGCCAACCGCCTTGGTGTAGTTCGCCCAGACAGACTTGATGAAATCGAGGTCGCCCGTGTACAGGAAGTAGTTGTGCGTCCCAATGAGCGACCACGAGATGTACGTGTCGCTTCCCTGGTTGTTCAGCGGCGGCCCGGAGTACTGCAGCGCGCCAGTCGTCAGGTTTTGCGTGCGGAACATCACCATCAACGAGTTCTTGGTCGGCTCCATGTCGCTCAGCGCGACGAGCTCCGTGTGTGTGGAGATGCCGCAGTCGCCTGATCCGTCGCATGAGTCCGAGGGTTAGATCGCGTCCATGAGCATGAGGGGTTACCTGGCCAGATGTTCCTGACAGTACCAATGTCATCAGCAGGGATTGCACACACAGATCGCGACCGACCATTCCTCACCTGTCGCGTTTTGCACCATCGACGAGGATAGGCCCAGTGGCAGCTCCTCCCAAGGCATCGTTGGACCAGCCACCTACAAATGTGATCGCACAGTTTGAGTCCAAAATTCAGATCCACGCCGACACGAACCTCCTGCTGGGCACGGCTCCTGTCGCGCCGTGTGGGGAGGGATTGTGTTGGTCTGCACCCTATAGTGCCTGCTAGCGGTCAGCCCCCACCCACGCCACGCTCTGCCACATCAGCCAGCAAACAGGCGATGACGCACCGGCGTACCAGATCTTCGTGAGGAAGTCGATGTCGTGGAACCCGGGGTCAGGTGCAAAGAAGTAGCCCGGGTACGCCCTGAGATCATCCCAGTGGGGCATGAACGTGATCGCCAGCGAGATGTTCGAGATCGTCAGCGGGTCCGCGCTCGCACTCACAATCGTCAGGAAGCGGAACCCGCCGCGCTGCTGTCCCACGGTCTGCGTCAGCAGCCCCGTGGCTCGCGGCACGTGGAACGTCTGGATTCTGTCCCAGTTCTGCAGCCGTGCGGGCTGGCACGAGTCGTCCAACTTGAGCGGGCTGATGAACTCCGCGGACTCGGTGAACGACAGTGAGAACTGCGACTGGGCCGTCGCGTTGTTGATCGTCAGCGACAGGATCCCCCCAAGCTACAGTATGGGTGTGTGAATTGACCCTCGACGGCGCTGTATCAGGGAGGCCGCGCACCTCCTTCCCCAGTCGAACACGACGTACGAACCGCTGCCCTGGAATGTCGCCTGGGAGTCCGGACTTGCGACGAGCCTGCTCGCGCCGGCGACCCGGCCGCTGATCCTATCTCGAATGTTGCGCTTTTCGAATATTACGATGTTGCGATATTGCGATAGTCGGCTACCTGGGGTCTTGATCATTGCGTCAATCATCTGATCAATATCTGCCGAGCGGCCATCCACGATTCAGACATCGGTTATTAGTATAACGTTTTCAGCCGTCCAGATAGGCGCATCATGACATGGAGCGCATCATGAAATTGATCCTATGTCGGCAAACTATCGCGTATCAGTGATACGTCCTCCGTTTATCAGCATATAGTTCCCGGCCTCCATAATTTTGAGTCTCATGGCTCAACTCAGGCATCCGCTTCCGATTGGGGTGATTTCTACTCGTTTACCTCAGCGTGCTTCGAAGTTGACGGATGTCAGATGACTTCAAATCCGAGGGATGGACCGCGAAAGGTGCGGCGAAGCGGTCCAATTTGAACATGGCTGAATAAGCAACCCTCACCAGATCTACTGCCTTTGATGAAACGGGTATCTGCATGGTCGATGTGACAATGTAAACATCTAATGCTTCGATTCTGCAGCTCGAGAACTACCAGAAGCCGTGCAACAACGACACACACGGCTACGACGGCCCCATCGCCATCTCGAACGGCGGCAGCATCACTCCCCTTGGTGCGCTATCACATGACACGCGCGGGTTCGAATCTGTCACCTGATGGGACTCCACAGCGCAAGACTTTTTGCGAGCGTCGGATGCGATTGGCGTGCCCTACAGCGGTAGGATATGTACTCCCAGCAGCCTGGATATATTCTGATCTGTTCGCAGATGATATCCAAGGCAAATCGAGATTGAACCGGTCAGAGAGTTGTCCTAATTGAGCATGATCCCACAGATTTGGAAACCGCGCACGCCTCTGAGATCTGGGCCAAATACATCAACCGACACACCGGCCGCAGAAGCGACGCCGCGACAGGTCTGTCTCTCCATCATCGTCATCGTCGTGGCCGCTCGCTGGTGCTGACTTGCTGGCCCCCCAGCGTACGTGCACAGCGTGATGGACGTGCAGGACAACCTGTATCTGCGCACCAACTCGCGCGTGTCGCGCGTGATCTTCGAGGGCAACAAGGCCGTCGGCGTCGCATACGTCCCGGCCCGCAACCGCGCGCACCAGGGCCAGGTCGTCGAGACCATCGTCCGCGCACGCAAGTACGTCGCGCTGAGCAGCGGGACATTGGGGACGCCGCAGATTCTGGAGCGTTCGGGGGTCGGCAATGCCGAGCTGTTGAAGAAGATGGATCTGAAGGTCGTCAGCGATCTTCCCGGTGTTGGGTGCGTGTCTGTGTCGTTCGATTGATGAGCTGGTGCTGACAGTTGGACATGAATCTAGCGAGCAATATCAAGAGTGCGGATGTCTCGATTCTTCTCTTGTGCTCTGTGACTGATTGGGTTCTTTACAGCCATTACACCACGCTTTCTCGTAAGTGAAACATGCAAGCGAGTCTTGAATGCCATTGAAGACTATCCAAGTGTACCGTGTCTCCAACGAAAGCTTTACTCTGGACAACTTCCTCCGCGGCGACAAGGATGTTCAGCGCGAGCTGTTCCAGGAGTGGGAAGTCTCACCAGAGGTCAGCGATATCCACACATATCTCGTAATTTCACCCAAGAACTTGGTGCCTAGAAAGCGCGCCTGTCGTCCAATGCGATCGACGCCGGATTCAAGGTCAGTGCATCTGAGCTCCCCCAGCAAAGAGCATCTTGCTGATTGGGAACAGATCCGTCCGACCGAGGCCGAGCTGAAGGAGATGGGACCCGAGTTCAACAAACTCTGGGACAAGTACTTCAAGGACAAGGTGATCCGATCCGTCCGAGGTCGAGCCAATTGATTAACAGCGAAATCAGCCCGACAAACCTGTGATGTTTGGATCGATCGTTTCGGGAGGCAAGCATTCGATGCACGGGTTGATTTGATGCTGACCCGTCGTGCAGCCTACGCCGACCACTCGCTCCTCCCACCCGGCAATTACATCACCATGTATGCTGGTGTTGACACCGTGTTGGATTGATCGGTTCTCACCGTTCGACAGGTTCCAGTACCTCGAGTACCCGGCCTCGCGCGGGAACATCCACATCAAGAGCCCGAACCCGTACGTCGAGCCGTCGTTCGACAGCGGCTTCATGAACAACAAGGCGGACTTTGCGCCGATCCGGTGGAGCTACAAGAAGACGCGTGAAGTCGCGCGCCGGATGGACGGTCTGTGGCGTGTCTGCCCCCAATAATAAACCCAGCCTCATGATATAAACCCAGCGTTCCGCGGTGAGCTGACGTCGCATCACCCGCGGTTCCACCCCGCGTCCCCCGCGGCGACGAGGGACATTGATATCGAGACGGCCAAGGGCCTGCTGCCCAACGCGCTGACCGTCGGGATCCACATGGTGCGTCCCTGCGCGTCTTTTTCTGGGTGTGCCCGACCCACCCACCCCTGATCTGACACGCGCATCCACAGGGAACATGGCATGCGTGAGTGTGCGCCTTGCTCGTGACGCAGCCGGCGGCTGACTTGCGCGCGCAGGCCCGGGGACAAGTACGACGCCAGCAAGGTGCACGAGGACATCAAGTACACGGAGGAGGACGACAAGGCGATCGACGACTGGATCGCGGACCACGTCGAGACGACGTGGCACAGCCTCGGCACGTGCGGTGCGGGATCTCTGTCTCTGCGTGTTGGATTCCACGCGGGACTCACGGCTTGCAGCGATGAAGCCGCGCGAGGAGGGCGGTGTCGTCGACAGCCGCTTGAACGTGTTCGGGACGGAGAACCTCAAGTGCATCGATCTCAGTATCTGCCCCGTGCGTGATTCCCTTGTAGGATGTGCTGCTGTATGCCAAAACGGTGTGGAACAGGACAATCTCGGCACGAACACCTACTCTTCTGCGCTCCTCGTGGGCGAGAAGGGCGCGGATATCCTCGCTCAGGATCTCGGTAACCTACTCCGTCTTTTTTCCAGCCGCCGTCGTTACTGACGCTGAGGATCCAGGCCTCAAGATCAGAGTCCCCCATGCTCCGGTCCCGCACGCGCCAGTCCCGACCGGAAAGCCGGCGTCCCAACTCGTCCGCTAAGTGTCAGGGAGAAATTTGTAACTTTTTTGTATCAGTATGTCACGTATCAGGAGAACCTGGAATTGTATAAGCTTCGATCGGCGACTGCGCATGAGTCAGTCCAACAACAAATCACGTGCCTATTCGGCAACGCTCGCGCACGGACCACCGCAGGCGTCGTATAAAGACCAGCACTGAGCATCATGAATCTTCACCACTCTGGCCTTTTGGCTTAGATCAAGTGTAGTATCTGTTCTTAATAGTTTAACCACTATTAGAGGGACACAGTCCCTTCTATTTGGTTATCTAATTTTTGCCGCCCTTGTCTTTCTGCTCTGCTTGCAACAGAAGGACGCGATGACCTTGCCGCTGCACTACTGGCTTGTGTCGTCGGGGGTCCACTTTTTTTTGTACTCTCCAGTCTGCTGACCCTAACCCTATTTTGTAGCTTGGTGTCCACATCATCTATAAACGCGAAACGTAGCCGTTTGCGTAGTGTTTGCATCCTGTTCTATTCTGTTGTTTAGCTTTTTTCTTTCTCGGACCACAATAGATTAAGATTTAGGAATCGATGAGTCCAATTGCGATCGTCATATCGACATGTCGGTCTGCGGCGTTGCCTGCATGTTCAGTAAGGTGAGTGAACAGGGCTTTACGGTGGATCGAAGGTTCTAGTTTTCACGCCACTGGTGGGCACACTTCGTACAACTGAAAAGATAGCAAGTTTCAGTCAGTATCTCACACCCGTTGGGCAACGGAACGAACCGATAGACTGCGCAAGGTAAATCAAACAGAAGTAACGGAAAACGCGAAAGCAAAGCGCACAAGTAGTCATCGGCTCATCTGCCGAACGGATCTGGAGTTGATAGAAGTACGCTTTGTCGTTGTTACATGTCGGACACGATGCTGGAGAACGCGTGAGATCGACTGTTCCAAAACACACCTAGCAAGGACTTGCCCATCGTAGCGTCGGCATGTTTCCAAGCCTCTTCACCACCGAGAACATCGTCGACGGCTTTTCTGACCAGTTTAGTCCTCGAGGTCATCTAAAAAGCGGAGGATGAGCATCGGGCAACGCTGGTCACGGCGATCGCCGATCGCACCTGCTTGGTGATCGGAAATTCATACGGACAGGTGTTGCAGGACCATTTGTTGTAGCCCGTTTCTCCAGACACCACAAGGAGGTTCGAGCACGTAGGACAAAAGAGCATCTATTCCGCAGAGCAAAGGGCCGCCCACCGGTCCGATCGAGATGCTCGTGATGGATTTTGACAAGAGTGTTTGGTGCTGTTGTGTCTGAGCGCGCTTCTTACACCTTGAGGTCGTCGTGCTGAGTGGCGAACGCGTTTGAGTTGGATTTTTAAGGCGTCGTTAGTCCGTAGATCACATCGGGCCATGTCTTCGGATGCAGCAGAGTTGAAAAAACTCGTGAAACAGTTGCAAAGCTCGAGCTCAAGTGAGGTATGCATCATTTTTCTGTCACCATTTAACTTGTTCCTGCGCGCTCACAGTCGATCCTAGGATATCGTGTCGACGCTCCGTTCACTTAGAAAAGATTTCAAAGTAAATGAAGCCATCCTTAGGGTCGGTGTTGCTCGTCCCTGTTTGCTCCGCCATCGTGGGTCACTCATGTCGCGTGCAGGAAAGCAAGGCGGGGTTAGCGGTGGGGAAGTTGCGCACGCATGCCTCGAAAGCCGTCGCGGATCTCGCGAAGGACGTGGTCAGGCAGTGGAAGGTGGAGGTCGAGCAAGCAAAGGCGGGTGCAGCCGCAAGCAAGCCGACGTTGGGTGTGAATACCTCCGGTGCGTCGTCGCGTGTATCTCCCACATCGGCGCAACCACCCTGACCGACTGCAGTCGCAAAGAAACCGACGCCCACGACCGCCCGACCTGCTGCTGCTGCCACCACCCCGAAAACACCCGTCGATTCGAAAACGCGCACGCTCAAGTTGGATGGCGTCACCGCTAATTTCACAGGCGATAAGACGCGCGACAAGTGTATCGAGCTTGTGTATGATGCCCTTGCCGTGGACTCTGGTGCCCGTTCGTGCTTTGTCGACTTCTTTGAGCTTGGAAGTCGTCTGATTCGTTGCTCACAGCTGTCGATCTTCTGCTACAGAGGTCCAAGGCGATCGAGGCCGCGGTCCACAGCGAGCCCGGCATAAGCACGCAGGCCTACACCACCAAGATGCGCTCTCTCTTCGTGAATCTCAAGGACAAGAACAACCCCAGTCTGCGCGAAGCCGTAGCCAGCGGCGATATCCCTGTCGCCAAGTTCGTCAAGATGTCCAGCCAGGAGATGGCATCCGAGGAGCGAAGGAAGGCGGATCAGCAAATTGAGCAGCAAAATCTGTTTGACGCGCTCGGTGCTGTCGAGCAGGAGGCCGAGACCAGTGCGTTCCAGTGCTCCAAGTGCAAGCAGGTGCGCCGCCTCCTCCCATTCAAGATTTTGTCCGGCTGCTGACGCCTGGAATGCAGAGGAAGTGCCGCTACCGCCAGGCCCAGACCCGCTCTGCCGACGAGCCTATGACTACTTTCGTCACGTTCGTTCTCTGTCTGTCTCGTTTGCCGCCCGCCATTGACCCGATTCGCAGATGTGTGAACTGCAACAACAGGTGGAAGTTCTCCTGAATCATAACGATGCGCTTGGACCCTCTTCTTTTTCGATGTATTTTTGCACGCTCGTGCCGATATCTGTTTGCGCTCCTTGTTATCTATTCCAGTACCTGTATTTTTTTTGTCGATACACCCGCGCGCTTTGTTCCGTATCGCCTTGACTTGGCTTCAGATCAGGACTCGTGGGCTGCTTGTTTACGCGTGTTGATCGTTCCAAACCTCTCCTCTGAACGCGTCTTACGACGCGCACCTTCCGGCTTTCTCTCTCATACGGGGATACCTTTCCATCTATACTGAAACATGAGCACGGCCGCCCTCCCCTCTCTTGACGCTTTGCATCGGCAAAGTGCGAAAAGGACACGATCCATATTCGAATCATGTCCGGACGAAGGTTTGAAGGATGAGGAAAAGAGGCATGGCTACGCCGCGGACCGCATTGCTCCTCCCTAACGTCTTGCAGCGCTCGGATACGGCTTTCGACGAAAATCTACGACGAATATCGCGATTTCAAAGAACTGCCGCCAGCACTCTTGTCCCAGCAGGCGGGCGTAGGACCCGCACGGCCGAAGGAATTGAGGAAAATGATAACAGCGGGGCGTACGTCTTTCTTCGCTCTCTTCTGGCTGTGGTATTGAGTCGCTGCTGCCGTATAACAGCCTCCGCACCCGCCGATGCCGCGACGGCCCTAATGATCTCCTCCATCGACCGCACCCCCACCACAACACCGTCCACCTTCACATCCTCGAGCAAGCTTTCCCAGGCGCTCTCCCTGCACAAGACGACGCGGACAATCAAGCCGACGTATCATCCGCCGTGGAAGCTTGTGCGTGTCATTTCGGGCCATCTGGGATGGGTGCGCAGTGTCGCAGTGGAGCCGGGGAATCAATGGTTCGCGACGGGTGCTGGGGACCGGGTTATCAAGATATGGGACTTGGCGTCGGGGGAGCTGAAGCTGTCGCTGACGGGCCACATCTCGACTGTGCGCGGGCTGGCCGTGTCACCTCGTCACCCTTACCTGTTTTCGTGTGGTGAAGACAAGGTGCGTAGCCTTGGGTGTTTTTGGATATCTTTTCTGACGGCGCTTTTCGTTTCGTGCTAGATGGTGCGCTGTTGGGATCTGGAAGCTAATAAGATCATCCGGCATTACCACGGTCATCTCTCTGGTGTATATACCCTTGCGCTGCACCCCACACTTGACGTGCTGGTCACCGCCGGTCGCGATGCTTCCGCTCGTGTATGGGACATGAGGACCAAGGCGCAGATACACGTCTTGTCGGGCCACACAGGCACTGTCGCCGATGTAAAATGCCAAGACTCCGAGCCCCAGGTTATCACAGGTAGCATGGACTCCACTGTCAGGTGCGTTTTCGCCTCCGCTGTGCTGGGTTGTCCATCTTGGCTGAGATCTCGGTCATGTAGGCTGTGGGACTTGGCTGCCGGCAAAGCCCGTGTAACGTTGACGCACCACAAGAAATCGGTCCGAGCGCTGGCCATCCACCCGACCGAGTACTCGTTTGCATCGGGATCAGCCGGCGGGAATAATATCAAGAAATGGAAGTGCCCTGACGGCAATTTCGTGTTCAACTTCAGCGGACACAATGCCATCATCAATACGCTCTCCGTGAATGCGGAGGGTGTGTTCTTCTCTGGCGGTGAGTGCATTCGGGTGACATGGCAACGATTTGCCGGGCTGAGCTCCGCACAGCGGATAATGGCAGTCTGTCGTTCTGGGACTACAATACGGGAACGCCCTTCCAGACGATGGAGGATCTTCCCCAGCCTGGCTCGCTGGAAGCTGAGGCGGGCGTTTTCTGCTCGACGTTCGACATGACCGGGACGCGCCTGATTACGGGTGGGGCCGACAAGACAATTAAGGTATGTGCTTATGTCCTTGACATGTCGAACAGTCTCCGGAAACTGATGCGTTGCAGATCTATGCTGAGCAGACCGGGACGTCGTGATGTTGTAATTCGCTGTTTGTATTCACCGTTGGCAAGAGAAAAGATTATATTTGATACATGGCGAACCGCTGGGAAGGACTGAAAAGCAACAATACAGCCAAAGAAGACATGATTAAATGACAAAGATGATATTTGGATTGATTGCACGATCGACCGACATGGGAATCACTCAACCGGCCCACCCGCTGAGCGACGACAGGCCGGCATGCGGAGGAGTGTCAAGGTGAAATGCTGCAGTGTTTACGGCAGGCTCGATCCTCTGCCGGGGGCATAGTCCATGCGAGGCGGAGATCGACGTCGGCGGGCACCCAGCGAGTCTAGGCACCGGAGAGACGGCATTTGCGGGGCGGTGGGCCTGGATCAGCGGCGAATACGCCATCTGCTGCGTGTCGTAGTGCAGCTGGTGGTGCAGATCCGCCGCGTCCATGTCTCCTGCCGCCGTGATGCCGTATAGGCCGGACCGCGGCGGGTCGATGGGCGATATGGGGAACGGCGGCGAGGAGGTGCCGGAAACGGGGGAGAGCGTCTCGTTTGGGCTGGGGAGATCGTCGAAGTAGGGGTATGACTGGAGCTGCATGTTGGCCGCATCGAGGGGGAGAAACATGTCCGACGGCGGTGATAGCCAGTCGACGGCCGATGGGAGCATGTTGCTCACGGGGTCGTCCTGCCAGAGACCCATCTGACAGGATGATGTGGTATTGGCGATCGCCGATTGCCAGGTGGACGCGGGTTTTCCGGGTGGAACGACAGACGGTCCGGGCTTGGTGCGGCGCGTCAGGAGCGGCGCGGGGCTTGTTTCGGGGGGCAGATCGATAGGGCGCAAGGTCACTGAGCGTCTCGTCGGGCGGTGGTCGTCTTTGATGAACGGCGGCTGCACGGGCTTCGCGCCGTACACCTTCTTCTTCGTCAGGCCGTGGACCTGCTGCAGCTTTGCGACGATGCTGGGTGGATCGGCGCACGGATCAGTCAGTGCCTTGGTGGTGTACATGTCCGACGGAAGGTGCTGCGACGTCTCAGAGGTCTGTGCCGTGCGGTCTTAGCCAAGCAGATTTCATCAGCCCACGTAACACACCTTGGATGCCGAGGAAAGATGCACTGCGCGGGTGTCAGCGAGGAGACTCATCACAACCCGGCACGGGGAACTCACCTGCGGGCTCCAGTGGAACACAGACCCGGAATAAAAAGTCTGTTGAGTACGTCTGCAGCCACAGCGGCTCTTCCGTGTGCTGTTCCTGCTTCTGCCCCCGCCAACAAAGATGAGACGGCGCTGGAGGTTTGAGATGGACGGGAGGATACGCACCGCTTGCTCGAAGAGTCCTATGAACGGGCTTGTACGCAGATGTGATGTAAGCGCAAGGTGGATGTGCACTCGTTCCTGAATACACACACATACAGTCAACCCGAGACGCCAAGAAACCAGCCAACCCAGGCGCACCTTTCGCAGCGATCGCGCAAGCTGCTGCCACGGGTCCGGCCCTTCGCCGCCGTAGTCGAGCGGACACGTCGCCGCCACGATAATGAGGTGGCGCACGGCACGCGCAGATTGGCACGCGAGGAACTGTGCAGAGATTCGGCATGCAGGACGACAAGCGGGAGGCACGAGCGGCAAACCTGGGCTGCGTAGCGGATGTGGGCGATGGCCAGGGCGTTGTCGGAGTCGTAGTTGAACTGCAGCTCGGTCAGGTCCGCCTCGAGGTTGCTCGACTGGCGCGGATTGGGGGCGAGGTCGAACGGGGATGGCCGGCTCGCAGCGACGAATATCTTTTCCTGGACGACGCGTGAGTTCTGCCTGCGCGGTCGTGTGAGAGAGACGGCAGGTACTGGACAAGATGGGTGGGCTCCGCGCAGTTGCTGGATGAAGTTGGGGAGATATTGAGTTCGCAGCGGCCTCCAGTAGCCGGCAAGCAGAGATGAGTTCTCGATGAGAAGCAGAAATTGTTGGCCTGAGGAGCCTGTCATGGAGCGAGAGCGGTTTGGAAGGGTTGGAGTAGCTATCACACAGAGGACGCTTTCAGTTTCAATGCAACGGTTCGTTGCAGCCGGGGGAATAGAGCGAGTGACTCGAGTCAAGGCGAGTCAAGGAAGGTGGTGGTGGTGGTGGTGGTGCAGAGCAGAGTCGTCTGATACGTAAGCCGAGAGTGCTCAAGTAGGACAAGGAAATGACTTACGGGAAGACGTCGCTCTTCAGCGTGGAACGCACCGATATAGCAGATCGTCGTTCTGCGCTTGCTGGGAAATGAAGCCCAAATTGACACACGTCGCACGTCTCGAGTGCGAGAATATATGACACCGAGTCCTCCCAAGGTCACTCAAGTCGCCCGACCCTTGCATGCAAACGAACAAATCCGGAAACACCCCGGAAGAAGGAAGGGCCCATCCACGTGGAAGGGGAAGGAACAACGCTCTGGCCGGGCTGCTGTTCGCTCCTCCGGCCGAATTCCCCCAAGAAATCGAGAAGGTGGAAGAGAGGCAAAAAAAACTCGGCGTGGTGATCACAAAGCGGCGCAAATGGAATGCGATGGCACACCAGCCCCCCGGTGATCTTGGGAACCCCCGGTAGTAGTAGTACAGTACTGTGCCATCAAATCTTGAGCCAAAGCGGTCAATGCAGTGAGTGGAAGGTGTCCTGAAACAGTATGTATGTATGTATGGGTACGTCGGTCGCGCACCTGGGGCTCCGTGCATTCGCATCCGCTAGGCGGCTGTTGCGCGCGACATACAGCAAAGAAGATCGCGCCCGGGTTCTTTGACACTGGAAATCTGGAAAGACGCTCATAGAGACTTGGACATGACACTGACAGAACCGGAAGAAGCTCCGGCCGGCGTTTACAGGGCTATACGACTTTTTCTTTTCTCAAGAGGCGACATGGCGTGGGACTGAATGAGGCATGGATGCATGGTGAAGATCGTTTGCAGAAGGCAGACGGAGGAAAAGGAAAAGCCAAAGAGTGATCGGTGATCGGTGATCATCAATCGCTGATGTATAATCAATTAATTAATGGCTGATGGATGATTCTCGAGAAATGGTTGTTTCGAAGCTCTCAATTTCGTATTCCGGGACACCACCACCAAGCCTCCGACATGATATGTGCACTGGAGTAACTGCAGCCGGCCGACTCTCTGCGCAAGCCCATTCGGTGACGACCCTGATCGATGGTATCCATGCGAAAGCCGTGTCCTGCAATTACTCAACCCTGACAATTTATTCGAAGTATGACTTGGGTCTGACATCCATTCGCCGACGCGCACCTCGCGGATCGCGACGCCGCTGCAGGCATCTACGTAGACGACTTGGAATCCATTTACCCGGTTGCACTGCAGTGACTGTACTCACTTACTCGTCTCTTGTAAGCAAGACGTCAGATCGTATCCTGGAAGTCTATCGGACTTCCGAATCAGCGCGTTGCATGAGGGGACACGGCGCCACTTGAGACTGGCCGCCCGAAGGACATGTCCGGAAAAGGCGATTGTTTACAGCTGGGCGGCGGGCTGGTCACGCCACCGAGTGTGCCCCCCAGTGATCGGAGTGGCGTATCACCTCACCCCCGCCTCCTGCAACCATATTCTCAATTGCCAGCACACGGTCTCGGCGTGGGGCAGCAGAAGCATGCTTACACCCCGTCTTTCTTTTCGAGCCCAAGCGCCGCCGACCTCGCATCCCTTTGAGACGCCTGCGATCAACATTGCACATTCTGACGGGTGGCGGCCATCAAAACTCTCGTTACGGCAACGCTTCTTGGATTGACGGCGATCCCGATAAGATTAGATCTTCTTGTCTCGAGATCTCAGAAAGACGTCATACTCACACGGTGATGTCATACCTATCCACGAGGATACATGGGTTGGGACCCGGCCGGGGCTGGATGGAGTGTCTGCACGATGATGAAATGGCTGCGTCATGGCTGGGACGAGTGAGAATCTGTATATAAGACAATCTTGCGCCGTATATCTTTCCTTACCTAACGACTCACGACTTCACTTTAACAACCACTTGACTTCTCACGAACAAACCATCATCATGGTGCGTCCACTCCAAAGCTGCAGAACCGAACTCGACAGTGATGGCTGACCCGCGACGCGTTTCAGGGCTCTGTATTTTCTGCTATCGGCCGTGGAATCAATGCCATCATCAGCGCCATTGCCGCCGTCCTCGAGACGATCGTCGGCGCGATCACCACGGTCATCGTCACCATTTTCGATGTTATCACGGATATCAGTACGTCTTCTTCTGCGTTATCAGCTGCCTTCGACTGATTCGGACCTTTTTCACTCTTCTCTTTAGTATGCTGCCGATGCTGTGGATCTCGTCGCAGCGGAAGGCGATACGGTCGGAGAAGGCGAGGAGCTGCCACCTACTAAGCTCCCGGAATCTGGCCAGAATTGACTTGTCCCTAATGTATCCACCGTTGTTGTAATACCCTATTGTGCACTTTCTCTCTGCAATCGCATTCCGTCGAGTTTATCAGTGACTGACTACTACTGTACAACTGGTGTCTGGTTCCAGTACGCGAAATCGGCAGGAGAGAGGCATGGTTTTCCGTTTCCCGTGTTGTAGATGCCAAATGCGGCGCCCTTGAAGAAGAATCCTCCCGCCGGTGGCACAGTGAGCAGCTCCGAGTCGATGGTCAGAGGGAAAACAAACTCTCCTTGCGCATCTTCTGAGTAGCCCAGAGCGTAGCCCGTCGAGTTTGCGACGATTTTGAAACGGACGGGACCACTCTTGGTCGTGAGCGGATGATAGTTGACCTACGAGGCAGGTCGGATCATCGACGAGATAACAACCATGAGTCCCAACACACCGTGGTGATCGTCGCATTGGTGTAAACAAGGCCCCACGGACCCACCTGCGATGCCTGCGCGTTCATCCTCGTGACCACGCTCCGCCCGCCGGCCCCATCGCCGACGATCCCGATATCGTCGTGCAGCTGGTCGCTGTAGAAGATGGTCACGCCTGCCTCCGTCAGATTCGTCGCCGGGCTGAACTCCATCTCGGTCTCGAACACCTCCGTGTAGCTCGTCTGCTTGCGCAGCAGCAGCGCCGGCGTGTCGCGGTCCCCGAGCGCGTACGAGTTGCCGTTGAGCCGCAAGAACCCGCGGCGGGCCGTCAGCGAGTGGAATTTCTTGTACGGCGTCCGGAGAAAGTAGAACGAGAGATCGAGCGCCGCCGCGGTGAAGTCGTTGAAGTATTCCGTCAGCGGCGATTTGTCGTGCAGCACACCGGGCATGTGCTCGCTGATGGGCTGTCCGTCGTATACAACCGGCCACCCATCCTTCCACGTGATCGGGAAAAGGAACGTTTCGCGGCCTGGGGCAGTCAATGAATTGGGAGGGCCGGAATATGCGACGCGAGAGATGCTTACCCAGCTGGGCACGGGCGAAATTGCCGCCTTGCGGGCGGATCCCGAGGGCCACACCCCACCAAGACCCATCCGGCGCCTGAACGAAATCAGAATGGCCCGTTTGTTGCACGGGGAGCGACAGATTGGCGCCGTTGAACAGGATCGGGTTCGCGGGATTGTTCTCCCACGGCCCCGACGGAGAGGGTCCGCGCTGAATGGTGGACTGATGCGCGGGTCCCGAGCCGCCCTCTGCGATGAGCAGGTAGTACGTCGAGTTAATGTGGAAGACGTGCGGTCCCTCCGGCCGGGCAGACGAATTGTGCGGCAGCGTTCCAGTGAAGATGATCTCAGCCGGCGTGAGCGAGTTGCCGGTCTCAATGTCAATTTTGTTCTGGTAGATGCCTATGCATGCAAGTCAGCTATCCCTGACGGGGCTCGTCTCAATGGGATTGAATTGAAGTACTGTAGATTTTGTGGACCGCATCGTTGATGCCTGACCATGTCGCGTAGACATCGCCGTTCGTGTCCCAGAAGAGGTCTGTGTCATACCCAAGGGCGTCTGCAACCCATAATTACACATCAGCCTGAATGTCCCTGAGCGCGCGATCCATCGACGCACCAAAATAGACGGGAGCGCTCCAGCTGTCCGCGAAGATGTCCTGCGTATGCACGTAAAACGAGCGAGGGAACAGTCGGTACTCGGCTGGAATCGCCGTCAGGCCGCCGCCGGCGCGTTCGTGTCCGGACGGACCAACGGAGGAGACGCACCGGTGTAGGCATATCGGGCAGTCGAAACAAGGTAGAAGGTTTTTGTGCGCTCGTGGTATCGAAGGGCAGGACCCCAGATCCCTGCGTACGAAACGTGAGCGGTCGAGTGGGCGATGTGGGTGGGGCCCGGGAGGCTCAGGGCTCGCACGCGGAACGCACCTGCGTCCGTCGGAGTCCCAAATAAACTCAGTTGTGAGGGCCGATTGAGTCCGTGCCCGATGAGCTTCCAGGACACGAGATCTAGCGGAAGGAAGCACGTGCGAGCGAGCGAGCGAATCAGCCGTCCCGTGTCGCGTCCCGAAATAGCTGGCCCGCACCGGTGCTGTGGTAGATGGGGTGCCCCGGGAAGTATTCGAACGTCGAGGTGACGACAAAGTAGTCTTTTCCCACTCGCACGATGCTGGGGTCGGGATTCCAGCCGGGTAGGATCGGGTTAAGAAGCGCATGCACTTGAAGATTAGCTGCGAGCGATAGCACTTTGCATGGAGTAAGCAAGCAAGCAACGCGTAGGAGGGGGAGAGTGGTAGTCAGCGGCGCACCGCACGAGAGCGCCGGCGGCCGCTGACTGGGCCCAGTGGCACTTGCCTACAGACAACACGAGCGCGATGCTCCAGAATCCTCCCATCTCAAGACGCGTGCGGGGAAGCAACAGGCACCGCTGCTGGCCGCTGGCACCTTTATAGACAGTCGGTCACCTGCTGCTGCAGCGCGCATCTGATGGACACTGCTGATCCTCGCGGGGGCTGGGAGCGCGCACGTCAGCTGCGCAGACCAGGTGACCCTCCCAAGCGGACCCTCTGAGAAACAATCGGTCCGCCGAGCCGCCGGTGCTCGGGGAATGATGAGAAGCATAAGAGTGTTTGTCAATTGAGCATCAGCGACAGCCTGTACATAGTGTTGTTGGCAGATCATAATTGATTTGCCGATCAGTTCTGCCAGCCCGGCAATGCCTGGAATTGGCAGTGAAGGCCCGGCAGGGGGTGGCAGAAGTCGGCAGAACTTGTTCAGCCGAATTTCAATTGGGCAGGATCAGACAGATCAATGTTATCGATTTGAGCAGATTTTAAGCCATCTTCCTTCTTCCACTTATCTTCCGGCGGCAAAATGGGCAATGGTGGAAGCCCCGCTGAGAAACAGAAATCCGGACGTCACTATTTCACACGTGATTACTGCAATGTCAAGCAATTGAAGGACAAGATCAGTGCGTGAGCTGCGGCTGCATCTCGGAGCCAACGGACATCATTGATTAATCATCCTAGCCAGGATGCCGAGGCTTCCAAAATAGGAAGGTCTGTGTGTCAGCCCTACCTCCTCACACCACAGTCACTCTCCGAATAAATATGAGACGTCCCCTGCTCCCAATCTCTGAATCTGCTTTGAATCCCCGTTGTACGATTGAACCTCTCGCAAACAGGTGGGAAGGAGCCTGCTCTACCTAGTGTTATGTAGCCTGCATAGAACTCTGTAAGCGGCCCGTTTGAAAATGGCTCATTTTGGATTCTGCCGAGTTCTGCCAGTTCTGCCGACGGCTGGGAATTAGTGCTGGGCTATGAATTTTTTCTGGGTTGCTAGGTTGATTTTTTAATTGCTATGATCGTCGCGGCTCTTGCTAGGCTAAATATAGGTGCTATTAATCGATTGTAGCCAAGTTTTTAGCAAGGCTAGAACATCGGTATCTACGGCGTCTGAGCGCGTTTTTGAGTGTCCATGTCGATCCATTACTCGTCGTCGCTATCTGCCGTGGGATCCCAAGGCTGATTCACGATCTCTTTGGTGACCACAGCTGGGGCTGCGACTGTTTTGGAGGTAGTAGGTGCGGCGCTAGGAAGGATGAGACCAGCCAGTGCCGGACTGTCAAGGCGTACGAAGTCAGCGACAGCCCATCGACTGGAGGAGCGTGTGATGAACGGCGTGGGAGTGGGATTCGTGTGAGCGGACTCCGAAATGACGTTGTTGTCGACACGATCCGACTCCTCCAAGTCATAAGGATCTTCTTGCTCAAAGAGCATCTTCTCAAGAGCTTCTTGATCCTCTGTGCTTGGATCAATGTTGACGTCGTTCAGTAAATCCATGAGTGTGGGTGCCGACAGAGTGACGTCGGACTCGGTTGATAGATCGACGTTGGATACGCGGACATGCGCTGTCGAGGTGTGTTGATATTCGCCCTCGGTGAAGCCGTTCTTGTACCATTGGGAGAGCTGGGCTGAATACACAAGGTTCTTGGGGGTCATGGAGCTGCGACGAGCAGAATTTGTCCACCCGAGAAGAGATGCGGTGCGCTCATCACAGATCTCTGAAGGCGAAATGGAGAAGAGGACAATAGCAACAGTCTAGATATGTGAAATCAAGACCGGTATGTAAGCTGTGTACTTGTACGCACCGCCAGAACGTCTGCATTTGAATCATGCTTCAATGCAGTCCAGTAGTCCAGTGCCTTGTCCGTGCGTGTCACAAACCCACGTCGATGGAACGGAGAATGTCCGCAAGCCCATCGAACAAGCTGCTCTGTCAAGCGTTTGGCATCGGCCTTGCATTCAGCATTGAGACGTTTCTGCTCGCCGTGTAAGACGGCTCTTGCTGATAGACGGAGGGTCCGGAACATGTCGCTCCACTGATCCTTGTCGTACTTTTCGCCCTCACGAAGATTTGGCAGGACTAGTTTCAATCCTCCTTGTGCAAAGTAGACTGGTAGACATTGTGAGCTGGGATTACATTTAGAGCAGAGGACTTACGGGGATGAAGGAAGTACGCAAGTAAAAAGAGGTTATGAGAGGACTCGGTCATCATCTGCTCGAAACGAGCATTGTAGATGTTGATGATCTGCGACCGATACTTCGTGAAACCCTTCGACAAACTGCCAACAAGGCGCTCGAGATGCCAGGCAATTGTGACCCATACGTAGAATACATCAGCGCATGTTACATTCTGCCCCTCGAGCGCTGTGATACCGTTTGCCCCGGCCTCGAGAAGTTGAATGAGTGCGGAAAGTTTGGATTGGAAGCCCGGGTATTCAAGATGATCAGGATCAAAGTAAGGAAGGAAGCGCCGTGTCTGCATGACATGTTAGTACATTCTAAGGGTACAGATGAAGCCGTACCGTTTTCGTATCAAACGCAATAGTCCCAGACTGCAGACATGCAACAATAGCTGGGAAGCAGAGTCGCAGAGCAAAGGCCTGAATATATGATGTCCCGAATCGAGTGTCGGATGCAGACTTGATGCCTGTCTTGATTCCTAGATCGTTGCGTTTGACTGCCAAGGCATGGGTCGCGGAATTGGAATGGGCAAAGTAGTTAGAGATGCCTGCAATGATTGCAAGTTCCTATCCCAAATGTGAAAAAAGATATGGGAGAGACAATGAATCATACCGGTTTGAACAGCTTTCCAATATCCTTCAGGAAGAGGTTAAGAAGGTGACTTGGGTCGTAGATGTTCAATATCCACGGAAAGGCTGCCGCAATCAGCCTTCGCATCACGCGTACATTGCTTCCACCATCACCGACAACAGCACTATACGAAGCAGCACCGTAGATCTTGAGGATCTTCTCCTTAGCAACAGCCAGCAACGCTTCCGCCGTAACCGCCACGCCATTGAAGACATGTCCGAGCGTGAAGATAGACCGTCGACTCAGAAGTGTTGTGTGGAACGTGTATATCTCATCCTGTCTCCGACTGCTCCAGCCATCGAGCGAAAGAGTCAGGTAGAAGCGATTCAGCAGGAAGGCCTTCAAAGTGACGTTGAATGCGGAGATCTGCTCGGTGATTTGTCGGGTGAAGAACGCACTGCGCTCCGGAGTGATGTAGTTGGGAACGAGGACCGAGAGAAGGTTGATCAGCCAAGGGTTCTCCACGAAGGAAAATGGCAGCGCAGCACAGATGACGAGCTGGAATAGTGCAAGATCGATCGCCGCTTGACGGGCCGGTGTCATCTTCACAGGCTCGAAGTACTCCATGATAGTACCCTTCTTTGACTCAGCGGACCCAGAAGACTCTGGCGTTGCGTTGTCGTTTGACGGCTCGTCTTCATCGGCAGATATCTCCGAATCCAAATCAAGCTCCATGGGGGTGGCAGCTGTAACCGGTGATGCGGCAGCTTGTTTCTTCTTAGTGCGCACAGAAGGCAGATTTCCCTTTGCACGGCTGGCATTATCTTCACACACTCTCTGGTACAGCTTTGGGAACAACTTGGAAAGCATCTGGAAGCCATCTAAGCAACGGGAGAAAAGCAAGATCAGAGTCGTACCTTGCAGTCAAGTGCATGCTTCCGGCTTCGACCCGGATTACGGAACGGAGTAGGATCATCGTCACATGCAATACAGTACGTCCAGGTCTTCTTCTTGCCGTTGTCCAGTATCTCTACTTCCTCGATGACCAAGTCATCCACCAGTGTATCCCGGGGTGCTCCTGCACGTTTCTTCTCCGCATTCTTTGTTCGAGATGGACCGGTCTCCCCTTCCGGAGCAGCACCTTCGAGATCCAAGATCCGCTGAGCCCGGATCTGGGCGTGTCTTTTGGCCGTGTCGGTACCTCCCAACGCGGTTGTCAGGGTTTGCGTCGTCTTCTTTGAAGCTTTCTTCTGGGGTTTTGTTGTGTCTATCACACCGGGTGCCTGGAAGACTGAATGAGACAATGATTAGACGTTGCAGATACTTGAACCCATACTTGTGGTGCTTCTGTGCCCTCTGCCAGCGCTTCGTTCACGGCATCAACGTGACTTGACCAAGCCGCCCGTTCCGGGCTCTTTTCGGCAGTATGTGTCTCAATGGCACGTAAGAAATCAGGAATGCCGTAGCTATCATCCTCGAGAAAGGCCTTCCGAGCTGTCATCAGACTGCCCAGGTCTTCTGGGGAGAGCGGCATGGTGATCGATGCAAGTCAGAAACAGTTCCGTCGCTTTCCGAAATGTGATACTTCAGGACCAATCGTTATCGATGGCTAATGTTCTTTTCATATCGGAAGAAAGATCGGACAAATTTGCAATTATTAGCAATTCATAGCACGTGATTCCGCGTCCTGATCTGCTAGGTTGCTATATAGCATGCTAAATATGTGCTAAATATTATTTGCTACGAACTAATTCATAGCTAGCCCAGCACTACTGGGAATGCCATTATTCCTGGCAGTATGGCATTTGAACCCCAAAACAGTTCTGCCACGTACACTACCTGTACATAACGATCGGCCCGAAAATAGATCACTAGCAGCTAACGTCATAGTAGTTGGAATAGGGTTAGGGTCAGAAGACCGGAGGATGCAAAAAAAAAAAACGGACCCCCGACGACGCAAGCCAGTAGTGCAGCGGCAAGGTCATCGCGTCCTTCTGTTGCAAGCAGAGCAGAAAGACAAGGGCGGCAAAAATTAGATAACCAAATAGAAGGGACTGTGTCCCTCTAATAGTGGTTAAACTATTAAGAACAGATACTACACTTGATCTAAGCCAAAAGGCCAGAGTGGTAAAGATTCACCGTGTTCGACGCTGACCTTTATACGATTCTAACGGTGGTCCGTGCGTTGGCGTTGCCGAGAACGACACGTGACGGGTTGATCGTTGCAGCGCATGGTTCAATTCGGCTTTCAAGCGTATCAGTCTATTGATTCTGGTTCTCTGAACTCGTAAATGTCAAAATTCAATTGGATATATTAGATACAGCACAGCAATTCGACGAGTTGAAGAACGTAAAAACAATTTGATTAGATGTAAAACATAGACTGAGCAAGATCTGCATGGATCTGGTATCGCACGTATCAGCCAACACAAAACCATTTTCAGCAGTTCGTTTGGACAACTCACCCCGGTTCCCCAGGATTTTCTAGCCTCTTCAAAGACCCGGTTTCGTTCCTCGTCGCGATCTCTCCCCTTACCAGCGCTCGACGCCCCGTCGTCCGGAGCGAAGAAGCTGTTGAGGTAGAACCGGGCACGCTCGCATGCCAGGTCTGCGTAGTAGGCCGCCGGGATCAGACTGACTGCCCGCGTAGCCCGCGCGTAGAGATAAGAGAAGTCGTTCGATCCCTGTACTCGATCAGAAACGACGGAGAAGATGAAGATGGGAGCCGACTGGCCTTCTGCAGCTCATCGGCGGTAAGTTTGAGTTCGTCGTAGACCACGGTGTAGTGCGTCGCTTTGACCTAAACACAAGGCGTCATGTTTGACAGACGAGCAGGCGCAGCAAGTACGTACAGTTCCTTGAAGACCCGCGTGGGCTTGCAGATAAAAGTCGAAATCGAATCTGAGGTGAAGGTATCAAACAAAAGCTAGCTGCAAAAACGAACATGACAACGCACACCGCAGTAACCCCTTTATCAACGACCGTTCCCGGACGCGTGTTGCCTTTCTGGTCCGCCGAGTTGGCATCAGTAGCGAAGAATCTGTAATAACATAAAATGAGTGGACCTATACAGAACTGGGGACTGGTGAAACGTACTTGGCGTGGTGCCGCTTCCCGCAAATGATGATGGCGATGGCAGGGCGGTACGGCTTCGCGCCGCGCTCCTTCGTGCTCAGCTTCTTGAACGCCTCCAGCGCTTGTGCGAGCTCTTCCCGGACTACGATGTCGAATTGGCCCTCTACGGTAATGCGTGCTCAGCGTTTGGCCGTTGTATGACCTATAGATGCAAAGCACGCGCACCAGAAACCCCGTCGCGGAATATGATGATGCGCTGGGGAAGAACCCGATTCTTCTTCTCATAGTACTGCAGGCGCTCAACGAGCATGTCGCGTAGCTCAGATAACATCTAGAAAGAGGATGAGAACTGGACGTCCTGCGATCTCAAAGTGGAAAAAATGCACCTCTTTTGACTCTCGGTTTGGGTCGGGCCGCTGGATCCGCAGGCTGCAGGGAAACTTGTTACGAAATCACTTAGCACGCTGAGTTCAGAGCTGAAAAACACTCTACGCACTTGCACAAAGTCGTCATCGACGCTCGCCACGACGGCTGCGATGGAAGGCGAGCCCTCTCTGCTCCCCGGACTCGGATGTGTCACGTCGATTCCCACCATCATCGTTTTCTGCTTCGTGAGCCATCGCATGGCCTGGGGATCGAGGAGATGGTTCATGCCGCCGAGCTTCGAGTTCACTTTGAGGGCGACGTTGGACAGGTACTGGTCTTGATTTCTGCCGTCCTTGAGCGCTTTCTCCAGCTGCATGTGCACCGTGTGGATTCCCATGTCAACGTCTCCCATTCGCTGAATGGTGTTCAGTTCAGATCGGGCTAAGTTAATAATCCCCACACACCTTGATCCCAGGGTAGATGTAGTTGTCACGCGTCGACAGCAGAACAAGGATAAAGCTAGGCTTCCTCCCTCCCTCCTGCGCCAGGTTGTCCACAACATGCTGCCGAATGATCTTGAGGGCATCCTCGCGGCCGGGGCCCTGCAGGTTCTGCAGCGGCGCAGTCGCAATCAAACGCGGCAGGTCCGGCGGAATCTGCATCCCACTCCGCGCGAGCTTGTTGCGGAAACCCTCAAGCAGCGACCGCAGCCGCGGGTCGTCGGGGCCATTCAGCAGCGCGCGCGGACCGTCACGCACGACCATCACCCACCAGCGGCCGACGGCCGCGCCGCGGTGGAACTTGACGTCCATGATGTTCCACGCGCCGTTCCGCACGGACGCGTTGCCCTTCGAGTACGACAGGCGCGGGGGGTCGAGCTCGCGCGCGGGGACGACGGCCATCTGCGGGTCGACCGACACGTCGAAGCCGCTGCTGTCCGCCGGAGACTGCATCGGCTCGAGCCCGAGAGCGGGGAACCCTTTTCGCGTGATTTCGAGGGCGTTGAATCCGGGTGGGTTGCAGGCGATCTTGATCATCGCCTGTGTCTCTTGCGCGCCCAGCCGCCCGCGGAACACTTGGCCAGCCTCGATTTCGCACAGCTCTGCAGGAACGAACACCGGTTTCTTGGCGTTTCCGATATTGATCACGGGCAGATTTGCAGGCTCCTTTAGCTTGATGTTGTATGCTGGCAGGGAAAATCGAACCAAAGTCACGTGAGGAGTTTTGACGACGACTCACTTTTCAAGAAGTACGTCTCGACGGAAACCATCCCACCGAGTTGCTGGCAGTTGAATTTAGTGTTTCTGGCTGAGGTTGATCCAATCGACCAGATCTTCGACCGTTTGTTGTACCCGAGGTAAGATGTGGTGACTTTGATGCTTTTGACCATCGCCTGGAGGATCCAACATTTCAACGCCGGTATTCAAATAAAGTGGTTGAGCGGCAATAACTCACCTGAGGCAGTGTAGGCATCGTTCCATGGCTGTTGCGATTGAAAGCCTGGAGAGCTTGGCCCAAATTGCCCGGTTGGATGAAAGCCGTCATGCAATTATTCCTATTCCAGCAAACATCGATGAGTTCAGCTGCTCTGAACGAGCGCCACGACTCACACGTTGACCATCAGCTGCTTGTACGTCGGGCGCACAGAGGTGTAGAATCCCTGGAACGCGACGAGACCCATGCCCAGAGGGAACGATTGCGACGACGTTGGGAAGAAGAACTTGTTCTGGCCAACGCGCACCCCGCTCCGCGTTGGATGTTGATTCAGCACGAGATTGAGTGCCGAAAGAATGGGCCCCAGCGTATAGTCACGCGACCCCGGCTCTCCGTTCAGATGTCTGCGGTGATCAGTCAGTTAATCTCATTGTAAGCGCAATACGACTCGTTGCGCACTTGGTCAGATCAGCCGGATCCAGTTGTTTGTCGAACTTGATATTGACGGTGTACACAACCGCGTTGGATCCTGGCCCAGGCTGGCCGTCCTCATAGAACGGGACAGAAATGCTGAGCGGCTGCGGAAGCTTGTGCGCAGAGACCAAGCGCGCCCCGCCATCATGCGCCACCGACTTGCGCATCGGCTCAAACTGCGCGCTCAGCTCCACGAGCGCGAAGATCCGCGCCTGCAGCCGCCGGATGTCCGTCTTCGGCACGATCTCAACGCTGTAGTCGAATATCGGCCGCGCGGGGATGCGGATCGGGAAGAAATTCGCGCGCAGGGTGATCGCGCGGCCGCTCGTCCCGAAGCCCGGCCGCACCGGCCGACTGGGGTCAGCCCGAATCTTGGAGAGGGACTTGATCAGCTGCGCGTGGCTGTCGTCGGACAGGCGTGGGGCCAGTGGCGCAGGGGCACCCTGCATGAAGATGAGTGGCGCGTCTTGCCCGCGCGGGGGGCCTCCGCCGCGGTAATTACCTCCACTGGGCGGCCCACCCCGGCCTCGAGGCGGCGCTCCGCCGCCGGAAAATCCGCCCTGGGGAGGGCCGCCGCCGCGCCCTCTGGGGGGACCTCCACGTCCTTGCCCGCGATCATTGTATCCACCGCGTCCTCTCTGTTGCATGATGGTTCAGAACAGGTGCGCGTGCGTGTGAACTTGATGAGCGAAAGTACCATACGTCTTGGCCACGAGGCCTATCGATGCATTAGTAGCCCACCCTATCGTCACGATCCAGCCCCTACGGCGATTGGAAGGATATGACTCTTCGGGCGCCTAGACTAAGTATGTACATTTCCATTTCCATTTTGTTACATCACAGAAGACGACATGGGCAGCAGCAATTATAATATCAGTACAAGCCGACCACCGTCCAGGCAAAGGAAAGGAATGAACTACGGAGAGTCGTACGCTAAGGTAAGATGGTGGGACGAGCTACTTATGCAACTACGAAAACATGTATCATAACTTGAGCTCAGTCAAAACCCGCCGAGCAAGCATCTGGTATTGCCAGCCATCTCCTCCCGCTCTGCGGAATTGGATACCATACAGCGAAAGCCAGGGAACTTTGACGAGGTTGATCTCGAACCGGACACTCAGCACATTGTTGCCCATGCTCTCAAATACCTGCCGGTCGACTTCCCCCGTCGGCAGCGGTGCCGGCGACAGCGGTGCCGGCGATCCAGCGAAGTCTCGCGGTATTGGGGGAAGCCCCTTGGACGCAGGGGATGCCGTCCGTGACGGCGGTGTCACATCAACATCGAGCGATAGCGAGCCGGGCTTGGGCTGCGGAGACGCGACCGAGTTGGCGAGAAAGAAGGTGGAGGAGCCGCTACTGGCACTGGTCTGTAATGTCGCTGACGGTCGTCCCTCGCGCTCCTTGTCCATCGATCGATCTCGCCGTTTGCCGAACGACAGCTTCGACGCCTTCTTGACCACGGGACGGGGTGTGCTGCTTTCAGGAATGGCTTGAGGAGGTTGGCCATCTATGGATGAAATGTCGATCGAAGGAAGGTGGATACACTCGAAGCCGGTCTGGGTTTCTCGGTATTGCACTTGCATCCGGTCCAGCACGCGCCGGATGTCGGTTTTAATCGCAGCAGGCGACTTCGAAGATGTCGTCGCCACACTTGGAACACAGTCAGTCCTGAGCACAGGCCGAATGTAGTCATCAACGCACCTGAACAGCCCTTTCAAGAATACGGGCTTGAACTCCTTTTCGCCATCCGATCTGACATCCTCATGAGGAAGGATGTCCTCGACATCCGTCAAAGCTCCGGCCTGTACTTGAGGCTCCTCCTCGACCGCAAAGACACGCTCCGCCTTCGGCTGTAGAGTCGGTCCAGTCGATGGCCTTCGATGTCGCCCAATTGTTCCCGAAACAAACATAGCCGCCCCCGTGCTGCTCCGTCTTTCATGTCGGGACCGCCCGGCCGAATCAAGCACAGTGGCGGCCCGTCGGTGCACGGATCCGAGCGGCTGGCTTTGGCTGTGCGAAACAGCCTTTGCAGGCGATGCAATAGACACCGTCGGAGGATTCATCGAATCTCTCGCGCTTTCCTTCTCCCCACGCAGCTCGTCGTGCGAAGGTCGAGGCGAGTGCTGGCCGAACCCGCCCAAGATGGTGGCCCGCTTCGACGGCGTCCTCCGCCCAGAAGCCGTCCCATCGTCATGTCCATGGCGACCTCCGCCAACCAACATGCTGCCAAACTTGCGAACTAGGGTCGCGCCACCAGACAACGAGATGGACCCGTGATCACTATGGTCTCTCACAGACGCTTGGTCCCGTTCTTTCTCTTTCTCTTTCTCTCGTTCCGCAAACCCACTCAACGTTGGCCCGGCCGACTTTGGGACCTCCTCCAAAACTGTTTCCCTCTCGCCGGTAAACGCCGAACTCCATCCCCGGATGGTGCCCCCCGTCCGCTGGCTTTGGCTGAGACTGTGGCTTCGCCGATGTGTACTAGCTGGCGGCGCACGGATCGTGACAGGTGAGACTATGGCACTTCTCGTCGTGCGTTCTGGCCCGGGCGTGGTCGGGGAGGGAGGAAGGAGTCCGCCGTCAATGGCCCGTGGTCGCGGTTGGGGGTGGAATGACACAGCTGTCGGTGAAGGTGAAGCGGGCACGGAACCCCCTCCGTTGGCGTGGGGAGGAGCTGTGCCGGTCGCATATGACATGTCGGAATAGTGGCTCGTTTCTGGCACAGGCAACCGAGGAAGCGGCATGTTGTAGTCCGGCTTGCCTGTTCGATCCTTCTCGGGAACCGTTTTCGCGGCTTCTTCCTTCGGTACACCTTTGCCATTTTCCTTTTCTTCACGCTCCTTCTCCTTTGCACCATCGACACTGACCTGGCTGCTCGCAAAGACGCCGGTGCCATATACACGCTCGCGCTCCATCTTCTCCCGGGACAGATAGTACATGCTGACCAGCGGGTGGAACCCAAACGTCGGGTCTCGATCCTCTGGCTGCAGTGCACCAAGACTGAGCGCACTGCCACTCGCATTGTGTACAGAAGTCGTCGCTGGGATGCTCGGAGACGGAGAAGGTGACGCAAACAGTTTGCGCCGATAGAACTCGAATCCGCTGAAACGGCGCCGTTTCGCAGGAGAAGCCGGCGTTCCACCTGCTGACGACACTGACAGCGATGATGCTGACGCTGGTGCGTGGGATGGAGTTTCCCAAGCCCCAGGAGGGTCTGACAAGACGGTGCTCGAGCCTAAGGCTCCACCGCGCCGCTTTTCCCAAGAACGAACAGAACGCTGATACGCTTCACTGTCCAGTATTTCGATCAGTTTTGTCATCACTTCTTCGTCGTCACCGAACTCGAAGCCCTTCATCCCTGCAACGACCAGAGGATCGATGTCCGAAGACTTGAGCGGTTCTCGCCGAAGAAGATGGAGGGCGGGAGGGCTACCAAAGCCGCGGAGCATCCATGGATGAGACAGAACCTCGGATAGAGGGGCCCGCAATAGAGGGTTGGTCACAAGCATGCGCGAGAGAAGGTGCTTGCACTCTGCGTGTTAAGCAACTGAGTATTGCAAGTCAGACTACTATTGGTCACCACGTACCTGCACTGAGCCATATGGGATATTCCACTAGCCCTCTTTTGATCTTCGCGTGCAGGGCAGGCATGCTTTGATCGTCGAAGGGCACTTTCCCGCAAACCAGCACATACAGTACCACTCCGAACGACCACACATCCACTTCCGGCCCGGTATAAACCTTCGCATTGAGAAGCTCGGGTGCCGCAAAGTACAAACTGCCGCAAAATGTTCCCAGGTGTCCCACAGGGTCGTAGAGGTTCGACAGCCCGAAGTCGATGATCTTGATATTGCCCGACTGAGAGATTAGGATGTTCTCAATCTTGAGATCCCGGTGAACGACATTATTGCGGTGGCAGTAGTCCAAGGCGGAGCCAATTTGACGCGCGAATTTCCGGGCGTTGCGTTCGCGCAGTCGCCCATGTGCAATGATATAGTCCAGCATCTGGCCCCCGTTCACGTACTCGAACACCATGTAGTAGTGGTGTTGGTGGATGATCATTTCGCGCATGCCGCAGATATATGGGTGGTGGAGTAGCATAGACAAGGCCGCCTCGCGCGTCGTGCGGATCTCCTTGCTGGCGTCTTTCGGTCCTGCGCCTGATGTCCTCGGAAGGATTTTGACCGCAAGCTAGCGTTCCACGCTATTCAGCCCATGTGCACTCTACTGCCGACTCTTGGGCACGCACCGTCTCTCCAGTGATGTTGTGGGTGGCTAGCTTGACTTTTCCCATAGACCCCGCACCCAAAGTCTTGCTGAGGGTGTAATCACCCAAAATACGATTCGTGCGTTTGCTGGTTGTCGCGGGACGCGAGCGGCCCTCGTCTTCGGTTCCATTCGACGTCGTGGCCTGAGACGGCATGGGCGGAGTTCGAGGAGTGCAAGAGGCCCGAGTCGCACCCTGTGGTCACGCATACGTGATCTTCCGTGACAGGCTGTGTCATGTCACACTTCAAATATTATTACCGACAGCTGTCACAGAGAGCAGGGGCGGCTTTGGGAAGGTCTCGTTGAGTTTCACGGCGCCGACGCTGAACTAAGCCTTTTTTGATGCGGTACTCACACAGGAGATCTTTGACTTCTCCAAAAGTCCCGAGTACCCCCCACGTTTTGAAAATTTAACTACTTCTGGCTGACATCATGTACGGGACCGGAACATGACAATCGAAGATGTTGATGCTAAGAATAGTAAGATTTCCATTGGCCACGTCAGATGCGCACGCTGGGACGAAATATTATTATGTGACGAATTGAATAAATCTCACAAAAATGCACAAAATATCCCTCATCTCTAATTAAAGGACTTCGAACAGTTCTTAATGATATGTGTCCGATATTCCATCTTCCCCAGCTCTCTCCTGGTAACGATTGTTTGCCGGTGGCATGAGCTCTTCATCATCGCTCTGAACCGCTTGCAGGTCCACGAACCTCTGCGGACGCGAAAGCTGAATGGCTTCCTTATTCCTATAGACGAGCACCATTCGAGGGTGTTCACGATATAGGCGATCGATGTCTTCTAGATGTCTGCCAAAGAGGTAAGTCAAGCTCGAGGTCATCGAGGTGTTAAGCCGGCTGGCTACTTCACACTAACCTATTTGCAGTTTCAGGATAAAATAACCAGATCAACTGGTAAGAAAAAAAATGAGGCACGTGATAATTGTTAGAATAGTCCTTAGCCTCACCGGCACGAAGAGGGCATTGAACATCATCCAGATCAAATAGAATTTCCATCCCATGTGGGAGATTCCGACGGGCGTGATCTCCACAATTAAGTAGTTACTGAGCCAGTTCGCAGCAGTAGCTAGAGCGGCTCCTTTGTTCCGCATTGCCAAACTGTTGATTTCAACGGGGTACAGCCATGGAACACCCTAAAAATGCCGAAGTGAGGTTCATTTTCCTTGAATTCCGACTTGACATTAGACGCACCTGCCAACAGATGCCAAAGAAAATATAGTACACGAAGAAGAACACCGTCGCGCCGATCCCATATCTTGCACCATTGACAGGGTCGTCGGCCTTCGAAAGAAGTCGGGAGATGAATGCATAGCACACTGCTTGTCCCGCTGCCCCCCAGATCATCAGCATTCTCCGTCCAGCACGTTCAATGAGAACTATGCCAGCGAACGCAAACACGAGATATGAAACAGAATTGCAAGCTGCGAGGAAGCGCGACATCGTGTTCGATAGTCCTACAGAGTTCTGGAGAACCAAAGGAAGACTGTCACAGGCCAAATATCAGAACAAAGCAAGAAAACCTTGGTTGGAAATCTCACTAGTAGCTGGTGACATTGATACCGACCAATTGCTGCATCAATTGCGCGCCTGTGAAAATAAAGAATCGCAACATGAAGGCACAAGGTTGATTACTTAACTCGCACCTGCTCCAAGTAGCAATCGTTGAGCCATACCACTGTCACCTGATCTCATACTAATGATATCGATCCAGCTCACTGCGACATCGTTCTCCATTGCGAGCCCTTCTAAAATTTCCGTTTTCTCTTTGACAATCACGTCGTCAGATGCAGTCGTGCCGTCGCCGTGTAGTGCAGCGAGAACGTCTGCGCCTTCCGCCTCTTTTCCCGTCATCAGTAGCCACCGAGGGCTCTCAGGTAACCACGGGATTGTTCCAAAAAGGATGACAGAGAAAACGAGCTGGAAAGCAATCGGGAAGCGCCAGGATGCACTGCCTGAAACGTAGCTGAAGCCGTAGGTCATCCAATTACTCAGCGAGAAACCCGCAATGTTCATGCTGAAGTCGGACTGAGCGACTATAAAATGGTTGATACGAAAGACTGACACCATCTCGAAAACCAGGATTTTCCCCCTCCACGCCGGCTGGGATGTTTCGCTCTGCCAGACAGGGGCAATAGCAGTATTGATGCTGTCATTATTCAACGTGGTGCTGCAGGTAGCTCCTTCAGAACGCTTACCCATTTCCTACACCTTGGAAATGTCAAATGGGACTTATCGGAAACATCAACTCGGCAACGAACCTGTTATCAACCGAGCAATGATCATTTGAGGGACGCTGTATGCGCAGGCTTGCATGAGAGCACCAATCGACATGATGGCGACCCCCCATAAAAACGTTCTCTTCCGTCCAAGTCGATCACCTTCGGAAGCCTAAATGAAGAGACCGAGATTGGCGATTGGAGAACTTGGCTTACCGATTACCATGGCAGCGAGTGCACCGCATAGACTATCGGATACCGCACCCAGTAAGTTTGTGGACGCACACCGCACGGAGTCATGAGGTACGCACCATCCCACGTCATATATAGCAACTATCGTTCCTTGCATACTGGCACTCGGATTGCCCATTGTCTCTAGAAAGTTGGGTGTGATAATGATTCCTCCAAATACACCCTGGTCGTAGCCTTGCACAGCACCTAAGACAGGACCGACAACGGGAGACTAGGATATCGACACACCAAACAAGACCATAGCAGCGGTACACGCGACCGTTATCCATCCCACTAACCGCATCCCAGCGAGACCCAGATACGATCGGTGTACTTGGGTGCGTGACGCTGTAAGGCTTGCTATATAGTGAGTTCGTGTCCATCTCGAAGGCTCAGCGGTGACAAGGCGCACCGTGCATTTCCGTCGTCGACGGATTCGGCCACGCGACTGTACGCATAGCCGTGCCCCGACATGAACTCTTCTCCAGTCGAGCTCCGAGGCGTTACTTGAATGAAGGCGTCACGGAGAGCGTGAAAGCAGCCGAAAGGGAACGGGGAGTGTCTACCGGCAAGTGCTTTAGCTGGAAGGGCCGGTGGCAGTGCTTGGCGTGATCGGAGAGTTGACCGACTGCTCGTTCTCGCGGACAAAAAAGGAAATTCCATTGCTTGCATGATCGATATCGGAGGAACCCGAGGGAAGCTGGTCCTACTCAAAGACATACGCAGCAGGCAGATTGAAGTTTCTGATATACTAGTTACATTAAAATTCCGATCTAATTGTCCTAGACGCTCAGTACAGCTCGTAACTTGAGTCCGATAACACCACCACCGACTCCATCCCATCCAGGGATAGGTGCTCGGCATACAGGACACCTTCGAAATTCATGAGAGCCAGAAAATAAGACCAGGTAGTGAGCGTACCTGGCGGCATCTATGCCTGGCAATACCGCAGCGCGCGAAGCCATTGTCTTGACTGCAGTGAAGAGGCAAGAGCCACAACAAACATGCCCGCACGGAGTGAGCGTCGCGTTAGTCGGTGGAAAGAAGCAAATGGGGCAAGTGTAGGCGGCGAGTGGTTCGCCGGTGGCATGTGCTTTGGCAGAGGACGGAGAAGGCGCTTTGGGAGTGGCGGTGCGGTTTGCAAGGACGGAGGATGTTTCGGTGTCGACGCTACTCGGAAGCAGTATTCCAGAGGGCTCATGTGTACCCGCCGACACATCTGAAGGCGCGGAGCGCGACGATCCAGCAGAATCGATTAGGGTAGGGGACGGGAGGTTTTCTTCTGTTTCAGCTGATTGTGCGCGTTTCGCTCGAGCTCGAGTGGAGCTACCTTTGGTCGGCTCTTCCTTGGTTTCACCCTCGACTTCTCGCTTGACACGTTTGCGCCCTGACCGTGAAGGCGACCCGGACCGCTCTCGTTTCACTCGGGCCCTTGTCGATGGTCCAGTCGATGAATCTGCGTCCATCTCGACAACGTTCGCCAAAGAAGTCTTTGTGGGTGCACGGAGGTCGTTATTTCCCACTGATGCAGTAGTGGACCGCACGGAGCGAGGTCTCAAGTTTCGCGAAGTCAAGGGGCTAGGAAGCGAGTCATAGTCAGAAGAGAGCACTGCAGCGCGACGCATCTGGCAGCTGCCTGATCAAGCCAGTCCTGTGACATCACGTAGACGTGTCACTCCTCCCCTCAATACCATGAGCATTCAACTACCGGAAGGCAGAATCGTCCGTTCGCACCGCGACGCTCGCTCTATTGTGACTAAATAGCTTTGTCTAGGACTTCGTCGGTCAACAGCGCGTTGAGCTGATTTCTCGCGTCTGGCTCATCGCTACCACGGTGCGTCCGACCGCTGACACGCCGTTGCGCTATCCCATGCTCAGTCGATATCCTTCTCTATTCAGGCTATCTCTTTCATTGCGGGTTTCCTCGTCCAGTCACTGCAGGTCACATTCGGCATCTTTGGCGCATCGACACTACTGCTTGCTCTCGTACCTACCCGGCCATCTGCTTCATATGGTCTATCTTCTAATGCCCTCCCAGGTCGTACTTCCGCCGTGGCCCATCTTTAATCAACATCCTACGAAGTGGTTACCCGCCAAAGCGAACAAGAAGGACTAGTTATGAGCGTGCGTTTTTCTCTCACCATAGTTCATGGTCTTCCGCTGACATATCGGTATGATAGCATGAGCCATATACCATTTGCTGGTCTGGAAAAAGATCCTTAGGGTCTTCTGCAGCTTCAGCAGCCGGGGCGACCGGTTGAACAACTTTTGAAGAGTCAAGGCGGAACTGCATTACATCTTCCGGCAGGGGAATCATTGTCTAGACAACTTTTCTGTCTGTAACTACGAAACGCGCAACCTGTTTGAGGCTTCAAGCTTCAAGCTCTATTGAAGGTTTCTATTCAAGGTTTCGAAACTGGGATCGTTTGAGCGTTTCAAGCGCTATACCAGATTTCGTGTCGTCAATGACTCGGAGCCAGATGATGTCGAGTGCAGTTGTCGTCCTTTCAGTATTTGCAAACCATTCAAGGATTGGCTCGCAATGTGTCGCTCAACACGCTGAGGCCCACACTGGATATGAAATACGTGTCGATTGAAGACGGCATCTTGCGCAGCCTATGCTGATCTAAGCATCAGACAAAGCCTTCAACCGACCACCAACTCTCCTGAGTCTCCTCCCATTCCTCCGAATTTCCAACAAGCTCGACGATCGAGAACGTAGGACTCGAACAATGAAATGACGCAAAGAGCACGAAATAAACTTCAAGAAGATATCCTTCGCAGTCTGAGAGAAAGAAGGTGATAAATTAGATTTACAAGGAATGTGAGTGTGCTACAGTCTTTAGTTGAATCGCATAGGTATGTAATAAATTTCTAGCCCCGCAAGCCGCGTTCACAGTCTTCCTGTCAAGACCGGGCGGAGATAACCCTCATAACCCTCTTTGATCACACCACCATTCTTCCTCGCCTCCACGTTAATGGGTGCCTGCTCCGTCCACTTCATCATCCGCGTGTAGATATCGCCGTCGTAGCAGCCGATCGCAGAAGCAAGACTTGCGTCGGTGAAGTTCCAACTGTCTGCGATGGCCGCTGCGTCGACGGAGAGCTCTTCCAGGAGCACGTTGACGACCTTGCGGGCGTTGGATAGGTGGACCGCCGTGAGGTAGCCGTCCTCCGTGAAACCGACGCCCTCGGACTGCAGGCCCTCGATACATGTGAGACCGTAGAGCACACACAGGCGCTCGAGGACCTTGTGTTCAGGAGAGTCGCCCTTGGCGGCCTTGGCGAACGAACGGAGAACGAGGAACTCGATGTGGGCCCGGGCAGCAGCGACGAAGCGGACCATGTGCTTGTTCCAAGCTTGCGAGAACGACAGCTTCCCGTCGGCCTGAGCCTCGGCAAGGATCGCAGCAGATTCCTTGATGAGACGGATCGAACGGTGCTGGAATACTTGGAGGAGGACGGCGATATCGCCAAAGTCGGCAGTGCTGGGCAGCGGTTGGCTGGCCGGGGCGTACAGATATGCGACATTCGGGTCCCAGGTGGCGCGTGTGGTGGTGACGCACTTGATGAGATAGCGAGCAGCCTGCTGATACATGACATAGGTGTCGCCCTCGATCGTGGCAATGACCGTCGCTGCCGGGACCAGGAGACCGAAACCGCTGAACGAGAGATATCCGTGGCCACCAGTGCACCGACGCGCTTCTTCAGTCCCGTCAGCGAGAGTCTGGGCGGAGTAAGCCTTCAGCGCGGCGAGCAGGGCGTGGACACCCGGCAGAGCAGCATGGTCGCCTTTGGCCTGGCGGGCCAACAAGTTTTGATACTGGCCGGCGACTTCCTGGGCGGAGAACCAGGTGGCGAATGCCCGGGACATGACCATGAAGATTCGGAGGGAGAGCATGGGGAAAGCGAGGATAGGGACCGGAGAGCGCTTCGATTCGTCTGTCTCGAAGGGCAATGCGCCTTGCTCGCGAACCAGCGAGAAGCGGAGCGCGATAGTCGCCGCCTGGGCGAGCTGCATGGGAATCGCGGCGGCAATGTTGACGCGGGCGTACAACATCGTTCCGTAGGACAGACGGCTGCTGCCTCCGGGAGTGGAGGTGTAGTTTCCCTCGCGATCGACCGTCTGGTAGCGCATGAGCAGGTTAGCCCGGGGAATGCGGAAGTGGGTGAACTTGGCGTAGCCGTTGTCGTTCGTGTTGTGGCCCATCTTCAAGCCGACATCCCCGAGCTCGACACCGGGGAGAGGGGTGAAGTCCTCGAGCGAACGGAGCTGCACGATGTATGGGTGGACGCCGTAGTCCTTGGGGCCGATGATGAGACGGGCCATGACAATTGCATGGGTGACGCTGAAGCCAAGACCGCCGGGCCAGTACTTGATGGACTCAGTTGTGGGGCAATGAAGGACCCACTCGTCGGTGGCGCGGTCAAAGGTCGCCGTCGTTTCGAGATCGCGAAGAGCCGAACCGTGAGCGAGCTCGGTTTGGCAGTAGCACCCGAGGATCTTGGCCTGCTCAGCAAGCGGTACCCAGTACTTGGCCTGCTCGTCGGAGCCGAGGAGTTTGAGGGACGGCGTGAACATCATGAAGTGCAGACCGTAGGGCGACGAGTTGGCCAGCCAGTACTTGGGAGTGATCCACTCGAAGATGCCAGTTCCTCGTTGAGTGCGCTCCTCGATCATGGCCTTGCCCATCCGGAGGCCCTGGATGTACATCTCGGACCGGGTGACGTCGCCATATTCGGCGGGGAGAACGTCCATGTCCGTGGTGTCCATCTTCTTCTCTGCGGTGGCAAACGCAGCTTCTCGAGCATGCACTGCTTCGGGACTGGATGCCGTCAGCGAGAACTTCCTGAAGAAGGCCGGATCGACACTCACCCCCCGTATATGATATACGTCAGCTTCCGAGGATCGAAGGTGGCCCGAGCACGGGCTTCATTCATGAGCTGGATCTGTCGGTTGGCCATTGGGGGAGGAGGGTTTGCTGTATCAGCTCGGATGGACAGATGCTCATTTTGCTCAGCCTTTTATCCTTGGTGGTACCAATCCTCGGTTGAAGTGCGATAGCTAACACCAGTCCGCGGTTTCTGCTGCTGTCATGCGTCTTGCAGTGCTTGTTAATCTTGCTGCTTGATGCAGCCTTCCGTTTTACGCATTGCCCCTCATATTTAGGCTTTGTATAGCTGCTAGTAGCCTGCTCCTACTACATAATACTCTCACTATTCCATCCTCCGCCCCTCCTCCCTCTTGCATGCACACCGGAGATGGTCTCGGCATGTTCATCATCGTCTCGCAGCCAGGCTGGCCTGGAGACTGTCCCCCTGGATCCTTATCCCACTGTGTTCCATCGACCGTTCTTACTGCACTGGCACTCAGCCTCCGATTGCCTAGACCGCTTAGCGTACTTACGAGTCCCTGAATCTTGCCTAGAATCCTGGAGAAGACATGCCCTCACCCTTGGGTACCATGGGCTGCTCACTGTCTTCTAAGGGCTCTCATATGGTTTTGACGTAGATCAGCGATTGACTGCAGCGATACATAATCTATACCAAATGTGCATACTCTTGAATGAAGGATTCCAAGTTTCACGGTCCGTAGTCTACGCGTTATGTCTTGATTGGCCATAAATTCTTGCAGTGCCGCGTAGTAGTATGTCCCGAAGACGCTTTCTTGCGGATCGGCGGATGCATCCGTCCGCTCTCAGCCTGTGGATTGATACGAGTCGCTGAATGTTCTTATCTTAGACATCTGTGTTCTAAGAGATCTCGCAGCATCGCAGCTGCAGTCCCTCTCCGTCGGTCAACAATCCAGTGTCTCTTCCCTGTTTCACGCCGCTTGGAAGAAGCGTCCTTGGATGGCCGCCGAGACCGGTCGCCGCGACTGACAGGCCGCCGTAGTCTCTGAGCGTTAAGACATAACCTCGATAGCTGTCAGTATTGGAATCTTATCACCTCCAGCGCGCCTCAAAGAAAAGCAGTGATGATGATCTGAGACTCTCACAAGTCGATCCCTGTCTTGGATTGGAGTGGCATGGCCGTCGCAGGCCGGGTGATATGACATATGCGATGCTGGTTTTCTCTCGATTTATCTAATCTTGAGGGTGATCCTAAACGGAAAGAGAAGCAAAGACAGGTACGTGCGTGGTCATATGAAACAATCCGGTCATGACTAGATGGCGCATCAGTGAGGCGGAGATGTTTATTCCATGTATTTATCACGTGTCTCTTAGTCAACCGGTGTGGACATGGATCGCATCCCGGTATCCGACATTGTGGATATCACACTCACGGAGGAAAGAGCTCGGCGTGCCTGTTCTGGGCCGGTCGTACCCGGCGTCTGGGCAGTACTCAAGTTACAAGGTGGCCCAGCTTCCCACATACGAAACTAACTGATTGTGGGACTGCCTCTAAGGGAATGACCCAAATGCAGTCCAAGCAGCAGACAAGGCACGGCGATTCTGCCGTGGGTGCTCTGCCCGGGTCTGGATTGAGCTCATAAGCATGCATTTGATAACAGCGGACTGACTGAGATGGGGAGAGACTCGTTGTATATCTGGTGGGGTTCCGGTTGAATCACCGCAACTGTTCATCATGTTCGATCGCGCGTCAACAGATACATGTGATTATCACATGATCGCGATTTCGAATCTCAGCCTTGTCACTCGAATGACACTCTCGAATGTTTGCCATGTCTCATTCCTCAAAGCTTGTACAGTGAGTATAACATTATTCCCGACAAGTCATGGATCCAGCACCAGGCATAAGCTACAGACGACCTTGACAACTGTTCCTACTTTCCTGGCTCCGACGCCTGCTGCGCAATTAGCGCGGCCAATTGCGAGCTCCACGTCGTCGCAGCTGCTGGGCACCCGACACCCGCCCCATGCAAATTCTGCATCGATGATATAACCGTCTGGAACCGCGTGATCTGGGATGCAAGCGAGTTGTCGGTGGGGAAGGCTGCGCCGACACCGGGATTGTTGATGTCGTGTCCTGCGGCGACGTTCCCGGAAAGAGACTGGGGGATCGGGGTCAGAGAAGATGCTGCGAAGAAAAGGTTTCATAGTAGGGCTGCGTGACACAACTCACATCGATGAAGGCCGCGCGGTCGGGAGGACACGAGCACGGTATCAAGACTCCATTGGCGCCTTTGCAGTTGCCTGTCCCATCGGGCTGGCTCCCCGCAATGACTCCAAATTCGGGCACGAGCGATACATCAAAGGTCGGTGCGACCGAGTTCGCTGTCGGGTTGGGAGCCTGAGACGCCGATGTCGCTGAAGCTGTGATCACACCAGCGCCGGCCGGATCTGCACCCACTGCAGCACCTGCAGCACCTGCAGCTGAACTTGTGGCGGCGGCGGCGGCAGGTGTACTACTAATCTCTGGCTGAGCCTGTAGCGCCGCGATTTGGGCCAAGAACGTCGTCGCCGCCGCTGGACACCCAACGCCGGGGCCATGCAAGTTCTGCAGAGTCGTAATCGCGGTCTGGATGCGCGTCACCTGGGATTGGATCGAGTTGTCCGTGGGGAATGGCGCAGGTACGACAGTGTTGTTGACGTCGTGCCCGAACGCGACATTCGCTGAGAGTGCCTACACGCAGCAATTGAATTAGTCAAAGGAACACTAGCAAGAGAAGAGACCCTCACGGCGATGAAGGAATCTCGATCGGGCGGACATGTGCACGGAATCGCGACGCCCTTGTTGCCTTCGCAGTCACCCGTACCAGTTGGGTTGGTGCCTGGTGCTATGCCGAACTCGGGGACCAGACTCGGATCGACGCCTCTGCGCACCGGTGCTGCCGCGACATACGACACGGCGGCAAACGCGAGTTGGAGGATCGCAGTGGACTTCATAATGCTCAGCGTGTGGGATGTAAATCAAATGAAGGTGTGGTGCAACGTTGACGCCCAGCGTAACGATGAAAGGGAGGAAGGAAGAAAGGAAGAAACAAGTACTAGGCAAGAAGTCCAATGGTCGCTGCTTTATATGAATTGATCAGGGTAGGTACATCCATCTTGTGCTAAATCGACTCCACAGGTATTCTAGCACCAGTCAATGCCTCGTGTTCCTTCTGAATCGGTGTAAGCACTCAGTATGCACTAGTGATTACTAAAGATTGCAGTACATATCATGCCAACGCGATGATACAGTACGTATGTATGATCTTCTGAAATCTTTGAAACTTCTTAGCCACAAGAGCAGTAATCCCGTGTTGCGCTGAACCTTTTGTTTCTGCTCATTATCGGCTTGCATATCACTTCCAGCGGAGCATTTGTTGTTCCATGGATCCGATTGAATGTTATAGTTTACTTGGAGTCCAAAATGCGCTGGGTCACTGAATCGCCGAGCGCAACGATCAAAGTCTTGCATAACTGGCTGTGAGGCGGCGCCGTAAGGTCACTGACAGAAGATTTAGTGGCCTGTTTCCTTCAAGGACGAAGAGAGCGCAATCGAAAGAACGGCACACACGGTGAGAGTAGATGTGATAGCCCTTGGTGGCCTCCGAAAGTCCAAGGTCACACCCCACGCTCGAGTCGCGACACGTTGAAACACGAGATGGTTCCATTCGATTTGCCTGCGAACGGACAATGTGCATGTGCGCTGGAGCCGCCGAAGAACGCCGTCAGCGATATGCGTTCAGCATCCGACAGAGCCTAGAATCCAAATCCAGCTAGCCCTACAGCTGAAACCGTCTCAACTGGCTTCTGAGTCATGACCTCGGTCGCAAACAGCTTGATCACAGACAAAAGGAATCGTGGAATGGCTCGAACTCGGCGGAATCGAAATTTGCACTCAGTCGCAGCAACAGTCATAGAACGTTTGGCGGTTATCTGCCACAGAAAGACACACCCCCTCGGCGGGGTATTCGCATTTTCCCAGAGATATGGTACTGGAGCACACTGAGGTAAGATCCCCTCAGATATGCATCACACGCACTTTTTGGCACTCCGATTGCGAACTCGTCCAGCACCGGCCCAGCATCATCGCTAGGAGTTGCAGACACGGATTAGACGCGGCACCCATCTAGAATTGTTGCGAAGATTTAAAAGCAGCTTGGAGTGTGATATTCTGGCGCATGAGTCTCGAAAATCCCCTCGAGTGGCATACCGAGTAGATGGGAATGATCAGATGATTGGTAACCCCACGCGCATTGATGCTTGAAGACGAATTATCGAGTGCACACCTGCTACGCTATCATCAAAATCATCTCCGAAGTCTAAGTCAAGGAAACCGATAGTCGTTGGCGGGCCGGCAATGGTGAATCGCGCAAGAAAAAAGCGGATTTCGCGTCCAAAATACCAAAAATTGGATAATGACGTCGTGCTCAGCTCTCATCGCCTGCCTCGGGGGCAGTGGGAGTACCAAAGTGTGAATCGAGGTTTTCAGGACGCTTGCGTGACCTACGCGCTAGGTCACATAGTCACGTGAGAACGGCTGCTGAGGCCTACAGCGCTGACGTCACAGACTACGAATCCCTGTAGTATCCTTCCAAGATGAGACCTCCTGCGTCCTTCACCTCTGCTTTGCGATTGACCACGCAAGGACGTGCTCTCTATCACCGTCCTACATACAGCTTGCGATCAAGCATAGCCTCAAGAGGCCAACTGACCGGGATAGCCAGTACGTGCGTCTTCTCCAATGTACAGCATTAACTAGTCGTACCCGTGGGACATGTGCCATATCGGATTGATAAAAGCCCATTGCCAAACTTGCGTTCTGCCTGCATCTCTTACCTAAACTCTCCCCTGCTCACTGCCCTCGACACTGACGATGATCTCCGAAGCACTCCGTACCGTCCACAACGTCGCCGCCTCCATCGGCGCGAATGCAGTCAAACAAATTGAAGTCGGCTCGACGCTGCCTTCGGTGCCGGTGAAGGAGGATGCGGCTGACAAGCCTGCTCCGCTTTCCTTCCCGACTGGCAAACACCTCATCGTGAGCCTACTTAATCCCCAGTCTGGCACTCGTTCACATGTTCACAACGTCTCTGCTATGATTAGGTCGGCGTCCCCGGCGCCTTCACCGGCACCTGCAACGGCCAGATTCCCGGCTACATCTCCCGATTCGATGCGTTCAAAGCGAAAGGAATCGAGCAGATCTCCGTGGTGGCTGTCAACGATGTCTTCGTCCTCAAGTGCGCCCGCATCCACGCACAGCGAGATAATTGAGAACTAACGCGAAGGGGGTTAGAGCGTGGAAGCAAAGTCTGGCCCCGGAAGGAACGCGTACGTATCACAGTCGACTGGGAAGGGAACCGTCTCAACGTCTACAGCGGTACGCTTCATTGCCGACGACCAAGGCGCGTTCTCGGCTGCCCTAGGGCTCCTGTTCGATGCTTCGCCGGTGCTCGGTGGTGCACGGTCCAAGGTGCGCATGTATGTATCCAATTCCCGGGCCAGCGCTGACACACTGTCAAGCGCTATGTCATTGTTGCGAATGGGGACAAAGTCGAGACTGTGGCCGTCGAGGAGGTGGCTGGACAACTGACCGTGACGGAGGCGAGCAAAATACTGGCCCTGCTGTGAACCCTCGGAAAGGATCTTACATGCAGTACAACAATGAAATGAATGTGAACCGGTAGTCGCAAGCTAACAGGACGTTGGATAAAATGGCGCGCAGAGCTATCCCTTTGTAATACTACTCTGAGCAGGTCACTGTCATTCCAAGATCTAGAGTAAGACGAGTACAGTAGTTACATGAATCAGGTAAACTAAAATCGAGATTGTATGTACAGATAAGTAGGTGGTATACGGGGATGTACTGGGTAAGATTATCAAGAAGTGGTATTAGTGAATGTCATTGGCCTAAGCAGTCTTCGCTTTCTTTTTGAGGGCACCAGCAGGATCATCGGCCGGACGCTTCGTTGCAGCACTGGCAACTGGGACAGGTCCATTATACGTGCCGTGGATGCGACCATAAATCCATGCGTAGTCCGCACCCAGTAGTCTTTCTTGGGCTGCGGCATCCCCAAGAACAGCGAGAGCGGCTTGGCCTTGTTCGCTATTGGCATTCCAGGGCCCGAGGGCAGTCATCGACGGGGGTTTATCAATCTGCAATATATAGAAGAATAAGATGGTGGCGCCTGAGCAGACCAACACACCTTCAGTGCATGGGGACTGCGAACCCGGATCGTGTCCCATGTCACACCCCACGCTCCAGTCACATAGAGCTGCTTTTCGAGATGCTTCCTTATGGCTTGGACCCGTGCAAACGAAATTGTTGTTCGGTCGCTCAAGAAAAACGCCTTCAATTCCCGGCATTCGTGACAGGCTGTACAGCCGATGGCGGAAAGTCTGGCGACCGACACGGTCTCCACGGGCTTTTCCGTCATGGTGTGCTCGGCAAAGAGTCGCAAAACGCTAATCGCAAAGCTGAGATGGTGCCCGGACTCCATTGACACTTTCTGATCACGTAGATAAGTCTTGAGATTCCGAAGAAAGGGCACAAGCACTTCGGACGTGTGCTCGGCGATCGTCGTCTTGGTGGGTGGCGCCAACAAACGCTGGAACAAGTCTTTGCATACGACCCGAGCACCTGTTTCGAAACAGAGCTTGACAAGTGACATCGCGGTTTCCACCGGATTGTTGGACGATGCATAATAGGAGTAGTGTGTCAGAGGTTGCGGATATAAATTAGCGCTCTTGATGGCCATCCGGACGATGGTAATGATGATCCTCCCGTGAGCTTCCTTTTCGGACTGCGTTTTCAAGGGCAGGCGTTCCTTGATGATGAATCGGATTAGTTCTTGGAGCGTACTACTGTCCTGTCCTGTCAAAAGAGCCGGAGTGACGCTGGATAATTTCATGAGCCTCGCACTCCAAGCTGTGAAACGCACCGCACCGTGGCTGAAGAAACTCCAAGCCGCCCGCTTTGCGAACAGCAGCGATTATGACAGCCTTGTGTGCATCGGTCAACGGACATGGGGTCACAGCCTTCCCATTCACCGAGCGGGCACCAGAAATCATGCTGTCGACGAGACCGGCAAAGAAAGAAAGCATGATGGGGCGTAGCTGAGGACGGCTATCCAGCAGAGTGATCATCGGGCCGGATAACTCGGAATAGTACATCCACGGCGGAAAGGTCAGGTTGTATTCGCCCTTGGTCGCAGCCTCGCGCATCTTGTCGAAGATGCCCGTGCATAAATCATCGCAGCCCATATCTACGCACAGCTTGACAACCTCCAGGATTTCGCTCGCGGCTTTGTCCTCCCGTCTGGCCATGTAAGAACAAACGGCTGCGATAGACTTGATGGGAAACGCAGGCAAGTTGCGAACGAGCTCGGAGACACAGCGGTTGATCAACTGGGTGATAATGCCGCGCGAATCCGAATCTGCCTCGATGCCACGTTGCAGATGCGGTATAAACGGTACCCAAAACGACTTGTCCAGGTCCTGCTTCTCAAGTTGAGGGAAGATCCTGTGTCAGAACCGATGAGATTGAATATCGACATAGAAGCAGCAACTGACACATCTCGAAGGAAGGCCCCGCCTCTGGAAAGGGCTACTTCGGATAGCCACGGGATCTGACTAGCATCCATCTTGCTGAGCGACCGAAGACTGAGATCGGTCTGTACTTGGCACCAAGTGATGACCAGATTCTCCTCCTCCTCCTCTCCCATGCGCGCCAACCGAGAAATAAGAGCTTGCCGTCGAGTATTTGACGTGTCATTGGTGGCGGCCTTGCTGATACTACAGGAAGTTTACCGGAACATGCACGGGCACAAACTCAATGACACTCACAAGGCTCCGACCCCATCCCATCCGAAAGCTTGATAGCACGACACGAAGCCTTCGACGCCCAACAGGCTTGTATTCTTATCAACGTCGCATACCGTCAGAGCCCTAATCAAGAGGCCAACATCATCCCACCGGTCGGCAGCCTCCCGGACGACCCGAACGACCCTTTCGAATTGGTCCTCCTGTCGGTGCTTCGTACAACACAGCAGAAGATTGTCGATCAATCTCTTTTCGTACGCAGTGGGAGCCGCAGAGAACGACGCCTCTAATGTGGTGCAGGCAAAGTCGTAGATGTTCCCAATGCTGACCTTTGGTTCGGTGCCCGGGGGAAGGATGACAAGAGCCGTACGATTGAAGTCTGAAGGACGCAGTTCGTGATAAAAAGCCAAAAGTCATTGCATAGACATACAATTCGTCCGGTCTGCACTCTATGCGTTTGGTCAGCTGAAGCGTCCGGTGAGAGCAACAGAAAGGCTCACCACACGATCAAGTCTTTCGAAATCCGAAGAATCTGGCTCGTCCTCCCCCAGCTTGTCTCCGCCGTTGATGATGTTATCGGGTCGATAGAAGAATTTTTCAAGTCCTCCGATCGAGACAGGCATCCCTTGCAGATCTGCGACACCCAGTAGGTGAGATTCAATTTCGTCGACACCGCCCTCTTCGAATACGCCCAAGTCGGCATCGTCGCCTTCGTCGGAGTAAGAGTGGTAAGAGCGCCGCTTCCAGCCGTAACCTTTCTGATACGAATTCCGGCTGACACTGATGTGCATAGTCACCCGATAGTGTGCGATGAATAAGCGGAAGCGGAGATCCTTGGCTAACGGTCGAAGGTGGGCTACGAGAAGTGCATCAGCACCTTTTAGGGACTTAGAGCTGAAGCCGGGCTCATTCTTGTATCGATGCCGAAGAAGACATGCTATTTGGCCGGGATTCGCGTCATTTTCGCCAGAAGCCTCGCAGTCCTCGAGATTTTGTGCCCGGTTCTGCTGCCAGGAAAGAAGAATATTACGCAGTCTCTGAATGGAACCATGCATTTCAGGAAGAATGGGTCGAAAGGCGGTTGCCGTGATTGCTGGGACAATGTCGTACAGGAGCGTCGTGCGATAGCCCGAGGTGACTCCGGCCAGTGTGTGCTCTACACCTGTATAAGCTGCCACGACTGAGGTGGTGAGACCGCTCTGATGCGACAAATTCAAGACTTTCTTCTGGCTGCCATGCCGGAGTTGCAGCTCAGCACCCTCGAAAGCACCGGGGAGAACAACAATCAAATCGCCAATTTTGAGGTTGGAATTCTCATTGTGAGCAGACCTATGCTTTTGGTCAGATAAAGAGCGGAAGAGTGTTGACTGCTCACTCTCTGTGTCGCGTGGTGCTAAAATGGGTGAGAAGACGAAGAATTGTCGTGTTCTCAGAGTAATGACATACTGGGCGCTAGGTCCGTGCACAACAAGTTTCTTGAGAACGAAATTCGGTCGCAAATGATGATACGTCGTGAGTGCAACTGTCGCAGCCGATCCCGCAGTAACTTGGAGCCACGTCGGCCACGCCGGGTTGTCAAACCGTACCTTTCAAAGATGAGCAAGAACAGTCTCATGTATATCCAAATTCGCTCACTTTTTCACCGGCAATCTCGTAGCCTCCTGAAGGTCTGGGATCTATCCTCGAAACGGGAATGCTTGCGGACGTGGCGATTATAGCAAGTGCATCTCGCTCACTAATTGGAATACCAATTGGGCCCACGCCATCAACATTCAAGCACGGATTTTGAGCATTCCCCATCCCATACCGCTCCGAGAATGCGAAGGCTCCGTTAAAGTGAAATCCGTCCTGCACAAGAGCTTCCAGGTCGTGCTACAAGTATGCGGTTGATGCTATGTATGGAAGACTGGGGTGTGAACAACTGACCGCGATGTTTTTGGATGGGGAAATCAACGGTTTGACCTCAGCCACGTTGGCATCTGCCTCCACTTCCGAGTCTGAAAAGGCATCGTCACCAACCGAGAACTGGCGACCATTCGCATCAGGAGATTGCGACGAAAGATTTATCACATTCAAGGGTGTAGGGGCAGCCATCTTCAGGATATTACGCGCAGGTGAGGGCAGCCTTCAACCTTCACACTTCAAGAACCCTGAAATGAGGAAAGAACCTATGGTGACTGTCTATGTGACTAACGCGCGTGGTCACAAAGCACGTGAGACTATAAAATTAGACATGAGAAGACCGGGTTCCGTATGATCTCCCATAATTCGATTTACTGAACGAAATGCAGGAAATGTGACTGAATAGTTAGTGACTCGTCCATCCCATTATTGTAACAGTTTGAATGACTTACGATGACTGGTGTCCAGACTACAACTGGTGCGATGATCATTTCCTGGCTTGAGCATAATCCTCTACCGTGGAATGAATTTATAGATCAAAGACGAGCGGAAACAAATTCGGAACAAGCTCGCGCTTTATTAATAATAGAGCGCCTAATCGGACACAGAGGGCGTTTGAGTGCATAGCACTGATGATAGCAAGTAGGCCAGTAAGTGACTAGCACGATTTTTATATAGACAGGCTGAACAGCCGGCGCTGGTCCAGTTGGAATCTGCTGCAAGGTACACCCAGCTCAGGGCCCACGACACCAGACCGAACCCCCCCTTAAGGTTGACATCCTGATAGAATGCTGCACTGTCGAAAATCGTGGCAGATAATATTCATCAACGGATCGAATGCACCAATTTCGCATCGCTGGATCTTCCAGAGTGGCAAGTGCCAATCCAACGGTTCCCACAGGGATCTAAGTGGAGCGTATGGGGGATGTACTGTCTGGATGCTAATTTCCGGATTGACAGTCCGCGAGGACTCCCCGAGCCCAGTTCACATCATGGTTTCTGACCTCCTGGTGGATTCGGAGGATTGTTCGGATCGCTCTTCTACTACATCGCCAGAAGTGATGGTCCTCAGTCCCAGGTAAAAGTGTTGATGAAGTGCTTTGCGATAGCAGAATGGTCCCAGCGTCTGCGAAGTGGTGAGAGTTTGGCTTCGAGGCTGAATCTCAATTCACCAGCGAGAATGCAATCAATCTTTCCGAGACACAGGACTCGGGATCTGCAAAAGACGGGGTAGGACAAGAGGGCCAGCCCCCTGTCCCCAACCCTGGTGAACAGTGAGGCCATGTAGAACTGGCGTTGGGCGAAGCCAGTGTATAGCGCAGAACCCCAGCTGGCAGACAACAACTAGCAGGGGATTGACGTCTGTATATGATGCCCAGTTTCATTTTCAAAATGCGAGGCCGACTCGGAGTGGAATTGGAGATAGCGGTCGTCCCCAATCGCACAGGCGATTGATGATTGAAAGGTCAGACACCATCCAAGGCTGTGCTCTTCATCAGACTTCCCGACATCACTCGGCTTTCGCCTTCCGCGCCCACGACCAGCTTGCAAACACAATTATGGGTACGATCCTCTAGTCGGTAATATCAGAAGCTGACTATTGCTCTCCGAAGCCCGAGATATAGCTTCTGCTGAGCTCGTTACGTTGCCTCAGGAATTGATTGACCTCATCCTCGACCTGGTCACGGACCAGACGACCCTGAAGACTTGCGCCATCGTGTCTCGCTCTTTCAGAGGAACCTCTCAAAAGAAGATATTTGCATCAATATCTGTCGTGCCTCTTTCCCGTTCGCACAAACCGAAGCTTACCCTCAATAATTTGTCTCAAATCTTATACCGCTCGCCCCACCTTGCCGCGCATGTGCATTCGTTGACATTAGTGGAAGGGACCGATTCGGGAAGCCCCCCTTGGATGAGTTCGAAATATCTTCCCATCGTTCTTTCCATGCTTGCCAACCTCACTCACATCTCTATCGAGGCAAGCCGATGCTTTGACTGGGAAATTTTGCCGGAGTCATCCATTATCGCCATACAAACCACATTCCTTCTCCCCTCTCTCACGTCTATCCGATTCCATAATCTCGAATTTACGTGGGGGTCTGACCTGATCGCGTTACTGCAATGTGCTCAAAGAGCCGCGACACTCGTGTTCTCTCAGGTGTATGTCGGCGCAGGAGAAGACTTGACGGACATTGTGGTGCTAGATTCAAGATCTTGCGTGACCAGCCTGCGACTAGACCCATTCTCCCCGCCATTAATGCATTCGCTTGCAATTGGTGTCAACCTGAGTCAACTCAAGTTCCTTCATACGACAGTGGATTCGCCTGAGATGGAGGCCGAAGTGCAGGGGCTATTGGCGTCTCTCCCCTCTCTAGAAGCATACCACATCCATCTCACACACCACATGAGTCAGTCCGTTTCGTTCATCACATTCGATCTTCACTGACAGGAGAGCAGGTGACACCAACTTCATTGATCTCTCCTCCCTGTCGCGTCTACACACCCTTGAAGTCACACTCACCTTCGAATTTCTCACCTCGCCGACAGGCTACGATCCTGTTAGTTGGGTCGGTCGCATTCTGGCTCGTGTTGCACAGCCCAGTCACGTCCGGACTGTCATTCTGAACATTCACGTCGACGAAAACGATTTGGACTACCTCGCAAGACTAAATTCGCTCGAGGCGGTCATACTCAATCCAACGTCAGGATTGTTCTCGATGACGACTCTCACGATCCGCCTCATCTCCCTTGAACTAGACTTTGATATCTGCGGTGGCGAACGCAGTATACAGGAAGCTTTGCCACTCATACAGGCCAGGGATTCCCTGCAGATTGAACTATTAGGGATCAGTTGATCTTGGATCACATACTTGCGAGAAGTGGTCCAGTGGTACAGGATTTACGATATAATACCGCCCTAATCATAGAATTTTTCCATCGAGTATTTGAGTAGCGGATGATTCATGGCACTTAGTCGTCTCGCACGAACGTTCAGACAATGAAAGGGGACTCGGAATCGACGGGGACGTCATTTTGGAGGTCACGCTACCAGGATGATGTGGCTATGGGTGTCGTAATCGAGCTGACACGACCGATTCTGAAATCTCGCCTCTGCGCAGTTGCATGCACATTTCGACGACGACATGAGTTCACTAGCCTTCCTTGTGACTGAGCTCCAGGTTTGCAGCTCCAGTTTTCCTGCCACATATCTCACAGCCCCAGTCGCTAGCAAGTGAGACACGCAGAAAGCACCCTGACATTCGCGAGGTGCGTCTACTTATATTTCATGGATCTACCCACAACTGAAATCCCCGTTCTGTCGTACTAGGCTGCTGAGAAGTCGCTCGCGATTCTGCGAGCATCACCAGAGCAGGCTACAGCTAACCTGGCGTCTGGTGCGTCGCACGCCGTCGGTTCTTACGCATGGAACTTATGAGCACCTCTCCCCTTCTGTGTAGATGGCCCCCAATCCGATGACCTCCTCCGTCCCGTGTTCATGGGCTGCGCTACCAAGAACGCGAAAGTCGTCGCCATCTCGTTGGGCTCGTTGCAGCGCCTCATAGCACTCAAAGCCGTTCCCCAATCCGCCGTCCAGCTCATCATCAGCACCATGAGCGACGCCATGATCCAGGGCGTCGACATCCAGCTGCGAATCCTCCAGACACTTCTCTCGCTTGTCACGAACTTCCCGGCGATCCATGGAAGCCTGTTAGGAGAGGTGCGTGCCATGTGATATCTGGTGGCAGCCTGGAGGAACTGAACGTGGACTTGCGTCCAGGCCTTGCTTTTGTGTTTCAAGCTCCAGGAGTCTAAGATTGCCGTCGTATCCTCGACTGCGGCTGCTACGCTGCGGCAACTCGTCATGTTCGTGTTCGACAAGATGGTGGATGAAGATCGACGGGATGATGATCCCGACACGGCAGGCTGGGAGGATGTCACTCTCCCGGATGGTTCAGTCAAGATGTTGGGCCCATCGGGCAAGGACGCGTTCTCTGTGTTCGAAGACTTGTGTCTGCTTGCGAATTCTGAGAAACCCAATTTTCTGAAGCTAGAGTTTCTGCACAAAACGTTTGCGTTAGAGCTCATAGAGAGTGTGTTGACAAACTACCATGCTTTGTTCCGAAAGGTACGTCACCTTTCTCGTGATCGTACGCTCATTGACGTTGCGCAGCACACAGAACTCGTTCTGCTCCTCCAGCTTCATCTCTGTCCACTCCTTCTGAAAGCGCTCTCGGATCGACCTCTCTTCCCGTTGACTCTTCGTTGCACCCGTGTTGTGTTTCTGCTTTTGAAGCAGTTCTCACTCGAGCTAACGACGGAAGCGGAGATATTCCTCACATTGCTTATTCGGATCGTCGGGGACGACAGTAGTGTCGAGCAGGGAGAAGTAGGCCCTAGACCGCAATGGATGCGTGTGCTTGCCATGGAGATCTTACGAGGGTGTGTCATCTTCGATTTGGCGTCCACCTCGGCTGCTGACCTCTCGTTCCAGCTTATGCAGTGACGCAGAACTGATGCGCAACGTCTGGGCAAGATACGACGCTCAAATCAACGGCTCCACGTCGAAGGTGTTCACGACACTCGTCGCCGCGCTGAAGCGACTCTTGACTGAGAAGCCTGCGCTGCTGGGTGTCTCTACGCAGATCTTCGGTGTCGGCGTGCAACCCGACGTCGGTGCGAATTCGGGGTATGGGCTCGATGTTGCTGGAATGGCAGGCATGGTTGCCACGGCTGCAAGTGCGACGGTATCGAATGTGGTGGGGATGATGGGATCTAGTGGTGGATTGAGTTTGCAGGGCTCCGCGATGAAATTGCAATGGTAATATCCCCAATACCTTCACTTCCCAACCATTCTTAACGCTGATGTTCCCAGCATCGACCAATTGGACAAAGCTGACGCGCCCCCAATTCCCGAGTCATACGTATATCTCCTGGCGGTGCAGTGCATCGTTTCCTTGTGCGAGGGGCTCGCATCTTTCGCGGGGCCTCTTTACAGCTCCATCGTCATTCAGCGACCTCGAGCTGCCGGAGAGGCCGTCGTTCGGGCTCCTCCAGCCCTCGATCTCGCATCACTTCCAACTGACGATCCGAGCACGGAACAACTCCGCATCGTCAGCTCCATCATCGAGAGCGGCTGGCCGGCCCTGCTTGCCGCCTTATCTCTCATCATCGCGACGAACCTTTCAGATGATCTGTTTGTAGAGGTGCTCGCCAGCTACCAGGCCATGACCAATGTCTCTGGGATGCTTGGACTGACTACACCACGGGACGCCTTTTTCACCAGCCTTTCCAAATTCGCTGTTCCGACTCGAGTTGTGTCAAGCTTGGATCATTCGGAGATGCAGGCCCCCCGATCTGCTGCGTCGATCTCTGAAAACCTCGGATTTGGTTCCGGGCCAGCCCCGCCGCCGGGACTGTCCGAGCGCAATCTTGCCTGCTTGAAAGTGCTTGTCGGGAGCGCCTTGTTCCTTGCCGGCAGTCTGGGTGATAGCTGGTTTGGTGTGCTCGAAGCCTTGCAAAATGCCGACTACGTGCTCACCTCGAGGGGGACTCTGCCGAAGAATGCCAATAAAGCTGCCCCTGGTCGCAACTCCGGAAGTTCAAGGCATGTGTTGCTGTCGGATCTGGACACGGACTCGCTTCTGGCTGCGATCCAGCGCTTGTTTGATGCGTCGAAGAATCTCGAGGACGATGCGTTCAAGCATTTCGTTGGTGCGCTATGTAGATTGAGTGCTGAGATGGTGGGAATGCAGAGCGAAGAGGAGCCGCCTGTCCTAGATCTTCCCGAAACCACTGGAGACGATCTCCCTAGTCCAACACTTCCAAGGCGGAGAGCCAGCGGAATTCATCTTCCGCGCACGTTGGTGAGTAATGTGAAGCCCACCCTTCCACCTCACTGACCCATAGAAAGCGCTCGGGTGACTTTGGTATCAACAAACTTGGAGGAGTCGCTCTTTCAAATATCCACCGATTGATCTACCGCTCTCCCGATGTTGCATGGGACACGACTACTCGACACCTGCTTGCTACATTACGTCTGCCTCACGCTCCTCAGCCTATTCGTGTCCAGGCTGCTCGGGTTCTCGATGACATCCTTGTCGTTGTGCCGCGTAATATCACCAATGCCGGTGATCTACAAGTCCAAGTCCAGCGACGGACACTTGATGTGCTGAGGCAGCAAGTCGTGCCGGACTACGGCTTGTCGGGCCAAACGTCGATCACGAGTGTCGAACTGCGGCGTATGGGGCTCGAAACGCTGCATCAAATCCTTGAAGCGTCTGGGCACACCCTTGTTGTTGGATGGGAAACTATCTTCGACATGCTCGCCAGTGTATGCAAACCCATCCCACCTCAAGAATCCACAGCCAGCTCTCCTCCGTCCCCGGATATGCGGAACAAGCCCATTCCTCTTGGTCTCGGCGCCCCGAGTGAAAAGAGCCAGACAGCCCTGGTTAAGATTGCATTCCAATCCCTCACGCTTGTCTGCGACTCTGTCTCTGCTCTATCGCCAGAGCATCTCCGGCTCTGTATCGGTACTCTCGGTCAGTTTGGACGACAAGCAGACACAAACATTGCCCTCACGGCCGCTGCAAGTCTTCTGTGGAGTGTTTCCGACGCGATCCAGTCGAAACGCAAGAACCCCGACGCGGAGCAGGAGTATAATGCTCTCTGGATGTTCCTGCTGCTCCAGGTGTTGGGGCTCTGTACGGATCCTCGGCCCGAAGTCCGTGACGGTGCCATCCAAACTCTGTTCAGAACGATGCAGCTGTATGGTGCCACATTGAGCCTCGAGACATGGGACGAGTGTCTTTGGAAAGTCACTTTCCCGCTGTTGGATTCCTTGACAGGCGAGATCCGACGTGCCGAGGATCCTGCCTGGGATGAAAGCAAGACTCTGGCGCTGCATTCCATCGGGTCGATCTTCCACGACTTTTTGGCGAACAAGCTGGTCGAGCTGGAGTCTTTTGTCAAGGCATGGGATGTATTCGTCGGGCACATCCAGGACACGGTTCTGTTCGACAACCGGTCGATAAGTTCTCCTGCGCTGAGATGTCTCGAGAAAGCGATCAAAGCGTCATCGAAGGTCTCTGCTGAGAAGAGCGACTCGGTGACCGAGATATGGGAACGGGCGTGGACCATGGCGGAGACTGTCGGCGGAGCGATCGTTCGCAGGGGAGGAGACGCCCGCCACTCCTTCACACAGGAAAGTCTGGTGTCGTTTTTGGATGTCATCCGGTGCACGCGGGCTACGAGTCGAGCTCTGAATGGGACAGAATGGCCATTAGAGAGATTGACACAGCTGATGTCCATCCTCAAAGGTGCGTCCGCCGTTTTGGTTCCAGTCCCTTGCTGACCACTCGCTTGATCCCAGGTGTACTCACATATCCCAGTTCGCTGGACTATCGACCGGACATTGACCAGCTTCCTCCTGTCCAGGTAAGAGTGACCGTCGCATCGTGTACATCCGTTGACGAGTCCTCAGACCATCGTCGTCGAGACTATCTCTGAGATCGCACTCGAGGCATCGGGTGTCCCGTCACTTGTCATGCGTGACCTCTCAGAATACGCTACTTTGCCGTTCCTGGCAGCATTCGACGGCCCGCCGGATCCGAAGTCGCAGACACCGCCCAAGCGTGTCACGTACATCGCGTTGACCAAACGGATCATGCCCCTGTTGGTAGATTTGTTTCTGAGGTTCAAAGAACGGGAAGAGATATACATAGATGGTACAATCGAGGCCGTGCTTTCGGTTGGTTCTCGTCTTGTTGGGTTGTTGTCTTTCTGACGTCTCGCAGGCCTACTCCATTCCGATCAAGCTCAAATACGACTGCCCACCCGCCTCCAAGTTTGGCAAAGATCTGCCCCTGTGGAAGACGGCGACGTCGAATTTCTTGAGAATCGTCAAAGAATGTGTAGACCCGATCGAGACGCTGGGGCCTGGTGAGCCACGGGATCCCGGCCGTTGCAATTCTGTTCTCATTGCAGACAGCCATTTCAGACGAACATCTCGAAGCTATCTGGAGACAGATGTTGGATGTGTTCAAAGGTGGCATCTTGGCTGACTGGTGCGTGTTGATCGCTATCTATCTCTGGTCTCTGCATCCGACGCACGTGCAATAGTTCGATCGCCGAGTCATTCTCTCTGGAAATCCAAGAAGCGGAGGAGAACTTTGACTTGGCGCTCATTGGTGCATTGGAAATCGATGTTGTCCCACATCTTGGATCGAGTCGAGTGCCGGATGCACTGGTTGGCCAGCTAGCCAAGGTCCTGCAGCACGGCAGTCGGTTGTACGAGTCAGATCCGCAGTCACCGACATCGTCCTCGTCCTTTGAGAAGGTCGAATTCGACGCTGATGAGGAAGAAGGGACAGCTCAGCCTGGGACACTGGTCCCTAGGGAGCGGTTTTCATACTGGTGTTTCGATCTCTTGTTCTTAATATGTTCGGATACAACCAAAGGTGTGTGGGTGTATGGGAGACACTTTCATCCACGAGCTCATGCAACAACCCAGACCAAGAACCCTCCAGGCGAAGACTTGCAGCGCTGAGCTTACCAGCGCTTCTCTCTCGCTGTCGACGGGTCCTGACAAGCTACGTTGCCGACGAGAAACTGCGTGGGAATTTGCCTTTCCCGAGAGTGAGAGAAGACGAGCTCCTGTATACCCTGCGTAAATTGTTGCAATTGCGGCTGTGGCCGGGCTCACTATGGGCGGCCGAGTCGGACGACCCTACCAAGTACGCTGCGGAACAGCCCGCAATCGACGCGAGCGCGCCTCCGAAGACATTGGTCTCGGAAGCGGTCAAACGGTCGACCTTGGGTCATTTGTTTCACCTCTATCCACTGTTGTGTGAAATTGCTGCTGTGCCGCGGAAAGCCCCAGCGGCGTGGGTGTTGACCGAGGGGAGGGCGAGTGAGCTAGACGCTAGGGAATTGGCGCGAGATTGCTTGAAGATAGTAGGGAGTGAGATGGGTGTTGCCTTGTAGTTGTTGTATTCGTAGCTGTCATCTAATTTGTCTCGATCTTCGTCTTTCACTGAAGCTATAGCCAGCAGCACATCTCACATCTCGGACAACATCTCTGTTGTCGCGGTTCCTGAGTAGAAGACAGTTCAAATAAGTTGGCTGAGCAGGGACTATTGGTTGACAAGGAAGAACAATATGACTACTATGACGAGGACGAGGACGAGATCTAACGGTATTGGGTGGCACAGGTATTTCATGATTATTATATGCGCGTTATACAGCTCTATGAACAATCTTATTTGCTTACTACAATTGAAGCCTGATGTAAGTCACTCTTACCGGATTTCACACTTGAAACATGCACATGATGAAGCCTGTAAGATCTGTGAACTTGTCACTCATTCGGGTTAGGGTTATGCATCCGCCTTCGGACTCCTGACACTGAAGCTTCCCGGCATGACAAAGACCGAGACGATTCCAAAGCACTCGGCCATCGCAGGAACCGAGCTGTTCTGAGCGCACAGAATATGACGTATAAATGGCGCGGAGCCATCGCGTTAGACTAATCAACCCACCAACTTACAGTCCGTCGTGATCTCAGTGACTCCGGGACAACTCTCATCTCCGACTAGATCATGTCCACATCTGAGCTTATCTTCGTGCGCAGTCTGCTCTCATTCGATCGGATGAGGATTCGATAGGACTGACGTGGTGCATCGGATAGGTGACTGGCGCGTCAGGATTCTTAGGCTCGCATGTCGTGCACCAGCTGCTGGAGAAAGGGTATCGCGTACGAGCGTGTGTTATGCAAGGTTTACGCCTGCCATTTCAACCCGCTGACGGCGCTATCTTCTAGTGCCGCTCGGGGCGCAAAGGCAGACGCTTTGAAGGCCGTGTATGCCGATTACGGTGACCGCGTTGAGATCGTGAAGATCACCGATATCGCCCACGATCAGTTTCCCGAACAGCTGGCGGGCGTCGACGCCATCATGCACCTGGCCTCGCCACTGCCTGGCAAGGCCGAGCCGGCTGAGATGCTCAGGGTGGGGCTTACGTGACGCGTCGTTCCGAGCCGCTCGAGCTAATAGCACCACAGCTGGCCAAAGAGGGCACCATGAACGTCATCGTGCAGGGCGAGAAAGCTGGGGTGAAGCGGATGGTGGTCACGAGCTCGATTGCGACCGTTGTCAATCCCAGCAACAGCTTCACCGACCAAGGTGCGTTGCAACATACATCCGGGCTCGGCCCGCACTCACATCGGATGTAGATTGGAACCCAGTCACCCGGGAGATCGCACTATCAGCGGTCAGCGGAATGGCGACGTATGCGGCGTCGAAGAAGTTTTCTGAATTGGCGCTCTGGGAATGGGCGGAGAAGCATCCGCACGTCGAGGTGACTACACGTACGGTTGCACCATCGCTCAGGACGCGGTCTGTCGCTGACGCCGCCTCATGCAGTCAACCCACCGTTCTTCTTCGGGCCCTTCACCAAGGGCTTCGCCATCCCGCCGGGTGACTACGGCGCGCTGTCGACTTCTAATATAATCTACAACCTCCTGTTCAAGGACGGCGCTCTTCCCAACCATACCCGGTACATCGATGTGCGGGATGTTGCCGCAGGGCATGTGGGGGCCCTGAGCTCGCCGCCGACGGCGCGAGTCGGCCGCAAGCGCATCATTTTCTCCTCGCCGTATGGATGGAGCATCCGCAAGCGGCTGGAATTCATCGCAGAGCAGCGGCCAGGACTAAAGGATCGACTGACGACCAGAGAGCCTGTGCCGCAGCCATTTGATATCCTGCCGATGGATTTCGGACGTGTCGAGGAAGTGCTGGGCATGAAGAAGTCTGATTTCAAGACTTTCGAAGAGGTGCGCCGGCTTTTATGTATCTGCTAGCGACTCGATTTTGACATGGACCCATAGACGACGCTTGATACGGTCGATGCTTTGCTTGAGGTTGAGCGGCAATGGAAGGATGCAGGTTACGACGTCGAGCAGACCCCTCCATCCTTCGCTACTTGATGTCTATACGATCACGTGGGCATCAAATGAATGATTTCTTCTCTTATCATCGTTCGGGGATCCTAGCATGCCTGACTCCAGGCAAGACCCGTTCAGTCGTTTTAGTGTTGTGCTTGGCACTTTGTAGCTCATTGGTCTGTTCGAGATCAGCCGCTCACAACAGAAAGGAGGGCACAATCGTAGCCTATTTTAGGAGATCACGTTGATGCTGGTTGCGCCCGACGTCCAACTTGCTCTCGCCACTGGTTCTTTGATTGCAATAGTTTTCGACTATAAACGCTTCGAGCCGATCGATTAGGTATGGTTGTGACTGAATGAGTCGTGAGTGGATCGAGGACACGGAATCCGGGCCTGACATTCTTTGCCTCCTGCCGCAGCTGTGAGCTCATTCCGCACAGTCATGCGCTCATGTTCGTTGGGGACCGCCAGGCACGAATCTAGAGCGAGCGGCATATTCTTGTACTCCACCATGCCCTCAGGGATGCGTCAACAGTGGCATGGCAGCATGAACTCCTGATTCCAGAGGCTTCTCGGAAAGTCTCGAAATTAGCCATAAAAAGCACACGACCTCACATCCCATGTCACTGCCTCCTTCGCCATGCCTTTTGTCGACATAGTCAGTTTGGGCGGCCCTCTGAACGTATCGTACACTATCTCGACGCCCGGGACTCCTTCGGCGAAAAGCATTGTCCCGGGTCTACCGACCGTGGTGCTTCTGCACCCGTTGTACCTGGGCCAGTATGCGTTACACCGTATGTCTCGTCCCGTCATCCCACCTCGATTCAGCGTTCGATGCATGAAAAAGCTCAGCTCGCCGATGTGCAACTACGGAGGTTCAATCTGGTCACTCTCGATCTCCGCAATCACGGCGCCTCGGTGGGCTTTGTAAAGGATGACTACGGGGTTGCATCCGCGGTCGATGATGTTGTCAAATTCATGGTGAGTAGAATAGCGCGGTTTTGTGTCGGCTAGGTGCTGAATGTCGCGGCACAGGAAGCACTGAAATTGCCGCCTGTCCATCTCGTGGGTGTGAACTACGGCTCGCTTATCGCGCTCGAGCTGGCTGCACTGTGGCCGCAACGCGTCCAGTCGCTCACTCTCGTCTCGCCACCAGCAATGGACGAGGTCAGCGACGACCATCTCTTATGTCGGGTCTCATCTCTCTCGCAGCCTGAAGATGTCGCCGAAGGTCGGATGGAAATCTATGAGTGCTGGAAGACTGGGCTCCCTGAAGGGCAGCCTCCCGACGAGGTGGCGTTGCTTGACGCTGTATGCGGGGCACTTCAGATCGGCACCAATAACCAGCAGTCCTCTCTTGTCTCTGCGTGAGCTCATATTGATCCTCGATTGTCTTTCGTCCAACTGAGTTGGTTGTCCCAGTCTGACAAAACTGACACTTGCCACCGCACCTAACAATTGGAGCCCACCCAGATTGGACGAATATTATCGTTCGACTGTGGCATTTTTTATCGATCGTCGCCGACCTACCTTGCGGGGGATCACTGCACCTGTGCTGCTTGTATATTGCGATGAAGACATCGCTTATGCCAGGGAAAGTGCTGAAGAACTACAGCATGCGCTTGAGGTTGCTGGGGTCACGGATGTGCGGCTGGAGGATGTGCCTGATGCTGCCCAATGGGGCAATCTCACGCATCCAGAAGAGTGCGCGTCTTCCTTTGCTTTGCTTGCCGAGGACTGACACGATGTGCTTCCAGAATCAACAAGTTGATCTATGATATGGTTATCAATTACGCTGCTGAACAGGACATACCGGCCGCGCCGAGAACGGTTGTAACGCCCTTTGCTACAGCACTTGCACAGGCTGGAATGCACGACGACGGAGATGACTCGGACGATGAGTGATGTTTGCTGGAATCGGGAAGGCCCCAAATTTCAAATACCATCGTCTGCCATTAGTCTTGAAACACTGCATTTTCGACACAACCCATGTGCTTTTACTTGCCCATCCACTATCTCATACCCGACATCCTCTCATAGCTTACAATTCGCTCAGATTCTGCTCACAGGCACTGTCAACCTCTCAATAAATTGTGCCGTGCTTCCACAGTAGACTCTTGCAGATTGAGTATGTACATACCGTAAAAGAAAGTCAATACCCGGTCTTGAGGTCAGCGCCAAACGCTTATTTTCCGTCAGGTATTTGCTACTAATAAGTATTGCTACGATTGTCGTTCTCGCTTAGGATTAGGACGCCAAGCACCACTTTATCACATGACCGTGATTGATTACCCAATTCATAACACCATCATCGGCGCCCCAATTTAGAACTTGGTACCAACCACCACAAGTTCGCAACAACTGCGGTGCCAGCCGTTTCTTCGGCATCTTCGCCTGACACCGACGATACTGTTATGGTGCACCGTCCAGCAGACTCGCGCCTTCTTTCGAACCTTCTATCCCAAGAAAAAGAATACGCAAAACATCTTACCACCCTTCTCGACCATTCCAATGCTTCTCTGGCTTCGGTGACCGCCTACGCCGCAGCCTCCTCGCCCGCCTCTGCGCATCTCATTCTCGCGGTTTCTGCGCAGCTCGCCTCTGCCGACGAGGCCCTCAGGCACTACGCGGTCGCGGTGGGGCGATGGCAGGAATACCTGAAGAACCTCAAGGGGTTGGAGGACGAGGTTGGAAATATCATGAGGGACAGAGAGATTCTGTAAGTGCTTCGCGCATGTCCGTGTCCTTCGGGTGTGTTTCATGGCCTTGCACGGGCCCCTGAAGTGGAGTCTTGTGCCAGACGAGCTGTCTGCGGCGAGGTTTCAGCCTTACCGGTATGATGCGATTTTACGGTCAGAGCTGACGAAACTGCGTAGTGTCACCCGTCTCATCAAGGCGTCCAAACTCAGTCCACATCCGTCCCTTTCGTCATCTTCGCTAGTCCTTTCCGCCAGCCAGTCGCATACGTCACTTCCATCCGTCAACTCCAAACTCGCCGCGGCTCAAACCGAACTGCAGGCTTGCGAAGCCCATTTGGCGTCGAAGGAGGCGGAGCTGGACGTCCATCGCGCCGCGCTGGTCAGAGAGGGTCTGGCTGATCGGTGTCGCGCTCTGGCTGAATGCGGCCAGCAATGGAGCGAGGCTGGGCGGATCGGCGCCTTGACGGCTCAAGGGGGACCGCATCCTCGTCTTCCATCGCCCGTCTCGGACGTAAACAAGCCTCTGCCGGGCGTCTCTGGCTCGGATGTATCGCTCGCTCCATCGCAGTCCGCGTCTCAAATCCAACTTTTCCCCGAACCTCAACAGCATATATACAGCAATGCAGGTCTGCCTCCCCCTTCCGCGGAAGGCTCGAGCTCTAGCGGTATCGCTTTCCCTGCTGCCCATGCTTTGCACGACTCATCGGCGCCCGTCCTGCCATTTGCGCATCGCACATTACCGAGACGAATCACGGAAGAAGATCTGCTGCGTACTGCGGAGGAAAACAGCAGTGAAGACGAACCGGTATCCCCTGCGCAGCTCGAGATTGTCGAGAATCCCCGGTTTGCGAATAACGCCAAAGTCAAAGCCGGGCCGTCGAGAAAAGATAGTTTCCTTCGACGACAATCTCTGCGCAGCACAAGCACAATGAGCGTGCCTGCCCCGTCAAAGAGCAGTTCAGGCTTTTTTGGCAGCATCCGAGGGCTGTTTGGTGGCCGCAAAGGAGGAAGCGATGTCGCTGCCGCTTCTGCTGTGCCTGCTAAAAGACGAGGAAAGCTCAGGGAATTGAGCGAGGAGGACGATGCACGCGGCGAAGTGCTTTCTGAGCCTCGGCCCCGTGTCTTGAGTGAAGGCTCTGTTCGGAGAAAGGGCAGTGCAGTGAACAAAACAGCGGTCCTCAGAGCTGAAGAATGGGTCGGGGGGCAAGGGCTCATGCCGCTGCCTCGACGGGCGGAAGTCGAGGATCGAGGATGGGCTAGTGATGGGCCGTCTTCTGAAGTCGTTCTCGTTCGCAAGAAGAGCAAAAAGAGAGACAGGACGGCGGTGTCCAGTGTTTCGGCCGATGGCGACAGTGTGGTCCCACCACGCACCCACAAGCGTCGAGTTTCGCTCGATATGACTGCGGCCGGTGGATCGCCGCAGGCGATCGCTCTGATGCCTGCTGGGTCAATCAGGAAAGAGCGTCGGGCCAGTATGCCCGTTCATTCTGCACCTCGTGCACAGACCGATATCCCCAGTCTGATGAGCATAGTTGAGGGCGTGGCTCAAGCAAATCGAGAGGGCTGGGCCGCCTATAACGATGCGAGCACAGGGTTGAGCTCGAGCGCTCCTGTGCCATCGTCATCTATAGACGTCCCGCGCTCGAACGGTCAGAACAGTCGTGGTCGGACAGGTTTGCCTGCAATGACTTCCAATTTGATGCAGATTGACGGGCTGCCTCGAGCGCCGGGGTCTGTGTTTGCCACCGCATATCCACAAGCGCCCGCATCAAACAGCCTTTCGAACCCGGCGTCAGCTGCTTCATCACCTGCTTCATCGATTCGACGGCCTGCGAAATCGCCTCTTCGAAGTGCGCTGAGGAACGCGTCTCCTGCACCAGTCGTTCCTCCGCTCCCAGCAGCCGTTGCGCCCTCGTTTCCAATCATCGTCAAAGCTCCCGCGCCCATCACGGTGACGATTCCGGTCCTCAATCTCGAAGGAAGCAAGACTGTTGTTCCGGTGGTCACTGCAGACGGCGGCGATTCAGATGACGGAGCGTCTATATCATCGTACGAGACCGGTCACGAGACCTTCTCCGACGGCGACGAGGACAAATCGCCTCCTCTGCCACCCAACAAAGAGTCTGCGACGATGTTTGATAGCCCTATCAACGGCAATGGTAATATCGAGGCCTATGGAAGAGGCTCTGACGTGTCAGCCAGCTCGACGTCGACGCAAATGCAAGGTCCGCAGCGTCGTAAGAGTGTGCGGGTGTCACTGCAGCCCACGTTCTCCACGACACCTCCGGCGATCGACGACGATGACGACGATGACGCTGGGAGCGAGGGCAGGCATCCTCCATGGGAGCGAAGCGCAACTCCGGATATGTGGGCAGACTCGAGCGAAGAAGACTCCGAGTACCAGACCGCGAGGAAGCTGCTCACTCGAGTTGCCCGGAAGAAAAACAAGAAGTCTCGGTAGCGGCCTCTATACGTATACTTGTTCAATTTTTCAGTGTTTAGTGTATTGTCGTCTCTAGTGTATTCTATTTCGGATAATGAATGGCTTTTGAGACTTTTGTTCGTCGAATGTGATGACGTAAGCCAAATTGCAGACCCGCCGTCTTTTTTGCTCTTCCACTTCGTCCTCGCTCCGAGCTCTATCACACGCAACCGCTTCTCACACTTGCAACACACTGAAATGGCCGAGGAAGATCAACAGGGCACCCAGGAGGTCAAATCTGAGGATGCTCAGTCGACCATTAACATCAAGGTCTGTGCCTCTCAGCAAGTCAGCGGCCGACGATACATCGTTTCACTGAGCTGCATGCGCTGGATCTCGACGGGCGGCTGACGGATCTCTTTCTCTGCGTGTCTGCAGGTCGTGAGCTCGACCGGCGAAGAGGTCTTTTTCAAGATCAAGCGGAGCACGAAGCTAAGCAAGCTCCAAGGCGCTTACGCCAACAAGGTCGGGAAAGACGTGGGCAGCATCCGGTGCGTGTGTCTCCTCAATGAGGGGGGTGCGCTCGTTCGGCTGTCGACTTTATCTGCGCTTCGATTGTTTTCCGTCCACCCCTGGCCTTCCCGTTTGAGGTGCTGTTATTTGGACTGACTTGTTCTCTATTATGCAGTTTTCTCTATGATGGATCTCGCATAAGCGACGATGATACGCCCGCGACGTTGGATATGGAGGACAACGGTCAGTCGCCTGTGTTCCGTCTGATTGATTGGTCCGTGCTGACTGTTCCCGCGCTCTGCAGATACCATCGATGTTATGGTCGAGCGTGAGTGGCTGCATCGCCTCATTTCCTCTCCGCTCAGACACATTTCTGACACTTCCTCTCCCTCCCTCTTCTCTTGTGCTTGTGCCCACCAGAGGTCGGAGGTCGTGCATCGCGGCGCTAGGGTCCCGGACGCGACGCGCAGTTTCTTGATTTTCCTCGAATTCTTGTCTTGTATCCACCTGCCACAGTATAATGTACAAAGTTCAGCAACGCTTCTCTACCGCCGAGTCCCGGGCCCTCGCCAGGCAGACGCTTTCTATCTTTCGACCGCCAACACCGCATAAATGAACGAGCGCTCGCAGGACGGACGACCTCGTGCGATCTGATGGGGCGCTCGGTACTAGTTGCTGTTGTCGCTGGATGTGTGAGCACGCCGATCTGCTCGGGAGCAGGCCGTCTTGGAACAAGACACGAAAATGCGCGATTCGGACTGGATCAGTGCGCTGCTCTGTCGGAACTGACCCCCAGAATGCGCACAGGGTGGAGGAAGGATCTCGATTTCGGTCACAGAAAGACCATGCATATATCTTCTATGAGGGAACAAGCGGAGATCGCAGGCATGAGCAGTACTCTATCTGAGCGGCAGCCAATAACCTTGCGGTGATTTGGTGCCTGCCCATGTTACGGAGAACGATCGTGATCCGAAAGGTGTTGACAGCCGCAGTGTTTACCGGCTGACCGTGATTAAATGCGTGTAGGGACACGGGAAGATTTATGGCCGATTGCAGGAGAAGCCTATCCGAATAGCCATCGGGAGCGAGGATAGGAATCGAGCTGATGCTACAGAACTGCATCCATAGCAGCCTTCAATTTATATTTATCGGTGCTTTTAAGCGCAAAAAGGCTACAAGCGGACTGTAGAAAATCGATCACGTGGTAAAGTAATAGTAGACGGCGATCAAAGGCTCTCTCACGTGATCCCAAACTGTTCTGCTCGAAACGACGAGACCTGAGGTCGTCGACAACGGGCCATCTTGAGCCATCTTACGCACTGGAACGAAAGATGTCGATGACTTCGATGAAACGCGATGAAAACCTCGTGGCCGGGGAGGATTCTTACCGCGATTCATCTGGAAACAAGTAGCCAAATGCAGGTCGAGAACAACGCGGTGGTGTGCAAGCCAAGACCACGCTCAATCAGCAAGTATGAGCACTGCTACCACGCTCCTCGATATTCACTGCAGGCTTTGAAGTACCGGATCCGACCATCGATTTCGCCGTGTTCGATTGCCGGGACCGGATTGATCGATTGCCACGCCTGGGGGAATTTCTTGGCTGTGCGTCTTGCGGAAGCTGTATCGTATCGGGCCCGCTGGGCTCCATACTGAACCAGTGTGAGTTGTTTTCACACTGAATTAGCCCATCTATCCGCAGCTCGTGGACCACATTGCAAGGCAATGCAGGTAACGACACAAATTTCGGCTGCGCGAGGTGGCTTGGCCCGCCTGAGAACCCGACGAGGATGCCGTATCGCCAGAATAGACTATGGTTCGTGATTGGGTTCCGATGGACTGGGTCCCATCGAATCCGGTTTTCTGCCTTTCTTTGTGAAGTTATCAATCGACTTCCGCTGCGTTGGGTCTGTGCACGGTTCGGGAGGATGAGCTAACCGTTGGATTTCTCTCACTGTGGTTTCTCGGTCTCATTCGGTCCTCACCGAGCTGGTCTCGTATAAATGCTGGCTTGAATCGACGAATCCAACCAGGTCCTCTCCCCTCAGGTCCTATCCCTCGGCAGCCTACTGGCAAGCGTCTCGAAATGGCTTTCGCATTCGCTCTCTCTGCTCTAGCTGCTCTTGCGGTCTTTGTTTCTGCTGCACCCACTCCCGATGTGGTGTGCGCGGATGGCACTCGCGTTCCCAGCAACGTCTGCTGCGCGTTCATCGCGGTCAGTGGATGCAGCTGCGCCTCCAGAGAGAACGACGCTCATGCTGTTGCAGGTCGCCCAAGATCTGCAGGCGAACATCTTCCAGAATATTTGCGGCGAGGATTCCCATGAGGCTCTGCGTCTCACCTTCCGTTCGTACTTGACTTCCGCGGAGATTCACATTTTTTGACTTCCTTTTTTCCATTTCAGACGACGCTATCGCGATCAGTCAATCTCAGGGCCCTTCTGCGTTGAGTTCTTTCCTTCTCTGATTCTTTCCATCTTCTCACAGAATACACATTCTGTAGCGGTGGCGGAGCTGACGGCAGCATGCTCCTGTTCCCCACGGTACGCTTCTGCTTCTGCCGTGGCTATATCTGGTGCTGAGCTTGTATTGAATCATTCAGGTCGAGCCCAACTTTGGCGCCAACAACGGAATTGACGACAGCGTGAACAACCTGATCCCCATCCTTGCCCGTCACAACGTCTCGGCTGGAGATTTGGTCCAGTTCGCCGGCGCAGTCGCTGTCGGAAACTGCCCGGTACGGCCCTGATGCATTTACCCAGCAATCAACACATAGCTTACTGATATTCCTGATCAGGGTGCTCCTCGTCTCGAGTTCCTCGCCGGCCGCAAGAACGCTGTTGCTGCAGCCGTCGACGGCCTGATTCCTGTGCGTGCGACTGCGATCGCGGTTTCCTCTCTTGATTCGCAAGCTGACACACACTTCCCCCCTTAGGAACCGTCTGATTCGGTCACCAAGATCTTGGCCCGCTTTGCTGACGCGGGAAACTTCAGTCCCTTCGAGGTCATCTCTCTGCTCGCCAGCCACACTGTTGCCCGGGCCGACCACGTCGACCCCACCGTTGGTGCCGCGCCGTTCGACTCGACCCCCTTCACGTTCGACACCCAGGTGTTCCTCGAGGTCCTGCTCAAGGGTGTCGGCTTCCCGGCCCTCTCGAACAACACCGGTGAGGTCATGTCGCCGCTGCCGCTCACTTCCGGCAACGACACCGGCGAGTTGCGTCTGCAATCCGACTTTGCGCTCGCCCGCGACCCGCGCACGGCCTGCTTCTGGCAAGGATTCGTCAGTGAGTCCCAATTTGGCAACTTCTAGTGGCGTGGTGGGTGGCTGACGCTCGGGTGTCAGATGAGCAGGAGTTCATGGCCTCGAGCTTCCGCGCTGCGATGTCCAAGCTGGCGATTCTCGGCTCCAAGCGATCGGATCTCGTTGACTGCTCTGCGGTCGTTCCCATCCCCAAGCCCGCCGTCAACAAGCCCGCCACCTTCCCTGCCACCAAGAGCGCCAAGGATCTCCAGCTCACCTGCAATGCGAGATTCCCGACTCTGACCACCGACAGTGAGTTCGCGTGCCTGCCCCTGCCCCTGCCAGCAGGATACTGACCATCCCGGTGTGTTTTCGCAGAGGGTCCCACGGAGACGCTCATCCCGCACTGTGTCGACGGCGGCCAGAACTGCCCTGGAATCCAGTTCGCTGGCCCGGCCTGAGGCTACTGCGACCCCTCATATCAATTGTCATCGGTGCCCACATTCATTCCCCGCGCACTCCGGTTATAGTCTATATATGTATGCTGAAGAAGTTCCCTCCTTTCATCCGCGCCGAGCTGAGAATATCCACTATCGCTACTACGATATTTGATTTCGCAGACATGTTTTATTAAGAATGTTTATACTTGCGATCGATCCCTCGTGTGAACCCAGATTGAGATGAAGAAAAAAGATTGGTTCTAAAAGTTGGAAGCAGTGGTCGAAACATTCATCTAGCTCTAAGGACTGGGGCCGACTCTGCCATTTGACGCGTCCGGTCACAATCACGTGGGGAGTCTCTCACGTAGCGTCCGCATTCGATCGCCAACTACAATCTTGAGCGCAGGGGAACAAGATGACTACATGTCTATAAGTACCTGTTGCGTTTTCGCATGCCTATTTGGCCAATGGCTATCGTGAGTGCACTCAAATGGTTTGAACAGATACTGTCGTCTGCCAGTGGGCTTAGACCGAGCAGAAAATCCTGCAATGATCTTCACGGGATGCGGAACGGGAACGTGACTTGCTGGTCGGGATGCGTAGAGTCTCGCCAGTTTCCAAGCCAAGGTATGTGCTCATGGAAAACGGCATGTAAACCGACAAGATCGTAGTGATGTCAGGCATATGCAGAGATCACGATCCAAAGACTAAGCGTTGGGGGAGAACACTGTCTGAATCGTGTATGTGCTTAGATTTGAACAGGCATTGCAATCCGACTACTACTACGCTACTGTTTCACCCGCTAAAGGGGAAAGCAGCCGGGCTCTTGAAGCCATTGGCTCCCACCGCACGCACCCCAAACTGCACATTATCCTTGGAGAGCAAGACTGTCGTCGAAGACACGTTGCCGACAGGAACAACGTGGGTCCAAAGCGGCTCCTCAGTGGCTCTCCAGACAACCTCGTAGCCAGCAGCAGCGGCATCCGGCGTCCACCGGAGCGTCGAGTTGTTCGTCAGCACACTCGTGTCAAGGGTCAGCCCCTTCGGCGTCCCCGGCGCCTGCGCGAGCGACCAGAGGGCCACCCCGTTGACCTTGGCGACGCGCGCGTTGAACTCGAAGTCGCAGAACTCGATCAGATCCCCGAACTGCACACCGTTCACGACGCGGACGTCCTGGTGCTGGTGCGCGAAGTTCTCGTGCGGCTCGGTGAATCGTACAGCGGGGTAGCCGTGCGCGATGAACGACTCGTGGTCCCCGCCGCGCAGGAACCGGTCGGGGCGGTAGATCATCTGTACTATTTCGCAGAAAGAATGATTGGTTATGAGTCGAGCCGATATCGGGATATAGCGCACCGTTCATTTGAGTGATCGCGTTCGAAGCCACTTCGACCACGAATCTCCCGAGCTGGCGGATCGGCGAGTCGTTCTCCGCACCAGAGCTGATTCGGCGATCGATCGTGGCGAGAGTCTCTGTGTTCGGGATACCCTGGGCGAACATGCGAATGTTGAATGGATCGCGGGTACCGTCATCTCCCGTCGAGCTGCCCACGATATCGTTCTGGCGCGATTTCAGTCACCGAAGCCACAAGCAAAAAGGGGGGATGGATATAGCATACATTGAGCATACCCTGGACATCGGCACTTGCGTTGGCGAGTTTGGCAGCCATGAACGCCGAGCCAAACAGCCCTTGCTCCTCGCCAGCCACGGCGGCGAACATGATGGTTGCAGCGGGGCTGTGACTCGCCATCACTCTAGCCAGCTCCATGGCCACAGCGACGCCGGAGCCGTCATCGTCTGTCGCGACACTCAGCAGTAGCGCTCGCAGCGGGCGGCATCCACGTACCGGCTCCGGGAGAGTCATCCAAGAAGTTCGAGTTGTTCGTCACACGGGAATCATAATGGCCGGACACAACGTAGATGCGGTTTGGGTCTTTCGAGCCCTTGAGCGTGGCGACGACATTGCTGATATTGGTCGTCTGGATGATGCTGCCTGTAGGTTGTTGGATGTAACTCGGCACCTAGGGGAATCCGCTCAGTTCACAGATCAAGCAGAGAGAACATGGAGAGCGCCCGGTACTGACAGCGACCGTCATCCGCCCACCCGACGTCGCCGCGAAGCTGCGCATCTCCGCTGCGATCCAGTCGCGGGCCGCGCCGATCCCACGGACAGGGTCGGTCTGGTTCGACATCGTGTTGCGCGTTCCAAACGACACGAGCTTGGTGATGATCGCCTCGATGCGCGCGGGGTCGATCTGCGCCATCATCCCCGCGAGCTCGCGGTCGGGCTGCTGGGGCACGAGCGCAGCTCCGGGGCCGGGAGGCCAGGAGTCGGGCGTGAGGCCGAGGAGGGTGTTGTCCAAGGACGCGACCTGCGCAGACACTGGGATGCAGATTTGAGCGGGAGTAGGGACACCGAGACCAAGTCAGCCGGCCAGACTACGCAACGCACCGCAGGACGCGAGAATCACAGTTAGAGCGTAGAGATGCATTGCGCAGCCAGGATTTCTCTCCCCCCGTCATAGATGTACCATGCACGCAGGAAAGACACACGCGGTGCCCTCAGTCATCCGGAATCGGTTACTGGATTGGGCGGTTCACGAGACAAAGCAGAGAGAAGTTATCGGGAGCCACTGGGAAATATGCGAAATAGACTGGGAGAAGGCCTATTCTGAGCTCAGGCCGCGGCAAATAGCCCATATGGCATTGGTCGAGAGCAAGTTGTTCCGGTGCTCACCGCACAGCCATTGACCACAACCACTCCTCGTCAGAACTGATTAGTCTTGCCAGAACGCAATGACTGGAGACTAAAGCGACAATATTGGGACGGGGGCAAGCAGCCAATCGCCAATCGCCAATAGGATCAGCAATAAGATACATCAATGTTTCCGCGCGACCCGCTTATCGAAAATGAGCTATGCGCCCTGCGTCGCAGGCTGTCGCAGGCCCTCGCCCGGAAAATCCCACCTGTCACATGTCCGGCACTGGAGCCTGCACTCGTCCCGAGTCTCATCGCAGATCTACGGGAGAGGGGGGAGACTCCCCGGCCCGGACGCGTAGGTTCCAGACGAAGCACTCGAGGTTGGGGCAGCCCCCCGCTTCTGATGCCGTCAGCGCGAGTTGCCCTGGGACTAGATCGTGAGACACGCGTCACAGTATTCGCGGTCTTGGGTCTGGTGTGTGTGCTTGGATGAAGTGAAATGGCACGAACTGTTTGTTGTGTACGTGTCAGATGTGCCTGACCAGATCTGCTTGGCGCGCGACCGACTAGCAGTACCGGGGTGTGAGCAGCGCAGACTCTTGGGGGATGTGGACGAAGGTGTGCTCCTTCTGGTCCGATATTGCTGAGGTTTCGGAGGGGTGTGCTGGTCGCGTAGAAGTATGATCTTGCCACTCGATAGGATAAGGGGAGTTGCTGAGGGCGGAGGGATGGATGTTATAACGGATGTGCCATCGAGGCTGAGCGGGTTCGTTGGTTGCGCCGGGCCAGATTTTCGACTTGGAAAGGAATGGGGACTGCAGGCAACGAAATGGCTTCGTCTGGTACCGAGATACTCTAAGTTTTTGAGCAATCCCAATCCAGCTCGAGATCTGTCTAAGACCAATCGTCGATGGTGATGCGCTGATGCATAGAAGAGAACGTGTAGGCGAAGTCATGTTTGAGAAGAACGAAGAACAACAGTACATGCTGTGGACAGCGCCAAAGGAGAACAACCCCTCAGAGCGCGCGTCCTGTCCGAAAACTTCAGGCAAATGATGTCCAGTGCGCGGCACGACCTCGGGCATTCTGCGGAGGTGCAAGCAGTCTCACAGTCCGACGAGTTGATCCATGAGCAGGATCAAATACGTCATGGTCCCTGTCGTACGTGGAATCGCTAGGTGGAGTTTCGAACTCAATCCATCGCAGAAACGGATGCGGCCGTCACTCACCAGTTGCCTGAGCCAGCGTCACAGACGAAGAACTCCATAGACAGATGAACAAGGAAGGAGGAGGCGAGGTAAACAGAGGAGCGAGCTTCGTAAGGGCAGAATCGACACGCGCAGCGAGGGCGCAAAGGCCAGAAAAGACCCTGCGGGAGGTGTCCCCTTGTAGACCGTTTCGGCCGCAGTCGAGCGAACGTCTTCGATTTCCCGTTATGAGCCCATCGGTGTCCTCGAGTAAGACATCAAACTCGGAGCTGCAAGCGAGTCTCTATGACCTAAGACCATCGCTGTGAAGCGCGTCGCCCATATCCCCTGGCCGAGAATCGATGACTACACCAGGTGAGAGCACCGCCCGTTTTCAGGTGTTTCAGGAGACAGAGAAAGTAGTGATCCATTCCCCGAGCAGTAACGATCGTAGGGAAAACTTTGCGCCACAGACTCGGACTAAATACCCCAGAGCTCGATGCTTCTCGTTCCTGCGAGTCGTTTGGGTTGCTGGCCTGATTCAAAAGCGACCAATACCAGATAGGAAGGTAGTGCCGTGCTTAAAGATCATAGCTGATTCGCAGGATCCAGTCCAAGTTTAAGATTGGGACCCGGCGAATCTGTAACTCCTGGTCTGTGGCACTAGGACTCTTAGTGAGAATTGCGGTGATGGCGGGCCGACTTGAACAGTGGTGATGGCAGATTACGATCACGTGCTGTACTGTGCTGTTTGGCAACGTTCGTTTGCTCAAGAGCAGGAATGTGTGCAATATTCCCACCCCTTCTTTTCCTCGCACCACCACAGTAGCCCCCCATCCCAATGGCAAAGACTGAGACTGGTACGCGTTATCGCCCCCAAAATACATCAGCTGATCTTTTTTTCTGCACTAATAGAGACCAAGACCAAAACCGCGACGAGATCGGCAAATGCGAGGACGAAAAAGGCCCCCGCTGGTCAGTAGCGCGTTTTTGCCGTGGGCATGGCTACGATGTACTCATGATGCATCTACCAGACGGTGTCGAGAAGAAGAAACGCGAGCCTTCTGCGTACAACCTGTTCGTTAGCGCGAACATGAAACAGTGGATCAACGACAACCCAGGGAGGCCGCGCCCTGAGGCCATGAAGGCTGTATGTCTGCTGCCCTGATGCCCCGTCCTCGTGTCATCTGACGCTGACATCTATCGCTTGTTATAGGTTGCCGCGATGTGGGCTGACGCCCCGGAAAACCCGAAACGCGGACAGCCGGTGGTCAAGCGTGCGCCGAAGGAAAAGGCACCGAAGAAAGCGAAGGAGACAAAGGCGAAGCCCAAGCCCAAGAAGAAGAAGGCCGATTCTGAAGAGGAAGAGGACGTCGAGGAGGATGAGGATGAGGAGGATGCCAAAGAAGAAGACGATGAAGAGTGAAGTGAGTATTCATCTCACTGCGACCTATCATCTCTTTCTGACGGTACTTCAGAAGCCTCTGTCTCTCATCGCGCGCAGATGCGTGCATGCTCGATGTACCCCAGTTGCCATGACCGCCTATCCTTATTCGTGTTGTCTGTGTGTACCTGTAATCCCCTTTTACTGTCACTTCTCTCTTCGTTTAGCAAAAACTCCCTTCTGTAATGGCGCTCATATCACAACTCGTTTCGAATGCAACTGTTCTCGGTTCTTGTTCCGACTTTTCTCCCTCTTTCCCCCGGCGCCATTCGAGTTGTTCAAGAGGCTTTGATCCAAGAGTCTCACTTAGCGTGCATTGAGACTGCAACAGACCAAGGACCTCGTGCACATGCCTGATCGTGGCGTACATGCGCTCAATCATATCACTGGCTTAGCGGCCCACGCTGGTGTGTGCAGCGCTGGCCAGCAGCAGCAAGCCGACTCGCTGGTCTCGTCAATCATCTGTGCTTGTATGCGGGCGGATCTGCATCGGTAGTCAGTCCTGGAGCCCCAGATATGAAGCACACCACATGCGCATATATCCACTCCCGAATTTTTGCTTCCCCAGGGAATTGGCTACATTCCAACTCCGCTTGCTTCTTTCGGTCTACTGGGATATCCACGAATCAACGCCGACCAAGAGATGGAGCTCAAGCTCTATTCTTTGCGTCTGTTCTAAAGCGGTCTTGACCCTAAATAACTCACCGCGTGCTATGCTTGGTCAAGATTGCCTCTGCTCGGGACGATCTCCGTCAAACTCGCGAATCGCGATGCGAGATGGCTGACATAGATTGATTGCGGGCAGTAGAAACAGCTAGCTACTCTAAATTTAAAAATAAAATAGTAGTAGGCTGTCGCGTGGTAGAAATATATGTAGCATCTGAGATCCTTCCACTTCAACTAACTAACGGACACGGAAATAAGGGAATAATGGTTACGCGGGGGGAGGTGAGTGGTAAGTGGTAATATGATACACGACGTCAATGTGGTCTAATAAGTAGCGTGCGGTTGAAGATGCAGGTGAGGAGGATGGGGTAACATGAGGCGAGAAAAGGAAAACCCAGAAAACAGAATATGCGCTCGGATCAAGCAGGCCCATACGGTTGCCAGGCCTCGCCACCACGGTTGCCCATGTGCGACTGCATTTGAGAAGGCCCTTGAGTGAGACTATACACGGTCCGGCCATCGCTGGACTCGGTCGTGCTGCCCTCGATGGTGGGTGCGGCGGTGACGTACGAGCCCGCAGCCGTGCTCACATCGGGGTAGCTGCTGCCCATGTCGCCCGACCCTTGCTGCGGAACCTGCAGCGTCGGAATCGGAATTCCAGCGGGCTCAGGCATCATCAGCATGTTATCCGAGCTGGGCGGGCGCGACACGGTGCGTTCCGATAGCTGCTGGGTCGACGGTGCGGTGAAAACCGACAGCTGTGACTGCGAGGACAACAGATACGATGACGGAGCTGGCGCAGGAAGCCTCTCCGGGGACACCTCTGGCGAGCCTTCGGACATGGTCTCCAGCACCGGCGGCTGTGCGGACAGGGGTTGTGCGTGCAAAGGCATACCGAAAGTGTGATTCTCGACACTGCTTGGGACAGCGTCCGAGGCGCTACCAGATCGAGAATGCGAGTTGGTCCGTGAATCCGATAGATCCTCCTCCAGCCTTGCCATCGATGAGTTGGCCCGATTGCGCATGGCAACTTGAACAATTTCGATCGAAGACTGGGATGCCGCGCCAATGTTCTGCAACAGAGACTGAGCTCTTGACCGGGCCGAAACAGAAATCAACGATTCAGCACGAGATCTGGATGACGAAGTTCCTGAATGCGAGTGTGTTCGCGAGTGCGACGAACTGGATCCATAACCCCTTCGACCCGACACATTGCTGGCCCTGTGACGTAACGCAGTGAAAGAGGACCGAGGACTGGGCGCAGCAGAAAGTGACAATAAGCCGAGCTGGTCTTCGCGCTCCGCTTCGTGTGAGCCCTCCGACTCGGTGATTTCCGGCTCGTCAGGAAGCGGTGGCTCCAAGACGTTGGGCGCAACCACCCCAAACGCATCAGTTACGCGACTGTCCATTCTACCACGTGATCTGGGGAAATCAATAGGTGGTCCAGACGACGAAGACGAAGACTCCGAGACGGTATTAGGCACGGTACGCGAGCGAGTCCTGCTTCGCGGATGGCGTGGTGGCATCGGAATCGCACTGGCCGCACTATTGTAGCGTATCCCGCCCTCCCTGCTTTCGAGGCCGGAACTGCTGAGAGTGTGTTGGGACTGGGGTGACTGCGATTCACTCGATTCCGGGTTCCCAGTAGACTGCGTCGCCCGGGAGAACGTTGAGCGTGCATTCTGTGACTGCGTCGACCGAGTGTTGTGCGAAACGGGAGTCATGTGAGACGCCGCACCCGACGACCCGCTGCGAGCGTGACCGCGATTGGGGTGCCGGAATTGGAAGGGATAACGAGATGCGACAGGCTGTCCTAGACTCGACATGGAACCCGAAGCCCGTCCTGACGAAGGGCCTTCGCTGAGCATCCCTTCAAGCATCTCTTCATCGTCCTCATCCTCGTCTTCTTCATCCTCGTCTTCATGCTCCACTTCCTCCAAACTGCCACTCGAGTCTTTGCTGTCCGTTGGCTCCGGAGACGGCGGGAACGGTACCCGATCTTGCGAAGACACCTGCGCTCCCGGAGTCGTGAACGGATACGGCAATGCCATCAGCGGCGCGGAAGGCCCAGTCGACGGCTCCCTGGAGGACCGATTCACCACCTTGGGGATGATGTCTGCAAACTCAGGGCCCTTCTCGCTGATTGGCGTGTCGAACAAATCGCCAGAAAGAGCACCCCGGCGAGCAGCTGCGGGCACCGTTGGCAACCCAATACCCGCCATGATCTGTTCCATCCCATCCACAGGTTTGGGCTCTATGGCCTGGGAAACGGCCGCCGCCTCCTCCTTGTGTTTGCCAGTCCACCGTGGTCGCACAGTGAGACAGAAATCGAAGGTGTCTTGGACTCGGAGAGCAGTAGCCATCCTCCAGCTCCAAGGCAGCGCTTCCAATTCTGAAACGTTGTCGCTGAACGCCGACATCCGTTTCTCTGCTTCCTCTTCCTCCCAGCGGTTCCGAGGGCCGCAGAGACCAGCACAACCAGCACCACTCAGAATCCAAAGCCCGATCCTAAACACGTTCAGCACGACAAACGCGCCGTTACAGGAGCACTCACCAGCTGATCAGAACCACCAACGCCTTCCAGGCCGCCCATACCGCGCTAGCAATCAGCACACCGCGAGAGTACCCAGTCAAGGTCCCATCCGCACGGAAGAATGTCTCGTCCCGGTTGGACGTTCCGGAATCCGACATCGCCACAACGAGCGGATCCGGGGACCAGAATCCCAAAAGCAGCGCCAGGCACAATCCTGCACGGGGAAGAAGCAGAATCACGGTGGGCAGATTCTGGGAGTATAACCAGAACGTTTCAGCCAATCCATCTCGCATACCGCCATGCTCGCCGAAAAACGCAGACCAGCGCAAATGCTGCATGAAACAGAAGTTGGCATAGGACGATAGGCACACAAAGTTGAATGCAGGGGATGAAAGATAGAGCGGTAGCATGACAGGGCGTTCTGTGCACAAAACAAATTAGACGCAGTGAAGTGAAGATGTGGAGAAGTGATACGCACTGACACGCCATCGCCGAGCGAAAGAATACACCAACTCATAAATAACGAAGACAGGAAAGATCCAAACCAACCAGCATGCGGCATAGGCCGCAGCAGCCAACTCCCAATTGCGACCGGAACCAGGCACACCGGGAGCTAATGGGTTGGGAAACTTCGCGATCCTTGTCCAGGATTAGCCCATTTGATAATACGCCGATCAGAGATGAGCTCACTGAATTAACATGAACACGGCATTGAAGTCGAAGAAAGTTTGCAGTGGTATGTGTGCGAACACAAGCAGTGGAAACAGCAAGAAGTAGAGACGGGACTTGAATCCGGGGTTCTGCACCAGTTCGAGGTGCAGTCCCTTGGCTTTGAACCGTGGCTGAGGTATCCGTGGGTGCGCCTGTTCGTGTGAGCCAGCAGGAAGAGGCACACCCATTCCCCGCGACCAAACACGGGGCGCGGGGACCCCAACCTTCGTCTGGTCCGTGGGCTCACGCCGATCCTTCTCGGCACCGTACGACGCGTCGTGGTCGTTCATACTGACAATGCGCACGGACCGCGGCGTCGCCTTCCTCCCCCCAACAAACGGCTGCTCGCTCGGTCCCGCATCATTGATCGACCCTTGGAACGTCGAGGCCGGCGCTGGATGGAGTGGGCGCTTGGGAAGCCACGATGGATAGCCCTCCGAGTCTTTCGACATACTGCGACACGCGGCGGATCCAGACGAGGGCTCCTCTGAGTTGTTGTTATCCGCCTGCAATTGCTCGAGCAGGGAGTCCACCCCGGCCACGGACGAGTCGTTCGAGGGCGAATCTCTGGTCGGCTGTCGCGACATTCGTATAGATAAAAGAAGAAGGTTAGTAAGAACGAAGAAGGCGTGTGGCGCGCGCGAAGATGTGATTTTTTTGGAGTTTTGGAGGCGGCGGCGTCTGGGGGGAACGACGCGACGACACGGGCACTCGGGAAGGAGCGCGAAAGCCTCGTGTATGATGGGACGGCCTTGCCTCGTGTCCTGCCTATACGGGGAGGCCGGCAGATGGCGGGAGGAAGAACAAGAAATCCTTGAACAAATTGATGGGCCTCACCTGACTTTGTGTATCGCACCGTTATCTCCTTTGGATAAATACCCCCGGAATCAAAATGGAGGAGAAAGATGCCGCGGAAGCAGCGTGTGAGAGAGAAGGGGGCTTCGCTTTGCGAGAAGAGAGTGTAGACGAGCTACTTTAGTTATAGAGCAGGTGGTCGTGGTTGGTATTAACGCGGGAACATGCGGTAAGCTTCTTCGTACGTCGTCATAGTAAAGTTAACTCCGTGGGAGTTTTTGAAAGACTCCTAAACAAGTCTCATCGACTACGGCAAATCACCGCGACCGAAGATAGCCGGCTACACACCGCCTACGATAGTGGTGTGATATGATACTATCGCATTACACCTTTCCGCCGCAGCCCTCCGGATTCAGATGCACCTGGATGACTTGCGGCGTAACCATTTCAAAACGGAGAGCAGATGATCGGGGCGAACGGTCCCGGAGTGCCCAACGACTGTCAAGCTTGGAATGTAAAGGAAGTCCCCGCATGAAAAGCGAAGCAAGCAGCCCAATCGCGGCGACTCCCATCAGAACAGTCCAGACCATCGCTAGACTATCTGCCAGCGCGATCTGTACGTCCATTCGCTCTGGGGCTGGGAGAGAGGCCAACCGTGGGATGACATCATAGGCAACTGAGGCCGCTCCGTGCGGTAGTTGTTGCAAGAATGCGGCTGAAAGTCGTACCCTGAGTTGATTGTCAAGGACGGCGGCTCCAAGTGTCAAACCCCAGCTGAACTTTGTTATTAGCATGCGACATTTGAGCAAAAACGGCACGCACACGCCTGCAAAAGAGCCGGAAAATGCCAGAAACGCCAGCGCTCGAGCACTTTGAGAGACAGGCAGCGGCGCCTGAACGGGGAACATGGTCGTCGAGTACTTCAATCTGAAGCCCATCAGAAGGGGACGCGCGTAGGAGCTGCATGTGTTTACCCCAATCCGACACCGATGAGCGCACTATACGCCACTGCATGAGCGATCGGCGTGTTTTGTCTGACAGTTCTCAGCAGTCCAAGTCCGATGAGAAGGATACACCAGCCGGTCCACATCTGCGGTCGATAACGGCCGGTTTTGGTTACTGATACCCCGGCAAACACAACAGCTGGGGCTAATGCAGCCACCCCAAGACCGAGAACGGCAGATCGAAGAGCCGACGTATCTTTGCACCCTTGAAAATAGACAGGTAGAAGATCTGTGGCCCACGAGTCAGTAATGGGCTATATGAGCTACTACAAGTCTTACAGATGACACAGATTGTGACGAGGCTGACTATAGATGCTTGAGCATAGCTGCACTAGGGTCAATTGACGAAAGCTAGACATCTAGATATGATGACAGACCCACTCAGTGTCGTTCGGTTGCTCATGATAATAAATGGCACCTGACATAACTCGTCAGTGCCGAGTGGAAGCCAGAAGAGACCCCATCGTACCAGAGGCTCATTCGCCAACGTTGCTTCATAGAGCATGAATAAAGCTAGTCCAAGGAGTCCACACCAGAGCGGAAGGAGCAATGGTAAAGAAATCCAGGGCGCAACAGAACCACCCCATGTCAAGCCAGCTGTGCAAGAAACAGTGCTAGCGATGACCAGTGCGTTCCCACTGCAGTCCTGATATCAGAGTCCGTGATGCGGTAAAAAATTACAGAGACATACATCCAGTCCAATCGAGATAGCTTGTTACGGATCGTTCCATTTGGGGTCGGAAGTTGGAGAAAGAGCAAGACACACAGGGCTGCAACGAAGCAAATAGGCAGATTGAGATCTACTGAGAGTGAGTCCTGAGAGCAGATCATCGAAGATCTGCACAGAAAAGCCATCGCCAAAAGCCTTGAGATGCCACACTACCACCGATCATAGGTTCAACCACAGCAGCGACACACCAGGTTCTTCCCAAGGTAAAGTCAGAGCAGTCAAACAAGGCGATCAAAAATAAACACACAGTCCAGTAAAAACACCGTAAACACCTCGTTCTTCGAGAGTCACCAGATCTGCCAGGATTATAAAAGACAAGGAGCGGATCCCGCCGCCTCCGAGTCCTTGTACTGCACGACCAGCGAGGAACAACGATTGTTCCTTCGCAGCCCCACAGAGCCCACTTCCAAGCGCAAAGAGAGTCACACAAAGAAGCATCGCGTGCTGTCTCCCGAAGACTTCTGCCAGTCCTCCGCTCATGGGAAGAAATGCGGTCGACGCCAGGGTATATGCGGTCCCCGCCCGAACGAATCCCGACATATGGAGATCATGGGCAATCACAGGCAGGGCAGTGGAGATCGTGGTCATCTCTAGAGCAGACGCAAAGAGTGAGATGCATAGAGCAACAAAGATGAGCCAGAACGCGGGTCCTCGACGTGAACATGCCATTTGAGATGGGAGGATAAGAGTCGGAGGGAGTAGGAAAGGACGGTGTATTTGAGCTACCGAGGAGAGCGGGGCGTTGTCGTGTATACTGAAATTACTGAACGGGTGGTACGTGCTCAGACTGGAAGTCATTGAGCCGAGCAACGGGCGACTTGGGGGCCAGGAGGTTTCATCGGCTACGCAGCTTGAACCTCGGCTTAAAGTGGTAGGCTTGCTATCCGTGCGGGTTCAGCCATCGCCCATTGTATCTTCATTCCTGGGGGGCGATGAGATAGACCCAATACTCGTCCACCCCAGGGATTTGCTTGGGAATCCGCTATTCCATGTCGACTTGGCTCATATGGCAGTGTTCCAACCCGTGAAAGCTGAAAGACTTCGATTTTACCCTTCCTTGACGCTCCTGCTGAAGGCGGAACTGAGTTCAGGGTTTTTGCGTTCATGCGAAGCAATTGAACAAGATAAGACTTGGACAAGCACTTAGCAGCCCCGATCAAAGTCACAGTGGCACATGGAGACAAAGATCGCGTGCATGATGTACAGTCAGCCTTGGAATGTCATCTACAATCCATCTTGCTTCTTCTTCCGAGTCGTCTCCATCAACCTCTGACGCCTCAGAAACTCTTTACATAGAGTTGTAGGAGGCTCTTACCCACAGAAGTGGACATCCATACTCAGCCGAGAGGCACCAGTCTTTTCCATGTCTGAACGGGTGTCGATTGCCGCCCGGGTGTTTTCCATCCCGGAACTCCGGCTGCTCGTGCTTGCGCATATCGCTGCACCAGGCAAGCGCATCCTGTACCCGAGGGATTCAGACGCACTGGCTAACTTCGCACGCGTGTCTCGCGTCGTCTCGGATGATACGCTCTCTGTTCTGTGGAGAGCAATAGCCCGGCCTGATGCACTTGTGAAGCTTCTGCCGTCCGATGCCTGCCTCTTTCAAGACTCACAGGTCAGTGCCTTCGATCTCGAAATGTTTTCCTGTATACAGCAGTGACATCTCTTCCAGTACCGTCTCGCACGCCCTCTGACAGAGGCCGATTTCTCCGTCTTCGACAAATATGCTCGTCGTATTCGTTACGTCGACTTCTCCAACTCAAGTCAGCTTCTGGCCAGAGGATGTGAGCTATTCCCATATATCAAGGCTTTTCGGGATCCCATTCTTCCTTGCCTCGTCGACTTTCGTTGGGAAGTGGCCGTCGCAAATGGTTCCATAGGAGCCTTTCATCTTCTATCTCGGACAGCCTGCTTGCCTAGCAATGAGCTTTCGCTGCTGATGTGGTCCGAAATCGAGCACCCGCCAGATGAGGAGATATCCACTGCTCTTGTCCAATGCATCGATCTATTCAATGATCCCGCTTGTCCATGGATGCCCGATGTGAAGAGGCTCACATTACGCACGCTGGGGTATCTTCCCGCAGTTGGAACTGCTGTCCAGGGCTTGAGTAATCTGGAACACTTTTCGTGTGACCTCTGCATGGATAGACAGCTGCTGAACAAACTGGCCATTCTTCCTCGATTGAAGTCGATCGACTTGCGCTGGCTTTTATCTGATGTCGCTCGAAGCCTGATTCCAAGCCGGCCAAGCTTCGCCGCAATCGAATCTTTCCGGCTTTTGGGTGCTATCGATTCGATCTCAGCCACTCTTCCCTTGATTACCTCGATTGAGTTGACCACTGTTCGCCTCGGCATCAAAGGACTGGAGCTGAACGGGTTGGACTCGTCCTTGATTACTCTTTTGGTTCCTCCCTCGGTGCCGGCGCGAGCTTTGTCGCTGCGGCACTTCCATCTGGTGGGGCCATCCTTCCGGCACCTGGTGGCATCCTTACCAAACCATTTGGCTCTGGGCGACTTCGCGCCTCTGTGTTCGTGCCACGCACTGGAAACGTTCTGGATCGATATGAGCCTCAACGAAGTCGTCTGTACCGATGTCGACGTCCATGCTATGGCCGAAGCATGGCCGAAGCTCATTCGACTCTCGATCAACGGCCCGCTTCGTGCCATGGTCAACCGAAGTCCTCCACGAGCTCGCTTATACACGCTTTGGTCATTGGCGATTCATTGTCCTCGCCTGAGCGATCTTAGCATCGAGATTGACGCTCGGGTGACAGACCCGTTCTATGCTACTTCAACGTCAGTTGTTAAGGGCTCTGAAATGGAGCAAGTGTCATTCCACTTCTCTCCTTGCGGAGAACCAGAGATGGTTGCCGCATTTCTTCGCGTGGCATTTCCTGGGCTCTCCCTATCTGCATTCAGCGCCCATTCGAATTTGAACAACCCGGAGGATCAAGCGAGATGGGTCGATGTTGGAAGGATGCTCGAGTGAATGTATCGTGTCGTATCTAGATTTCCTGAAGAAAATGCACTGAAAGGGCATCACGCTCTCCGTAATGTGTTAGACGGTCACGCGTTTTGCGCGCCGCGCATACCTTCCTGAAATTGGTTTGACCGTATTTGGCTAACGATTGGCTTGAGCGCCTAATTCAAGTCCTTGCTTCTCCATGTCAACGATAATGACCATGAACCTCGCCCACGAAGTACCTTCTACGCAGGATTCACGCCAATCCGTATCGCAGTCCTCACCACCGTGGACTCTCGGCGCGACCTTTCCAACCTCTTCCGTTCCCGCTCTCTCTCCATCAAGGAAGAGACCTCGCCTAGCAGAGAGTCACGATGTCCCTCCATGGGAATGCGATCCCGTCTCTGGGATCGTGCATACATCGGGATGTATGACCTGCCGCTCATACATCTCCCACATGACCGAGGCGAAAGCCGCGGCCGAACCCACCATCCAGCGCGCCCTGAAACAACTCGAGAAGCAAATGGACACTTACTTTTTCGACGGCCTCCAAGAAGGCCGAAGACAGCAACAGGCGACCGATCAGGCGCGCATTGAAGAGCTCGAGCGCGCTCTGAACGGCGCGACCTCCAGGATCGCGTCGTTTGAGATGCAATGGCACGACGTCACCGAGCAACTTCGTGCGACGCGTCAACCATTCGTCGGCCCTCACCAACAGTTTGTGCCTCAAGAACAGACCCGCGACGCGACGCGTTTTGGCTCTCTATCCGATCAGTTGCCTGCCATGTCGACCGCCGCGAATTTCCCAGCGCCCTGTCTCGCCTCCAATTCCGCTGCTATCCCCGAATCCTCCTCCATCTCACGTCTCCCCACATCTGAGGCCCCTCACTCTCGTCCAAGCAATCTCCCTCCTCGGCCCACGAAGGAAGTCATTGCTTCGTCGGGCGCGCTTCAGTCGCGTTCACTTAGTGCTTCTGCCGCGTCTGTTTCGATCGAAAATCCTCGTAACCTCCGGCAACTCCAGCATCTGATGGCTCAGGCCCACCGACCTGGACACGAAGACCACCTCGCTAAAGTGAAAATGCTCTGTGCGGAAGCACACAACACTCCACGGGAAGAAAAGACCGAGCTACACCGCTACATCCTTTCGAATTGGCGCAATCCTGAGCAAGCAAGCAGCTACTCGCCCGGATCGGCAGCTGCGCCGAACGGCGAACACCTCCCTCCCGCTGCACACGGTGCCTCTACTCTCATGGGACGAAACAATCCTCGCATCGACGATCCTGTTGAGGTCTGGCACGAATTCTTGTGCACTTACCCCGGCTCTTGGCCACGCGGAGTGCGCAAAGTGGCCGATGGTAGTCCTCACCTCGGTGACCTGAAGGCGAGTCGGGTGGTCGCTCGTCTGCGGCCGACTTTGGGATCCCACGGGGACAGCACTGCGCGTGGCGAGTTCATGACCTGCACCGTGCAAATGTTCGCGTCACCAGGAATGTACAAGGACCTTCTGCGCCGCAACTCGATCTCTGTTGCATCGTCGCTCACATATTCCGCCTACAATTCGTCGAATATCGGGCCCACTGCCGTGGCCCGCCACTTTGCTACTGCCGGCATTACGGTGGATTGGGCGGTCATGCATCTAGAACCTTGGGCGTACGAGTACCAGATGGCTGTGTCGAATCCACCAGAAGCATCCAGCCACCGGTCGTCCCGGTCGACTTCGACCAAGCCTTCGTCGTCGTCTACGTCGAAATCTTACCACGATCATCGCCGACCACCCACCAGGCCTTTCCACGACTCGAAGAACCACGACAGAGGACGTGAAACTTCTCGTCAGCGGCGGAACAGTTTCGAGGAAGATCGCTTCGGTTGGAGGTGACATGTCAACTTGAATTTTGCACTGTAACGAATACTGTACTCCGTGTATCCGCATCTTGTAATAGCCCTGCCTCGCTCGTGTTTGAATTCCAAAGTATGTACGTAGATGTCGAATAAGAAGCTTGTGTCGTCTCCAATACTGGATATCCCTGTGTACTAAGATGGACACATCCAAATCGGCTTCCGGGTTAGGGTCACGTTCTTGCCTTGTGCTTGTCATGACCGATTAGTGACGGGTCGCAAGACAATGTTATCAGAACTACCCATCGACATCCTCCACGATGTTCTGGCATGCGCGGACGGACGGTCAATAATACGATGCTGCTCGGTGCGAATGCGTCCTTGTGACTTGCCCTGCGACTCTCAACGCCCGAGGCCAGGTCTGTCGCGCATGGAAGGCGCTGATCGAGTCCTCGGTGGAGCTCACGTATCTCGTCGAGCTGTTCGCGGACGGGCTGGTGTCTTGTCCCTCAGCGGATTCGATGGCGCAGCGGCGGCCCTATGAGAGACTGGAGCAGCTGCGCCGCTATCGCCGCGCGTGGCAGTCTCTCACCTGCACCTCGTGCACGCGGTTCTCGATCTCGGGGCACGCGCGGGCGTACGATCTCGTGGACGGCGTCTACGCGCAGCACGACACGTGGCCGCTCACTGACTTCACGACGATCGCGCTCCCGACGGCGGAGCGCGAGAGCAGAGCGTCGACGTTCCCCGACGTGGGCGTCCAGTCTCTTGATTTCGCCATCGATCCGACGCAGGATCTTGTTGTGTTCCTATGGAGGGGGCAAGACAGTGCCAACTTGGACTGCCGGCTGATGTCAACTCTTGCGCCCCATCCTCTTGCGGCCCTCGACACTCTATCGCTGGGTCTGCGGCAACAGAGTTTCCAGAGGATCTTTCTCCAGATAGCAGACGATGCGGTCGGCCTGCTCTACCGGATTCAGCCTTTGGCTGAGACCCTGCGGCTGGTCATATTCAATTGGCGGACGGCTGTCCTTCTCGTTGTATGTATTTGCTTGATACCGAGTCTACCTGACAGACACTTACACATTGGACCAGGATCTTAGCGGTCCACAGCTTCCGCGGTTCACCTCGGATTTTTCGCTCATATCCCCCCGCTCGTTTCTCCTGGGCACGATGACCGAGGTGCGCGAGGGGACCAACGTCCATCGAGGGGGGATTGGAGAGATCCGCATCTTCTCGTTTCGAGGAGATTCGCCTGCACAGCCGGAGCACGCGACCACACTGCTTCTTCCCGAAGTGGACGTGAATCGCTCCCTGGATCGGATGGTGATCCACAGCGGGCCCTATCTGGCCAATCCACCGCAGGATGCGCTGTTCTACAAGCCGAACGAGAAGAGGATCTGCTCGGTGTCGCTGCTGTATGACAGGTTTGAAGCTTACACTCTTTACATCCACCATCAGTTTCTCGCGGGGTTCCTCCCGCCCGCCGCCCGCCCACCGATCGCTGTGGTACCCTGGAAGCAGTGGGGCCCGGGAAACTCGCGCATGATGAAGGGCCGGCATATGCTGTGGCTAAGGTCACCCGCGAACTTGCTCCTCGAGTCCCTGCTCACGGTGCTGCCCAGATACGTTCACGGCGAACGTGTAGTGTGTCCAGTGGACGCGGTCAGCCCTCGGGTGGTGCAGGTGCTTGACTTTGGCCTGACGCCCAAGCGCTACTGCGACCCGGAGATGTGCCCCGGCGTCAACACCGAAGTGCACATCGGAACGAGCGTCATACCCCGGGTGAACCATGTGTTCAAGAGCGACGTCGCGACGTCGCTCCCGTTCCGGCGTTCGTTCCGCGAGCTGGACGAGGAGCATACCCTGTTTATGATTGACCAAGACCGGCTCATCGGGGTCAACGAGTCGGTTCGTTCACTGTCTTTCTCTTCCGGAATACCTAACGCTAACGATCGCATGTCAGGTCGATACGCTGACCGTATATACCTTCTGAGGGGCTTCACGTCCTTGGTGACGAAATGAGACTTGAGATTCACTCTGGTCCACCGGTGCCCTCGGCTCTCAGTGCCAGACAGTGAGCTAAAAGTCGACCTGCTTGTCAAGCTCAAACTAGCATTCAATCTCGCTTCACGTGGTCCGTGCAGGCAAGAAGATACCGCAGCGGCCTGTGTCTCCAACACCGTTTTACAGAGGTCAGCGCTGGAAAATCCCCGCGCAACAGAGTCAGCCACCAAGCCGGTAATCGGCACGTCGTGTGGGAGCTAAATGTTTTGCCGCCCAAAACCCGGAGTCATGGCGAGCAGCCTGCAGTCTATATCACGAGTGCAGAGGTCCAGCTTCCTGTCCTGAGCATCCTTGATACCTCTCATTCAAGCAAGCTCAGACACGCTGCTTTCGACTGGCCACTAGGTCCTGTGAGCATTAGGAGTTCAATGTCGTAACTGGGGGAGGAGGCGTTGCGGGAATTGCCGAAGGCCGATGGGTCGGGCGCTGCTCGGCCGAACCCACATTTCTGCATTGACACCAACCGAGTCTAAGCGAGTAGACTGTAGACACAGTCCCTGCTCGGCACTAAACATCATATCATCGATCGAGGAGCGGGCTGCGCCGAGTGATGGTATGTATTGTCACCGTAGGCTCGTCCAAAACATACCGTACCGTAGCGTACAGCACCAGTCTGAGGCTAACAATCCGGTGGCGTTCCCCCGCTCCCCCCAGGTGGACGTCGGAGGGACGACTGTGTCGGACGAGCCCCAACTGCACCGACCGCCCATCTTCACTCTGTAAGCCGATTGTCGGCCATCGGCGGAGATGTTATCTTGTTAGGAGTGGCAGTGACAGCTCAACCTGGTGGCGATCACTTCCCCACGCGACCGGTGCCAGCCGGATGGGATAAAAGTCTCGTCGGGTCAGAAAAACGGCAAGCCTGCAGATAAGGAGACACTATCTGGCGGCTACTTATCTTCTTGGCGCGGAGTCTGCGACAGGCGTCAGATCCATATTAGTGACCCGATCGCGCACCGGATCCCACGTCGAACCCCACCTTCCTTGCTTCCTTCCTTCAGCACAAGTTTGCCATGGCCGACAGTCAGAAGGAATCGTCGATTTCGAACGCGAATAACGGCGGAGGCGGCGGGATGGCGGCGGACGAGGCGGAACTGGCGCGCATGGGCTACAAGCAGGAACTCCCGTGCGTCCGTCTTTTACGTGGTCTGCAGCAGCCCCCCGACGGTCGCGTGACACACCTTTTCCAGACGAGAGTTGGGCCTCATGCAGGTACGTCGGCCCGGTTTTCGTCCGGGGTGTGCGGGCCGCTGACGACGGCGCTGTCCATAGAACTTTGGGGTATGTCAATCTTCGTGGCCACAGTGCGCGTCAGAATGGTCTCGCTGAAGTTTATCTTGTCAGGTCTCGTTCTCCATCATTTCTGTCATCACGGGCATGTCATCGCTGTTCTTCTATGGACTGGTGCGGCGTTGCGAGAATTCTGTCTGTTTTCTGCCTTCTGATGTCGTTTAGAATACTGGCGGTAAGCCCGTGTCGCATCACAAACGACTTGGACTTGAAGTCGACGCAACTTGGCAGGTCCGGCTGTGATGGTTTGGGGATGGATAGTCGTCTGTCCGTCTTGTTCTCTTTCTATTTCTGGCAACATCGAAGCTGATGCGCTCTGCCAGCTTTCTTCACGATGATGGTCGGTCTCGCGATGGCTGGTAATTCCTGTGATATCTCTCGTCTATTGACCGTCGCTCAATCGTACACACAGAGGTCTGCAGGTCAGCACGAGACGCCCAAATCGTGACCAATTGCTCAACCAATCTGCCAGTGCCCATCCGACGTCCGGTGGGCCGTACTTTTGGGCGGCCATGCTTTCAGAGGAGAGCCAAGCACCTTTGGCTTCGTGGATCACCGGTTCGTCTCGATCTTTAGATCGAAACGACCGCTCACACATCTGATTCGTAGGCTGGTTCAATCTCTTGGGCCAAGTCGCTGTCACGACCGGCATCAGGTACTTTCCGATCGAACGGCGGGGCGCCGATCTGACGTCTACAGCTTCGGATGCGCGAACTTCATCGCCACTGCGTGCACCTTGAAAACAAGCTTTGTTCCGTCGGCAAACAAGACGATCGGTGAGCATAGATAAACGACGTTCCGATCAGCCAATATTGATCTCTATACAGGTATCTACGCCGCTGTTCTCATCGCGCAAGGCAAGTGGAACTCCCAGTGGGTGTCGGCGGGATGCTGAGATCCCGGTCCTCCAGGAATGATCAACACATTCGGCGTCGGCTTGTTCCAGATCCTCAACAACATCTCTGTCTGGTGGCATGCCCTCGGTACGTCGTGCCTCTCAGCGACCATGAATGGCTGTTTTTAACACTGCGAAGGCACATTCTCGCTCGTGGTGGCGATTCTCGCCAAGGCCCCGACGCATCAGTCTGCCAAATTCGTATTCACGACGTTCAATGACGGAACGGGCTGGGGCGACCGTGCAAGCCACGCTTACGTCGTTGTGATCGGGGTACGTGTTTTCTTTTCCAATTCGGCATGAAAGAAAACCGTCTCATTCGCGCGTGCAGATGCTGATGGCTCAGGTACGTTTCAATGCCATGGCCGGGCGATCGTATCCTTGAGCTTATCTTATCGCGTAGTACACCCTCACAGGCTTCGATGCCAGTGCGCACGTATGCAATGATCTCCAAGTTTTCCGAGAATTCACCTGATTTTTTCTTGTCAGATGACCGAGGAAACCAAGAACGCAGCCATGTCTGGAAGTATCGGAATCATCATGGCCATCGGCGTCTCCGCCGTCCTCGGCTGGTTCCTCCTCCTCGGGCTGCTCTTCTCCATCCAGGATCTGGACACGACCTTGGCAAGCCCGACCGGCCAGCCGGTCACCCAGATTTTCCTGGACACCGTGGGTGAGAACGGTGCAATCGTTCTAATGGTAACGTGCTCTTGGTTTATATCTTGCCGTCGAGTACTCAATTATCCGAAAACAAGGTGATTGTGATCGGTGCCATGTTCCTCTGTGGGACCTTCTCGATCACGAGCAACTCGCGCATGGTAACGTTGTTTTTCCCCCCGCGCGATCCGCGTTTTAACCCGGGGTTGAACTGATCGTGGCTGTGCAGATGTTCGCATTCGCTCGGGATGGCGGCATTCCCGGACATCGGTATCTGAACTACGTCAGCACCAAGTGGCGGTCGCCCATCCGCACCGGTGTGTCGGCCGAATTTTTATGGGGTTTCACGGTGATTAACTCGCTGAACAGTGTGGCTGGCGTGTTTCTTGAGCTTCTGCCTCGCATTGCCTAGTTTGGGCAGTTCTGTTGCTTTCTCGGCGGCGACTTCGATTGCGACGATCGGGCTGTACATCTCATATGTGGGCTTGCAATTTCTCTCCTCTCTTGCATGAGATTGATTTACTTCGCAGGGCATTCCGGTCGCGCTCCGGCTATGGTATCGCCACAAGTTCGTGCGCGGGCCGTTCCATCTCGGGCGGTTCTCTTACCCTGTCGCCGCGATCGCCGTCTTATGGATCGGATTCATCTCAATCGTCTTCATCCTGCCAGAAGCCAACGTGCGTTTTTTCTTCACTCGCTCACTCTTCAGACGCTGACTCGTTCGCTCGAAATCTAGCCTGTAAACTCGCAGACGGTCAACTACGCCATCGTCGCGGTCGGCATCGTGCTGATCTACAGCGTCGGCTTCTGGCTCGTGAGCGCGCGCAAGTGGTTCACGGGCCCTGTGCAGCAGATTGCCGGTAAGCTTGCAACGGCATGTGTTGTGTGGATCATTCTGACCTGGAATCAACAGCGGAGGAGATGGGCGTTAATGTCATGGAGCCCGGCGAGATATCCAAGTTTGAAAAGAGCGAGTCAGAAAAAACTATGTCTTAGATAGAGCTTCACTTATGTTGTATCCACGGGTTTATAGATTGACACACGATGGAATAAGACCCCATGACGGATCAGTGTACGACCACGAACGGGATGGATGTTCACGTGAGCGTGGCTGACATTCGATAAGATTAGATCTTCTGATTGATTGGTACTCGATCACGGTTATGCCATTGCGACATAACTTGCTCATCGTTCACTTGCATAGAGCTACTTTCTCATCGCGAATACATCGTCCACTGCATGCAGGGACCAGCTCACTGACGCGCCACCCCGCCTCACCCAACTCATCCCACACGAACCGGGTCGGAACAAGAACAATGCCGTCCTACCGCCCCAGTGATATCATCGCTCCACCCACCCACTCGCCTCCGCGCACCATCGTCACTTTTCCTCTACCATGAACGACCCCGGATTAGAAGACTCGCTGCAGAGCTCGTACAAGAAAGCCGCGTTCCACGTGAAGGGCAACGCGTCGCGCTCGCGCAGCAGCGGCGCGAGCTCGGGGACCAGCGCGCGGCAGCAGGGCGCCGCGGGCACACTCGGCGTCCGCGCGGCGTTCAGGGAGGAGCTGCGGGAGGACGAGGAGGAAGAGGAGGTGGGGTACTTCCAGCCCAAGTGATTTATTCCGTGTCCTTGCCGTGCGTGTGTGGGAGACTAACTGAACGCGTTTTTTTTTGAGACGGTGGTGGTTTACGTCGACGGCGTTTCCGCTGGTTGCGGGGACTTTTGGGCCGCTGGCGAACTTCTTCTCGATATGCGCGCAGTGTTTCCGGTGGAGAGAGGAGTCGTCGAGCCATGGATTGTCCCCGACACCGACGTGGTGCGTCCGAATCCTTCTGTGCGCGAGCGTGGTCGATTGACGGATGGAGCCAGGTTCAATGCGATGACAGGGCTGTCATTGGCGTTCTCCCTCCTCGCTAATATCATCCTTCTCGCGAACTTTTTGCACATCCTGCGATACTCGATATCCCAATGGCTGACTATCTCCTTCTGGTGCGAGACTGTCCAATCTTTTCTGGACGAGTACCTATAACAGATGCTAGGTACATCTCCGCGCTGCTGCTGATCATACCACTGGGGCTCAGTCGACATGTCTTGGACGCTCCGGGAACGGACTACACGCAGTCTTTCTATTACGCGATCATCGCAAGCGTGCTGTACGTGATCCTGCCCTCGCTGCTGGCGCTCAACGCGCTGGGCGCGTACAAATTCAAGGCATACGCGCCGTCGTTCAACCCGCTCACGATACCGCAGCGCACGCTGATGGCGCAGACGCTGGCGTACGTGCTGTACATCGCGGGCGGCGCGGCGGTGTTCGCGCGGGTCGAGGGGTGGGACTACCTCGACGGCGTGTACTGGGCCGAGTACACGCTGCTGACGATCGGGCTCGGGTCGGACTTCCCGCCCAAGACGCACCTCGGGCGCGCGCTGCTCATCCCGTACGCCGTCGGCGGCATCACCGTGATCGGGCTGATCGTCGGGTCCATCCGCGGCCTGATCATCGAGCGGGGCGGGGTCAAGCTCGTGCGCCGCACCGTCGAGGAGGAGCGCCAGAAGTGGATCTCGCGCATGGGCGAGCCGGATGAGCGCTGGAAGAAGGATGAGTGGGACGCTATGCGGAGGATCAAGCGCCGTGCGGAGTCCATGCGCCGATGGTCGGCCCTTGCGAGCTCTGCGCTAGCGTTTTTCTTCCTCTGGCTGCTTGGCGCGCTGGTGTTCTGGTTCGCAGAGGTCCGTATCCCCGTTTGATCGAGGTCCGTGGAAGATCAATGATGACGTCGTCAGAGTGCGCAAGAATGGACTTATTTCCAGTCGCTCTATTTCAGCTACACGTCGCTGCTGACGATCGGATACGGCGACTTCTACCCACAGTCGAACGCCGGCAAGCCGTTCTTCGTCGTCTGGTCGCTCATGGCCGTGCCCACCGTCACCATCCTCATTTCGAATGTCGGGGAGATCCTGATCGGCCTGGTCCGGCGCGCGCTGATGATGGCCGTGTTCTCGACAGCAGCGGCGGGGGCGGACAAAAACAACAAGAAAAGCGACGACGAGCGCAAGATGGGAGCTGATCTGGAGCACCTCGGGGAAGCCGTCGAGCAATCCGAGCGACAGCGCGGTCTGGGCGGGGGACTGGCCGCGCGCTTGTCCCGCGAAGTTGCGCGGCTGGCGCAGGATGCGATGAGCGGCACGGAAGCGGAGTACTCGTGGGAGGACTGGCAGGGATGGCTTGAGCTCCTGGGAGAACGCACGGATGCTGAAGGCCGCGGGGAGAATGAGGAGAAGCAGGGGGAGTGGACGTGGCTGGGAGAAGAGGGGCCCCTGTTGAGTGGAATGAGCGAGACGCAGTGGATTCTGCAGCGCTTGTGCGAGCGCTTGCAGCAGGTGTTGGAGGAGGAGTATGGCTCTAAGCGCTAGCCAAGAACCTTGGTTCGACTGTATGGATTACTAATAGAGACAAGATGTACACATAGTGAGAGATTCAAAACAAATAGGGTGTCATGTAGAAGATACCAAAATACTGTTCAGGTCGTTAGTAGATGTAGTATCCGATCATGTCGAACATACCATCAAGTGTGCAGGGTTGATCCCGGTGCTTATGCCCTTCATCGAGCCCGCAGGATCCTCGGCAAGCCCAGCGGCATTGCATATCCTCGTCTGGGCGGGCGAATGCGGGGAATGGCACCAGTACTCCGTGCCGTGGTGCGCAAAGCCGATGGTCCTCGGAGCCATCGTGGGCACACCGTCGCTGGCGTGCACGACTGCCAGCGAAGAGATGAGAGCCGGGATCGCGTTGGAGGGACGCTGGACCTACCGCGGAACAACCTGTGTGGTCCGATGAGGGTGTGTATCCAGTTGGCGAATGCCTCGTTTCCCACCCGCGGCTGTCCGTAGGTGTAATATCTCACTTCCCTAGAATATGGAGGGTAAGAAAGAGCAGTTGGGTGGAGAGATGACGGACGCAGTGGGGAAGGTCATCTGCAATGTAACTCCCGCAATCGAGGCCAAAGCGCCGCCAAGCGAGTGGCCGGTGACGACGATCGAGTAGCCGGGATTCGCAGCGAGCTCGAGCGTCACCGCTGCCAACGTTTTGTCTGATACCGTCCGCCATCTAGAGGGGAGGAAAGCTTGAGTGCACGCCAGTAGCGGGAAAAAGAACAGGACGAACGCTTTCTGAAAACCCATGTGGACCTTGGTATCAGCTACCCGCAATCATCAAGAACGAGCGGGGCGCTTAAATCGATCAGACGGACCTGGAGCAATGACATGGCTGGCGTCCCAGTCGACCATCAATCCCATCGCATCCGTCACGAAATTCATCGGTGTCACACTGCGGGAACAACCACTATCAGGGCACTGCTGGTACCGGACGGATAGGGAGACTGCTCACGAGCCACGAAATGCGACGACGATCTCCTTGCGCGTGTCGTCCCGCGCGACATATCCGTGTGTGTCCGTCAGCATGTGGTACATCTGCGAGCGCGTCATTCATGCACCGGCGCACCGACGACGAGGAGCGCTTACCTTCGCACAGAGCTTCTGTCCATTAGGACGCACTGGGATCAAGGACGGCCCAGGCAGAATGATGGCGTAGGCCGTGGAGGCGTATTTGAAGTAGTGCACCAGGTCGTCGTACTGAGCTGTGTTGTCTGTCGTCAGCTGGGCCGATTTCACGCGGATGCCACAGATAGCAGCTACCCTGCGTCGCAGTAGGCTTCCCAACGATGTCGATGGGTGCGATCTCGTCTTCGGCGGACAGCTTCACCTCGACAGGATCCTGCGGCAGCACGCCCTTCTTGATGAAGTGGTCGAGAGCGCGGACGCCGGGAATCTTGAGGCCGACCATTGAAGCTGGTAAGTTGGCGTGTGGTGCCTGCAGCGCGACATGGGATGAGGGACAGCCGTTAAAAGAGACGGTTCGGCAGTCAGACGAGCACGAGAGTTGATAGCTGGAATGATTCCTGCACCAGCAGAGCAGCCAGGAACAGTCATGGTCGCCAAAAAATCTTCGCAGAAAAGCACTGGTTTAGCGTACTGGCGGTCTTCCGGACAGGATGCATGATGATAACACTGATTATTGTCCGTTGCCTCCAGCAGGTAATCCATACTCTGGCTTGAGCTGGCGAGTTCCATACAAGAAATATAGATTCCAAGAACAGATGAGTGCGTTTGCTTTCCAGTTCAATTCGACACTGCATCACAGATGGGAGAGAGAGAGGGCGCTGCTCAAGTTGAATCGCAGATCAGCCTGGACTGCACAGCCTCGCTTGTCAGACTCTTCACACCCAACCTCCAGAGATTGAATAGTAGTGTGGCAGCAAGCATGTAAACTCCTCCTCGGACCCGTCTGCGACAGGAAAAATTCTGGCATGCCAATAAAATCTCCCAAAGGCTGCCGCCAGGAGACAACTTGCCAATTGTGACCCCGGGTCCTCCAGCATGATGTTGTCCCGCTCCTCCTCCGCCATCCCATCCCCGACGGCCCTGCTGAAGTCGAACCCCCTGACTGCCCTGCATGCGAGCATGGGTACGGTCGTGACGAGCGAGATCACACCGCAAGTCTTCGTCGCGGACTGGTTCGTCGCACAGAACTGGGACGCCCTGGCCGCCATGGGCATCACGCACGTCGTCAGCGTGTGCGAGATCCCGCCGATCGTCAGCAGCAAGATCGGGCACCTACACGTGTGCATCGTGGACCTGCCCATCGCGGATATCTCGGAGCACTTCGTGAAAACGACGGCGTTTATTCAGGACGCGCTCGCGAAGGAGGGCGGGAAGGTGCTGGTATGTTCGGCTGTTTCTCTTCCTCCCCCCGTTGTAGACTGATGTTCATGCAGGTTCACTGTCTGGGCGGCCTGAGCCGGAGCATTTCCGTCGTGTGCGCGTACCTCATCGCCGCCAAGGGCCTGACCGCCGACGAGGCCATCGCCTTCACCAAAGACCGCCGTAGCATCGCGCATCCCAACGGCGGCTTCCGCGCGCAGCTGCGCGGCTGGGCGCTCAAGCACGGGCTGAAGGACACGGACGACATCGACGACTACCTGAAGGAGGAGACGCTCGCCGGCGCGGCCGCGTCGCGCCTCGGCCTCTCGAAGCTCCCGAAGCTCCCGGGCTCGGGGCTGCTCCACCGCGGGTCCGTGCGCAAGATGGTGTCGGACAGTGTGGGGAGGCTGGCGGGGCACGGCGGGAGCGAGTCGGAGGTGCTCAAAGTCGCGCGCGAGAAGGCCCTGGGCCCTGATTGGGTGGGGTCCACCACGGTCGTCACGCGCACGAGCGTGAATCCGGATAACACGGTGAACGTCGACGTCGCGGTGGCTGCTGAGATTGTCAAAGTCTGATTAGTGTGTGTATTATCAACTTACTTATCTCCATGTATCAAGTACGAGCGCAACCAGTCCAATTTCGAGATTGCACTTATGACGCGCTCACGTGAATACTGTTCATGCCTACGACTTTGAGATGGGTTCGTATCCCTATTGACTCTGCGAGCGATTCCCATCGCCTACGCGATGCATGTTATGACTCCCTCACTTCATTTCTCTCTCCCTTTCTCGACCTAGGCCTTACCGTCCGTCTCATTCGCGTGCCCGTCGTGGCAGGAGCGCTCACACGGTGACGGTGGTGAACAGATTCGGATTGCATGGCATAATTTCGACGAGGTAATCCAGTGCGTGTCGATTCCACCGAGATACTGATCAACCTTTCAAGAGTGGCGAGGACGAGCTGAGGACGGTGTTCGTCGCTGCTCCGCCGAGTCCACCGGCAGATGGGTTAGGCGTCACATTGTCACGTGATGTGTGACAATCCGCGTTAGTTTCTGCCGTTTTGCCACTTGGTCACACTTGTCATGGTCCTCCCCGGGCACAACGAGCATAGGACTCGAAGATCTCCTCGGCTCAAGTAACCCCTGCTCCATCTCTCAGCCGTCCGTCTGCCGATGGGGGCCCAAATCGACGCCATGGGAATTGGTTGTCGACCTCGACTTGGGGAACGATGTCCCGGACACGTTCATTCCAATCATCTCTAAATATACTAAGTACAGAGAGTGCTATTACTAATTGTTTTTACACCGTATTGACTGCGCCCGCTCAGAGCGCTGCATTCTGCCCAGTGCGTGAGATAGCGTCGCACCGACCTGATACCGAGGCCACCCACTGGAACGAGCCTCCTCAAGAACTTCGGGAAAGCCGATCGCTTCTTCTCGTTCTGGATGGCCTCCAGCTCCCTCGTCAGACAGTCGCTGTCGGCCGTGGGCATGCGGTGGTGGCGCGAATCCGTGGGCGGATACGCAAAGTCCCGCATCTTGGGCATGGTGTTTATTGCGGGTCTGTGGTGCGGCACGAGTATGGCTTGGTGCGAATCATAGCAGAAGTCGAAGTCGACTTCAGTTGAGGTGGGCGACTCGGCGCTGGAGCTCTGCACGTATGGCATGACGAGAGGTTGCGGCAGGGAAGGAGGAACTGCTCACCCGATCACTGCTGTCAGTGAGCTCGGACGAGGCACTGTCCTCTCGACGGTGTTGGCGCTCGGTGCTCATTGGTATGGTGGACTGCAATGTCAGGGAAATAGTCGAAAAATAGACGCCTTTTTAAAGAATTGGGAGCGTCAAAGGACGACGACATCCCGAATGAGAAGCGTGTTGACAAAGGGATGGCGCTTTCAAAGACGTTGTTGCCATCGAAGCCTTTTAAATTGTCTATTAGCTGGACTTGCTCAACGCAGTCCAGATCTTGTCTTCTACAGCCCTAACCGTCTCCTGCTCGGTATTGAGACTAGTCATGAAGTATGCAACGTTGCCCAGTGTCCTGAAATGGATCCCAAACGACGTCGTGCTCGCATCCTCACTGTCCCCGAACCTGATCGAGTTGAGCTTCGTCTGTGCCGACATGGACACGTAGCCTGCGGATCTTTTTTTAGCAAATAAGCTCGGCGAGAAAAGGGAATTTGACGGACTTCCACCCGCGTCTTTGACTTTGATGGCGAGAACGGTGCCCAGGGCCATGACCTCATCGACGACGTCCATGCGCGAGAGGGTTTTGAGGAACTCCAGGTCCCACACACTCCAAACCGTACTCGGAGTTCCTGGGGCAGGTTCCCATCGTGTTTTCGCTACAGCCCACGACTCACTCGACGCCTCTTTGTCGATCAGCCGCAGAGTCTCATTCGCCACTTCACACCCCATTACGTGAGCCGTGTAGGAGTGCCCGTGCAAGAGCGCGGTCGCCTTGTCCGGTCCGTAGAACGCCTGGAAAATCGAGTCCGTGGCCAGTGTGACTGCCAGTGGAATGATGCCGCCCGTCAGGATCTTGGCGTGGACCGAGATATCTGGAGTGACACCGAGCAGCGGGATGGTGCTCTTCATGCCGAGGCGGTACAACCCAACGAACACTTCGTCGAATATCACCGGCAGACCTTGCCATGCTCCAGGCTCGGCCGAAGTGCCTCTCGCTCTGACGGTGTCGACAAGAACGCGCTGGAAGAGCGGATCGACGAAGATCATGCCCCCGGCGCCCAAGATCAGAGGCTCGAGAACCAGCGCGGCAAGGCGAGGTCCTCCCGCTTTCTCGAGGCCGTCTAGGGTCTTGGTGATCCACTCGCGATATGTCGATGCCAGAGACGTTTCGAGCCGCTTATTGACGTCGTAGATCCATGACAAATCGTCGTTGAGCACAGTGGAGTCACCTGAGGCCGCCAGAGCGGTGGGCAGAGTGATCACGGGCCGGCCATCGCGGATTGAGACGGCGGGCGGGTCAAACCAGAACCCTTTAGCGTTGTGCCATTCGCACGTGTAAACGCCCTCCTCGATGCACGCATCCATCGCGCCGATGGTGTCTCCGTGATAGCTGCCGCGCAGCCCGAGCACGCCGACGGTCTTGCGGTCCGCGCCCTCCAGGCCGTGCCGCACCGAAAACGCGCGCAGCGCCATCTTGAGCGCGACCTCCATCCCCGTCGACCCGTCGTCCGAGAAAAACACGCGCGACGCCCACCCCTTCCCGGGCCCGTCGCGCACCAGCGTCTCCGCCAGCTGCAGCGCCGGCGCATGCGTTGCCTGCGGGAAGATGACGTGGCCATATCGGCCAGTGGCGCGCGCCGCAGCCAGCGTCAGCGCAGAGTTGCCGTGTCCCAGGGCTTGGGTCCACCAAGAAGCCGAGCCGTCGAACTGGCTTTTCAGCTGGGAAGAGCTCGAGTCATCGGGTTTGTACACCGAGAAGAAGTCCGACGTCGCATGGTCGATTACCGTCACGTCGGCTTCGCTCTTGACGAGTCCGTGCTGGACGAAGGGCCACCAGAAAGTGTTCATCGACCGTTTGGGCATCGAGGATAGCTCAGCCAGTCGTTGGGAATGCTGCTCGTCCAAATGGCTGAGCACCGGTGCCATGTCGAGTTGGTCGTAGTACTGCTGAGTCGACACGTAGTTCTCGTCCAGATTCTCTAACTTGGGAGGCGGAGGATCGAACGCAGTGACGGCGACACCCCGCTCCGCAAAGTAGGGCGTCAGGTATTCGCTGTTGCGGTAGTAGGTATCCCGGAAGAGGAGGATCGAGTCTACGATGTAGCCCCGGAGGATGAGCGATTCGTAGGCAGAGATGGTCGATGAGATGCCCCCGAGTCTGGAGTCTCCGATGAGCACAGTAGGCAAAAAGAGGGGCCGGTAGCAGTCGGCTTGGGTTGCACCCGATAACGTGGGGCTGTGGACACCTGCTCGAGCTGAGATTCCCGAGCCCAGGAGTAACAAAACGCGATCCACTCACCTCCGGCCGTTTCCACGTACATGTGCGCAGCTGTTGGACCCGCCCGGCCCGCGCACCGCCTCACATAGCTAGCGACTGAGTTGACGAAAGTGCTGTCCGAGACGATCTGGACATGAGATATCGGCGCGCTGCGGGGCTTGTTGGATCGGCTTCACCTTTTCGGCGGACCCGTCTCCCAGCGCCATCTGCGCCGCGAGATGCGGGCTCACGGGGACGTGGAACCGATACAGGCATTCCGTGTGTATTCTGTCCATGAGAGATCCGCTGTAGCGTTTGATGTGTCTGGTTCCGAGTCGTTCAAGTGTCCGCGGCAGGTAGAGTGAGAACCACTCACTCATCATCAGCCTCCTCCATCGGACCCGTGCTGATGGGCTTGAGGTAGTACACCTCATTCTTGAGCGCAGCGGACCCGCGAACCAGAGCGGTGGTCAGGATCGTCTTCCCCACATCGGTGTTCGCCCCAAAGATTTGGTGGACGCGCAGGTTTTTGAAGAGTAGGGACATACAGACGGCGTCCCCTCCAAGAGGGCAGTGCGGTCCTGGAGATATCAGTCAGCAACGTAGGGAAGAAGGCCGAGCACATTGGCGCCCCACCTGCCTCTGCCTTTTATTCCTCGAAGGTCGATGCAGAAGCTCGATGCAGAAGCCTCGGCAGAACGCGGTGATAGTCAGATGACGGAGTTCGGCAACAGATAAAGCCGATATCAGCGATAAGATAATCTTGCATACTCGGCCATGTCATTATAATTACATACGGACAGGTATGCGGCTGTTTGAACAATGAGGAGCAATTGGTACGAGTTTGTATGCCTGAGGCATGGTGCATTTTATGTCTGAGTTGGCCTCGAGAAAATAGCACTCTTTGGCCAATACAATTCAAGCAACAGGGGACCAGTCCGCACAAACCATCAGCAAGGCGAACGATACATGTGAGACGACCGCAAGAGCGCTGACATCGAATATAAAAGCTGTTTGAAAAGGTGCTATGCTCTGACAGCATGTCTTGCTATATTCAAGAAGATGTACTGGACGGGATAACAATCACAGCCATAGCGCCAGCCTGAAACCTATGCGTACCACCGCCTAATTCCCACCGTTGTCCACCCATGCTCCTCATCCTTTCTGCAAGCAGATCCACCAACGCGACCTACCGCAATGCCACAACAGGTCTCGTGCACTACAAAGTGACGACCCCCATCCGCGTGCATCAACTCACCACCACCATCCTCAGGCGCCTTGACGACACGGAGCTAGCTGCTGTGTCTCCCGGAGTGAGCCGAGAGCTCGAGGGAGAGCCTGCGTGGGCTGAAGATGGCAGGCGGCGAGCGGCTCCTTCGGACGAGCGATTCGCGTTTCTGGCCAGCGTGTCCTTCAAACTCATTGGATGGCAGACTATTATCAACTTCAGAGGTCAGGAGTTCAAACCGGCCGGATATCTGCGTTCGAAGAAACGAGGGATGCTTGACTGGTGAGCACACCGACTAGCAGCTGTGCGGGACCGCTGGGATTGACCAGGAGACAGGGGGTACACGTTCACGGCCGCAGATGGAAAGGACTATCACTGGTCAGTATCGCAATGGTCCACCAAGGTGCGTCGACTCATGTACCCCCGCTACATGACGATACATTGGCAGGAAAGTTGGCCGTCGACGATGAGACGCGCGCCCCGGTCGCTGAATATCTCGTGAAAAGTCTTGGCGTCATCTCCGAGAGAAAGGACGCGACGATCGAGATTTTCCCCGCGTTCGAGTATATGGCAGATGAGATCATGGTGTGTGCCGTCGATGCTCTCTTCTTGCTTGGCGATAAGAGAGCTCAAGCGCTGCTTGCAGTTGACGTTTATCTGTGTCGAGAAGTATAGAAGATCACAGGTGGACAAACACGAGAGACTTTGAGCTTCTCGCCGCGTGTTATCAAGCTAGTACGGCAGATGACTAGAATGTTGCATGCATCCGCAAGCCAACGTTGCAAGCAGCGAGAGGCAAAAACGAAGCGGAGTTGCAGTGGTTTTGATCCAATGATCAGAAGCAGTTCGTTTTGAGTCACGCACACCTGAGCAAGCTCCACGTTCCAAGCTGCAACGAAAATGCTTGCGATCCTCTCCGAATCATCAGTCCACTCCCCGAAAAATGGAGCGGTCACTGAATCGCCCGCGACCCGTGCAGGCAGAGCGGAAGTCGCGCGGCTATATCTATGTCTTACTGATGTCTTATCCTCCATGAGAGACAGCATCCTACAACCTGAGCGACTCATCTCTAGCGACAAACGCCAGGAATCCCTGCCATCTGGATCAACCTTGTTCTTCTATGCTGCCATCATCTTCATCCCTGGTTCTCTTCCGCGTCGTCATCTGTGTTTCAGGGGAATGCAGCCGTCAAAGCGGCACGTCTGGCTCTAGTTCAGACGTCTTTACCGACAACATTGTCCTAGCGCAGTCGCCACATTCTCAAATCTCTACCCCTCTTCCGGGCTCTCTCGACTCCAGCCCGAAGTTTCTGAGGGGTGTGATTGAGAATGCAGTGGTTACAGTCGACACTGCAGTCGTTCCCGTTATATCGGGTGTCTCTCTCATCCCTGGGTCCCCGAGTTCCATGGCTTCAAGTGCTGCCTTGGTATCAGGGATCGAAGCAAACGTCGCCAATCTCGTCCATGTGGTGAATCTCGTGCTCTCTTCTGCTGTGATTGCAGTCGGTCTGCTCCCCTCTCCACTTCGGAGCAATCTAGACTCAGTTCTAGCAGGACGTCTCCTCCCAACTTGAACCGCCTGTGCGGAATGTTATCTCCGCTCTGAACGATATTGTACGTATCATGTCTGCGGACTGCCCTGAATGTATCGCTTACGTGTTCCGAAGATGACGACTACGGCGTTGCTCACCAGACACCAGATCGTCGCCATCAACACTTCTCTGAACATGCTTCAACGCGTTCTGCGGCCAAATAAGGAGACGTCTCCTGCAGCGCTCATCCTCGTGTTAGCCTCCATGAAGCCACTTTCTCCTGCAATCAGCGTGTGTTTTCTGCGTGCTCATTCTGTGCGCCGAGTCTGAATGAACGTTTCCCCCAGAATGCTGTGCCCATGTTGGGTCCCTCCGGGCCGGCCTTTTCTCTGGCTCAAGCGCTTGCTTGAGCTCGTGACGAACTGAGGAGCCATATCTCGCTTCGATTGTACTCTCGGTCTCGGATCTTATGAAATATGAAATATCTACGATGTCCATACCACTCCAATCAGTTCCCGATGTGTATGAGCTCTGCCAGATTGGGACATTGCCTCCTAGGAAAAGCTCTCCTTGGGCGCAAGTATGAGGAAGCATATCCGTTATTTCTTTATTCCCTAATCTCGAGAAGTTCAGCGACGATGACATCGGCAACGGTGTCTCTTCCGATTCCATCGTCCCATTTCATTATCATGTCCCCGACACGTGACCGTGTACTGTGCATTGCCCCCGAGTCAATGGCACCTCTCTCCGATCAGGATGTCACTTGCCGACAACCACAGCTAACATTTGCGGCGCAGCAGTGCCGTCCCCAATCGTCTTTTTTGTCCAATGTCGCGAACGGAGCCTATGAGCAAGAGGGCAGGGATCAGGTGCGCCATACGAGACTGTCTGTCTATCTAACCCTAGTAAGCTGACGTTGCAAATCGTAATAGCTTCGGCGCCCTCGAGGCCTCGATTGCAGACCGCATCTTCGACATCCTGGCCCCCAAGAAACTCGCCCCGCACAAAAGGCTCGTCCCGCTGCTCCGCATCAACAAGCACTGGCACACACTAGCCGCGCGGCGGATGTACACGTCCATCTCAGTCAAGGGGCAGTGGATCTCGCGGCCCCTGCGCAAGACCCTCGAAGCGAACGGCGCCCTCGCAGCGCTCGTGACGGAGCTCGTGCTGGACACTGAGCTGAGCGCGCAGGACCCGCACGAGACGCGGGACCACATCCGCATCGTTGCGGCGTGCCCGAATCTGCAGAGCCTGACGGTGCTCGGATACGCGCCGAACGACGTCGACAGCTACCGTGCCGCGATCGGTTCGCGTTTCTCACTTGAGGCGCTGAATATCAGCGAAGGGGCGGGCATGTTCACGCCGTCGCAGCTGCTGGATATGCTCTCGTCCTGGCCAAAGCTAGAGAAGCTCGTTCTGAAGGACGCGCTGCTGCCAGCGTCTGAGTCCGGCAATGCATCGTCCAAGGCCAAGGCGAAGTCGCCGTCCAGGATCCCATGTAAAACACTGAAGATGGCCAAACTTCTGGATGATTTCAATCCTGCCACTCAGTTTAGTTTCCCTGACTTCGCGACCCTGACGCCGTGTCTGGCCGTGCTCTGGGTCGAGCCCCACGGTGCGATGCCTCTGGATCTGAAGGATGGACTCTCGCTCTGGGCGCCGACCCTTGAAACACTCTGCGCGCTGTCTGAAACCGAGCGTGAGTCCAACGCTCCACTGGGTATCTACTTCCCGGTCTGACCGAACGTCCAATGGCCCAGTGCATCTCGAAACCGTTCTGCCACAGTTCACGCGGCTGAAGCACATCGACACATGGTCCCAGATGCTCTCGCCTCGCTCCGTCCAGCACATCCCGCCTACAGTGCAGATGCTGACGTATCGGATCTTCCCTGCGCAGCTCCTCGATCTCTCAGAGACGCTATTTTCGTCCACAGTCGCTTCGTCACTCAAGGCTGTTACCATCAAAGGCGCGATCCCGCCCGGCAAGCAGACGCCCATGCAGTTTACGCCGACCGCCATCCAATCCATGAAGACCGGTGAGTGCCACCGCTTTGCGGACGGTATTCATCCTGACTGACACGCGCGGGTTCAGTCTGCAGACAGCGGAGGATACGATTGACGATATAAATGATTCAAAGTGTACAAGTATAATCGTAATGGATGGCTCAGTTACAGATTCAGCGACGTGCCGTATCTGAGATACCCTACAACACGCTGACAAACAGAGTTTGTATTGATACATCGTCCATTTCATTTTGAAGTTCTGCAGAGAACGAGTTATGGTCCATGGCCAGGTTGTTGAAGTGAACGTACCTTCACTCTGGGGGGTAGCTAGTGTCCGCAACGGAGCTGACAAGCCACTTGCCCTCCATCTTCGCAAAACTCCAGATATTCACCCCGACATGGTGGACCTGGCCACCGATCCAGAACTCGTAGGGAGTCCAGGCCATGGCGATGTTCCGGTAGACCTTGATCGTGGGCTGGTCCGAGATGATCTCAGCCACCTCCTGAGGGAAGTCGAACGGGATGCGGTCAACGACGCCCTGCATTGTGGTGTACAGCGGCGACCCGTCGCGCATGAGCACCGCGCCGCCGGCGGGGAGGATCTGCGCGAGCATGAGCTCCTTGTCGCGCGACCCGATGCCGTGGAGGAAGTTTTCGGCGACGGTGAGGACCGCGAGCTCCTCGTCGGACATGCCGGTCGTGGTGTAGCGCTTCTGGGCCGACATGGTAAGTAGATCGGGTCAAAGGGTGGTGGGTGCGGTGGCGTTGGCGACCAGGGACGGGGAGCAAGAGCTTACTCGGGTCCTGTTAAGAGGGAAAGGTCTCGGGGTTCGCCGTGCCATATCACGAGAAGCATGGCCTGGGAAGAGAACGCGCGCGTTGAAACAGGCCGTGATTCATTGGGATCGTATTTCTTGGTCATCGCACTCCGATGGACCTCGAATGGGCAGTGCATGTGGTGCGGATGATTGGCAAGTCGATCCCAGTTCCTGGATGAGCAAGAGTTGCAGATGAACAACGCGTGGAGCAGGGGAACGAAGTCGGAAGAGTGAGCAGGCATGATCCGTCGTTCGGGGCGCCGTCATCGCTCCATCAACACAGCATCGATTTCCATCTCAGTTCGCTCGTTGGTCGTTCAGTCCAAGTCGGCTCATTTTTCGCCCTTGTCCTACCGTAATCGCCCCTCTGCGGTGTGAACGGGGAATCTAGAGCAATTGTACAGCCGTATCTACCTGCGACTCATCTGCTCCTTCTTTCGAACTCTGCGTTCATCAAGATGAGTACCAATTCAGGCCGGCATCTTATCTGAAAATGGAACCTCCCCGCCGACTAGTACTCTAGCACTGCCCACATCTACTTATAGCTGCTGGGATCTGTGTGACAAGTAGCACTGTTAGTCATTCAGCGGATACCATCCCCCACCTCCGTCTTCGCCGCCATGCCGCTCACGCTGCCTTTCTGGCCCACCAAGACCCCGTATCAAGCTATAACCCAGGACGAAGAGGAGAGAGAGACCCTCATCGTCGATCCGGAATCCCCAACACCATCCCCATCCCTGTCCACGTTCCCCGCGCAGGCGAATGAGAAACAGCAAACCCGCAGCTCTGAAATCTGGTTCGAGCGGGCGCTGCTCGGCGTCGCGGCTGTCAACGTCGTTGTCGCGTTGGGGACGCTCATCCTGACGCGCGACATGTCCAGTCTGCGTTTCCCGCTCACGGCTGTAGACGTGGCCTCGCTGCCCCGCCCGGATCCCTTTGTGGGACTGAATCTCTGTAAGCGCTGCTCGGACGGACCGGAGGGGCGTTAGCTGATGTCGTTTTTGCAGAGGATTGTTGTATTGGTGTAACACTGTTGTATTCTTCCTGTGATGATTCTAGAAGAAAATGTTTCCTGGAACAGCAGTGACTGCGGGTCCAGTCATATGTTTGTATGCTGTGAATACCAAAGCTACGACTCCGAGACGCTGTAGAAGTGTCGGACGCTGAAAACGCTGGATCTGATCGAGCACATCTGAGCGCACGAACTGCAAGTCTACAAAAATCGGTATAGGAAAAGTACAGGATACACGAATGGGCTACATAAATTACAGTTAGCGTGAGTTATCAGTACAGGTGCCAATGCCAAGCAGGTAGGAACAACATATTACACACATATGACCGAAAAGAGAGAAAAACAACCGGTTTCTTTCCTTCCATCTTCGTATTATAATTTCCGTCTGTTTCTTTACGTCCATGAGCCGGGATGCGGAGTTCCCTGACGAACTCTCTCAGCCATAAAAGAATGTCGGGCCCAAGGCTCTGGAGCCGGGGCCACGGCTGTAGCACCATCAGGCACGTCCGTCACAGAATCTCTGCCAAATGATACCATTCCAGCAGACATGAAATCCGCAATGTCCATCTGAGCTTCCGTGACCGCATGCATAACGAATCCCGCGGGAATGGACCCCGCATAAGCTTTGTGGTCCCGCCACTTGGCCCGTCGCTCCGCATTGTCATCGTCCGTGTCCGAGTCCGGTTCAGACTGCGAGTCGTACTCGTCGTCCGATTCCGAGTGCGGTGGGGATTGACGTGTGAATGAGAGCCAAGACTTCACTCGCTCCCGTTTAGATTGTTTCGGTGGGGGAGCGCTGGATGGCTCCGCATAGATCGATGGTTTGGTGCGGATTTGGTTGGTGATCGCCGCGAGTTTCCTGGCTTTCTTCTCTTTCCTCCTCGCTCTCCTCTGCTCTCGGTCCGTGTCATACATCTCCGGCGTCGGTGGGATGAAAGGAGGTGTAGGTGGATTTGGCTGGTACACCCGATACAACGGGACTTGAGGATCAACGCGCACATTTAGGGATGAGCTCGGAGGGGTCTCAGGATCCCACTTGTTCGCCTCTTGCACCACCTCCTCCATACGCCGACGCAACTCCTGGACGCGATGAGGATCATAGTGGTAGTAGTCCATCGCATAGCAGCTGCCCAACAAAAACATCTCCAATTTATGCGTAGTCCAGTGGTGTCGTGCTACGGAGAGGGTGCCGCTGCGGAGGAGTATGCAGACATCTTCGCGATCTGCTGCGTTGAAGCGGACCAGCTTCAGAGCGATCGACCATATGGGTGTTACACTGACTGCTATCGATGAGTGGTTGTCCACGACAAAAGCCACTGCGCTCACCGAGCTTGAGTAACTTGTTCGGAGACAAATACACGGTCAAGCTGTCTTCAAAGTTCAGAGCAGCTTGATAAATCGGGTCAGTTGGACCGCCAGTCCTGGGACTAGACGAGGATGAGACCAGAGGCAACAAATAGAATCTATCGGGACGCACTCTGTACTCCAAGGCAAAGCCACATCCGGATCACTATTCATCCAATCGGCACCCAGCCCAAACTCACTCGCCACATCACAAATGCACATCTTCAGCATCTCGTTCGCGTTGGGGATGTTGTAGCGCTGCTGCCACTCCAGCGCAAACGAGCGCGCAATGTAGTCAATATCTCGCGTCGTCGTTCGCTGCTTGGCAGGTACCCCAAAGCGGGCGGTTTGTGCGGCCAAATCGTGCAGCTCTTGGTTGAGGAGCATGACTGAGCCACCGTGTATGACCAGCCTCACTTGACGCTGCACGCCAAACCGGCCGGCAATGATCTCAGAGAATCGGTTGAGAATGTGGATCATCTTTTCTCGATCGAGTGGGCACATGTTCTTTGAGGGAATCACTGGCCCCGGTGGGGAGAGGAGTAACTGAGCAGGTGCCTGCACTGGGCTGGGTCGGTGATGTTGTGGTGGTGGGTGGTGGTACTGTGGGACCACAGGCGCTGCCAGCGCAGAAAACGAGGTCGTTTCAGGCCAACCGTCCTGTGGGAGTGGCGGCACGACTGGGAGCGGCGGCGCTGCCAACGCGCTGAATTCGGTCACTGGCGGCGGTTCATACCAGTGGGGTCGTGATCGCGGGACGTGGGCGTGCCACGGGGGCATTACTTGGACAGACATCATGGGGGAGGGAGAGTGGGTTCGTGGTGCGGGTCGACGTCACTGGTACTAGCGGAGGCGGAATTAAGCTTCGAAGCTTTTATACGAGGAGCTGTGAGGCAATCCCAAGCGACGGGCCGTAATGGTGACGAGTTGCTGTCTCGACTGGCCAAAGCGAAGTGTAGTCGCGGTGTGCAGCGCCTCGTGGGATGTGCGTGGTGATGGCTCCGACTGTCCTTCCGGGACGTGCAGAGCAACTATCCCTGTCCGCACTCTTACAGCTACTGGAAGACCAAACAGCAGCAGGAAGACCGAGCGGAGACGGTCTATAGCATTCGTGACACAGGACTGGGAAGGTGTGGTGGACCTGAGTCCAAACAAGAATCAGATCTGTTCTCACGGCCCGAAACGAGATTGGAGGAACCGGCAGTGTCACTCGCCGCTAAACCGTGATAATCCAATGCATGTGTATGTATGTAAGTGGAGCTTTCGACAAACGCAATGGAAATCGATCCGAAGTGCGCCTTCAGGCTAAAGCTCCAAAGAGCTTTCGTGATAGCACAATGACTGTAAACGCCAACTTGGGGTCAAACGGCCCGAAGTCAGACAAAAGCTCCATTCGTGGCGTTTTCGATGGGAATGCAAGAATGCAAGAAGGTCAGCCGTGAGATGGATCGGCTAGCCAGCTTATGGCTTGCTGTGAGCTTCCTATGCAAGTTGAACTGCAGCGAACCTCCACAGGCATGATCATGTGATCGAATGCGATGTGTGTAGTGTCGAGTATAGTAATTTGCTCGTAAAACCAGCACTGTTATCAGTTCCGACAGCTTAGACACTCAGTTCCCAGCGACCTCCAATGTTCCATGCACGGCCCTCATCCTTCAGAAACGCTAGGCTCTCGTCCAGGGTATATTGCGTCAGGGTCCTCCATGTTTCCTCCTTGTTCTTCAAAAACTGGAAGATTTCGGGTGTCGTCGGACCCAACACAGGAGCCAGACCACGTCCGGTGGCCCTGGGGCGTCGTGTTGCTGCTCTGGCGAGTAAAGTGCGGATAGCTTTTTCTGCCGCGTCGGAGACAAACGCGGTCGTCATCGCCACGAAGCCCTCTTCATCAGACATGGGATCAGAGAGCACGCCCTCATCTTCGTCATCTTCCGTGACGCTCGCGTTTGAGAACATCGTGCTGTTGACCCCGACCGTCGAATGACTGCTGCTCATTTTCCAAAGGCCGCTCGTGTCTGCCTGACTTGCGATCACGTCCAAGTCAGGACATGGCCGTGTGGGCCCTTGCCAGGAGGCAATGTCGCCGTCGTTCACCAGTTGTCGGATAGCCCACAGAAAGAGTCGCTTCATTCGCGGATGAAGTTTCTGTTGATCTTTGGGCGCCATTCCAGCCGGGGGCGGCACCTTCCCCTTCTCGCGTGCTCTCTTCTTCGCTTCCCGTGCTCGACGCTTGGCCTCCGCTTTGACGACTCGTTTTGCCATCAATCGCAGCTCTGGAACGCGCCGTAGATAAGATAGCGTGAACCCTTGAACCACCGGCGCGACTGGCAAGGCGCATGAGAAATCCAGGGGAATTATCCGCCGCGGAGTCATGTCATTCGGACGAGGTGTTTTGTCCTCCAGCGGGATCCGGTTCCGTGACGTTTTCGTTGGCGTCGAAGGTGGGTCCAAAACGCGCGGAACCAAGACATCGGCGTTGTCCATGTAATGTTTGAGATAGATCCGGAAGGAATTCTCCGTCAAGTCGATGGTGTGAAGGCGTGATGGATGTCGGAGTCTGTGAGGTGAGGACTGGGAGGATGATTTTGTCGGACTGCTGGCGTAGCTGCGGTTGGTGGATGGGGTGTTGGGTAGTTTGCTCGTTGAAGGGGTTTGGGGTGGTTGCGAATGCTGCCTTTCGGGGATGACGAACGGTTCTTTCAAATCATAGTATGTTTCATGTAGCTTGCGTACTGCGATCCAATGGGCAGGCTCGTCGTTCGCAGAGGGGCATCGAGCTGGGCGGCTGTCAGGCTATCTATCAGCAAGGTACTAACGAGTAGATTGCTTACAAATCGAGTCGATGATAATTCTGCGCGTCTCACTCCACACTGTTATTCTTCCTTGAATAACCACTGAAGCGCCCACAGGAGCGAACGGTCGTAAGATGAGAGCTTCCGGTTTCGATGACTTCGATTTCCCCTTCCCTGGTTTGTGCAGGCATTCTATGGCGCCCGTTCCGTCGTCCACTTGGCCAATAATGAGCGCAGGAGAGGTTAGGGATCAGATTATGCTCACAGTCATAGACGATCTGCTGCTCCTTCACTTTTACGCCCACCAGAAGTCCCAATAATTTCACGGTACGACATGGGACCCTTCCGAGCCAGTAGAAGTCGGCATCTAAAAGATTGTGTCATGCTTGAGTCCATCACCACAGGACGTGAAGCAATATCATCGACCTCTGATTCCGCTGTCCTTCATCTCGAATACGTCCCGCACGAAGCAAGGCGCCGTGGCCTGGGGGGTATATGTCCACTGCCAAAACGCGTTGGAGGTCGATTTCGAGGGAGCCTTGAGCGCCGGAACGTGGCTGGCCATATGCTTACAGGCAGGCGAGAGCGGATGAGATTGACGTGTGACGGTTCGGGACAAGGAGAGAACGAACAGTCACGGCCATATGGACTGTGACCTAATGTATCAGGAGCGCGTGATCGTTTTATTCTAGGGATGTTGGCCTGGGACTGCGCGCTGCCAACACGAGTGCCGACCGGAGTACAGGAGACAGACCTGATCTCAGAACATTTGTCAGATTGTCACAACCAGCCACGGCTTGACTTGTGTCTTGTTTCAAATTTTCTGGTTCAAATGACGTGCAGGTACTTAGCTATTCACAACCGGGCTTCACACAGATCGGGCTTGGAACCTACAAAATTGCAAGCCGTTGAAACGCTTGACTTCAAGAGTCCTATTTGAAAGTGTCCCGAAACTGCGGAAACAATCAGTAAGCTTTGGTCGCCGTGACTGAATGCTTCACTGCGTGATGTCCGCCGGGGAAACATATTCTGACATCTTTGCCACCCTGCCAGTCTTTTGCTCTCACACAGATTCTGTTTGTCTGGAAGTCACGACGATGCTCTGCGCAAGATCGACCGTGTAGCAGCTTTTACTCGGGGTTGACAGTAGATCATATTTTGGACAAGGAACTTGACCTAAAACGCGTGTACGCTCAGTCATTTAGACGCGCTGCCGAAGCGCCGTATCAGATCTTGCCTCCGCATGTTACTCAATTTGCATCAAATACGCGCAAATAACTGGACAAATTGATCGTCCGGGCTCACATTGCACTTGCCTCATCCAACGCCATCTCATTGAAACGTTCTTTGAAACGATAGACTAGGCCTCTGAGCCATTGTATGTCTCGAACACCACACCACCCTAGAAGCAAACTCGACCCAAACCCTGGTAATATCATCATCATCTAGTTTGTCGTGGTCACTTACATGTCCGCGCAGACACCGAAACCAGCGTGCGGGTTAAGCGACAGAAGACGATGCAGACAGAACGTACGTCAGATTGAACGGCTCTCGTCGACATCTTCGTCCGCATCGCCTCGATTTGATCTGATGTCTATGTTCTCAATCTCCACAGCTTTCGACGACGACATTGTCATGCTTGACACCCGACCACCCACCCCGCCCTCCAACGTAGTCCGGAGCAGCAGCGCCAAGAACGCGCACCTCAAGGGCCGGAAACGATTCAACGCTGATTTCAGTGACCTGAAGGTGGAGGGGATGGAAGTGGGCGCACTGCAGTTGACTAGTGCGTAATTGGGCTGTGCTTGCCTTCCTTCCTAATCCTCGCATTGGCTCATCCTCTTCTTAGACTTCCGGCCTGGTGAGGACGAAGGCCAGATTGCGTTCCAGATCATCGACCGTGGCAAGGGCGACACACGTGTGGCCTCCTGCACGATCACAGTCAGCGGTGGGCGCCTATACATATCGTCACGCATGTGGTGCGTTCCGGACTGATTGTCGCTGCAGATACGTCGGAATACCCCAAAGGACATATGACTTTCGGATATAGCGACGACGCAGATGTCCCCCAAGCCGTCAGCGACGAGTTGGACAACTTGAAAGGCGGCGTTCCCATCGCGGATACATTGGAGCGGTTCTTGCAGAGGATCGGTGGTGCGAAGTCCAAACCGCTGGCTGCTGCATTGTCGAAGAACAAGTCTATCCTATCCGATGAAGAAGCCTCGGACGATGAGTCGGATGGCGGCGGCTACTACTCGGAAGACGATTTCGACATGGGTCGCCCTAGTCCAGTCTCTAAGGACGTCGAACGCCACCGAGTGTTATCCCGCTTGCAGCACGACTTCCTTGAAGTCGTTTCGTCCGGGTACAGGCCTGGGCTCATCCCCTTCGCGGCGCTGTCGTCTGTATCAGGTGGATTCAACCATACTTCCGACTTCGCCATCAGCGTCTCGATTCCTACCGTCAACCTGACGCGAATCATCCCCGCACAAGCACTTGTCGCCTGGGATCGACGGCTCCTCGGTGCCCCGAAAGCCCGCCATCTTGTCCTTCTCATCTCCGGCTTCGGCGCAGCGTATCCTGCAATAGCCAAGAACGGGGAGCCCGCGCAGAAAACGACGCAACTCCGTTTCCAGCTGGGGATCTGTAACCGGTACAAGCCGTCGAGAGAACACGCAGTGGAGGCGAACCGGACGTTTGGGTTGCTTGGCAAGGACGCGGAAGACGAACTGCGGGAGGCCCGTGAAGCGGCTCTGCGCGCGCGAGAGGCTGCGCTGTATGATGATCCGGATGCCTACATAGAAGACGATTCTGCGTTTCTGGATCCTGGACCGGAGGAAGAGCCTGATGATGACGATGACGGTCGCTTTGAGCGCTTCAGTTTGAGCAGCTCCCTCGAGTCACTACTGGACGCGCAGTTCGTCAAGCTCATTGCAATCCGGAGAAAGTACGGTGTCGGATGGGGCGGTGCGGAGATGATGTTTGGATATGTCGAACGAGAGCAGAGAAGTTTGGATGATGTTTGGAAAACATATCGGAAGGTGCGTGATGGCGTTTTTTCAGAGTGGGTGCCATTCTCATCTTCCGAGCCTAGCTTATTTTGGCTGCTGACGCCAGCGAGAAGGCTGAATTCCAAGCGGGGAAACTACCATACGATCCGCTCCAAGGTCAGGCTCAAGACAGCGAGATTAACCTTCCCTACACTGCTTTTTCTTACCTGATTCGGCGGCTGACGGTACGGTCCAACCCTCAGAGAGCTCTCGCGCTGAATGATCGCAGATCTGCACGCGTTACTGTCTTGTCTGTCACGACAAATTGGCTGCCGAGTATGAAGCTCTGAAGCCGTATGTCTGTGACCGACCGTTGTGCACTTACCAATACTATGCTCACAACCGAGGTGCTTCGCTTGAAGTATGTACACTGTTGTCTTTCACTGCGCTGTCCTCTGATCCAAAGCCAGTATGAAATCATCCACAATCCCGAAACAGTGGATCTGCTTGTGTCGTTGGCTTATAGTGCTGCCGCCGAAGGCGTGCTGGATCAGCCACTTCCTGTGGGCATGGCTTTGAAAGTTCCACTGCCGGAACAGAGCCGTGTGGTCACCGCACCGGTTTCCAATCATGTCCGAGGAACACAACAGCCGGAGACGCAGTCTACTTCGCCCGTGGGCGTTAGCCATTACAAAATGGATTTAGATGGATTAATCGACTTCGATACGATGACAGTGCCACATGTAAGGATTCCAGCTGGTTTGTTTCTGTGACGCTCACCAAGGGCTAGATGCGTGCTAGCATCGCCGCGTTGATTGATTCGCTGCCCTCCATCGAAGACATGAAGTAAGCCTCTGTGCTTCGCCGGTTGTTCTTGCTTTCGGGCTGATGCTCGACAAATAGCCGGCACCTCCTGCGCAAAGTGAAACCCGGGAAATCGAAGCCGCGACTGAAAGACATGTTAGATGGTCAGGTGTTGCCTGCTGCGTGGTCGATTCTGCGGTGGTGTATTGCGTCCTGTACTGCGTACTTGGAGGATATGTCGTCCTCTGGAGAGCAGCTGATCCAGGGTGTCGGTAAGTGTTGCCCATGCTATATTGATCCTCGATGACGACCGGAATAGATCCATCTTGGCGCCAGTTCAGGTTCAGCGTTGGCGCGCCAGATGCTGAAGCCAAGTTCCAGAAGGCACTCAGTCACGCTACCGCGACAGATCACAATGCCAAGAAGTACCCGAGCCTGTATGCGTTCCACGGATCTGCTTTGCGTAACTGGCACTCCATCGTGCGCCACGGCCTGTGGTTCAAGTCGGTTGCTAACGGACGGGCGTTTGGCGATGGTGTGTACCTGGCGAAGGAAGCCCAGACGTCGATGGGCACCTACGCTCAGGGCGGGCGGGCCTGTTGGCGCAAGAGCAAGCTCGCCCCGTCGAGCTGCGTCGCCATTGCCGAGGTAGTGAATCTCCCGCACCAGTTTGTAAGCTTCAACCCGCATTTCGTGATCAAAGACACAGAGTGGATCGTTTGGTACGTCGTTTCGGCTCTGCTCCTCCTCGTCTAATGTTGAATTTCATCGATGATAGTCGGTATCTGCTAGTCAAAGCTTTGGAACCTCACGAATCCCGCACAAAGACGAACAAGGCGATCCCCTTGGTCAAGATCGATCCGGCCCAGACCATCACCATGCAGAATCAGCCACTGAAGTTGCCGCAGCCGGGGTACCAGATTGCTGAGCTCGTTCAGCAGCGACAGCGCGAACTTATCGACGAGCCTCACGACGACACGGACTACTTTGTGTTCTCCGACCACAAGCCTCCTGCACCCGTCGTCAAAGCGGTCGAGATCAGTGACGAGGAGTATGAACCTGTGATCATCGTCCGTTCCAAGGGCAAAGCACCCGTGGCGAAAGGCCCGCCAGCGGACGATTGGCAACACGATGAGGATTATGTTCGTCGGACCATCGAGCTTCTGATGCCGCCACCGTTCGAGTCGTCATCGTCTGCGTCGATGGCTGTCCAGCGGGAGCTCAAGGGCGTGCTCAGAGAGCAGGAGAAGGCGATGAAGAGTCCGGAGGGACTGAGAGGACTGGGCTGGTATCTTCCGCAGGACCTCATGGGAGACAATCTGTTCCAGTGGATCGTCGAGATGCATTCTTTCGAATCGTCACTGCCCATCGCACAGGATATGAAGGCCGCGTGAGTGCTGTTGCGTGTACGTTTCCGGCAATGCTGAGCTCTAGCTACAGAGGCATCAACTCGCTGATATTTGAGATTCGGTTTCCGCCGACATATCCCATCGGCCCACCGTTCTTCCGCATTATCACACCCCGATTCTTGCCTTTCATCAATGGCGGCGGGGGTCATGTCACTGGAGGAGGATCAATTTGCATGGATCTGCTGACAGCGGATAACTGGATGCCGACTTACAGGTGCGCGCTTCAGTTTTCACGCATCCGACACCTACTGATTATCTACCTACCACAGCATACCTGCCGTGCTCATGCAAATCCGACTGGCCATTTCCAATCTGGATCCTCGACCTGCCCGACTAGCCCCCAACTGGAAGCTGTAAGGCTGTCTGCGCTTCATTTCGGGCACGTGCTTATCTTATTTAGCGCATACTCGCCATCCGAAGCGTTGGCTGGATTCAAGCGCGCCGCTGCGACGCACGGCTGGACGGTGAGTCATGTGGCTGCTGTCCAACCCTTCTTTGGCTCATTCGTTGACAGCTCCCTGCCGGATTGGACAAATTGGTGCAGTAGAGCGTGGACCTCATCGCATATATATCAATATCGTTTTCTATCTTGTCTCCACCACGCAATCCGCTTTGTACTGCATTCCATCAATCTACTTTTGCCGTCCGCAGTTTAGCTGTGCTGATGCTGTGAAGCCAAGCAGCGTGCTCTGGTCTTGAGTGACGTCTTGCGCTTGGCTAGTGTGCTTCCATGTATGTAACCGGCTCTGGTATAAAGTCTGTAGATGCGTGTGACGCTCTAGGTCCGACCCTCTACTAGTATGCACCCAACTGTCATCTCAACACCAGTCGTCAAGACGCCCTGCATGGATCCGTATCGCGTCGACAGCGAGAAGACCCGGGCAGGGGCGGGGACGGGGACGGGGGCAGACGAGGATTGCGAGTCGGCAGACTTCGACCACACGGGCCATCGTCATCAGCATCGTCATCACCACCCTCGTGGATGCGCCAGAAAGCGCCTCAGACGTGCGATGACAGTAGCCGCCCTCGTGCTGTTAGTGTGTGCAGCCTTGTTCGCCGCGTACTGCTGGCTCGGAGACGCTGCTGTGGGCGTCGAGGATGTGCTCGAGGAAGGCGGGTGGTTCTTCAAGCGCGCGCTGGGCGGAACCGACACGACCGGTGGGAGTGGGGGCCAGTCGGCGTTCACGCGGCGGAAACGTGAGCACACTTAATGACATCATCGTTATGGATCACCCGTTGACGTGGGTTCCGTGCCCTAGTCTACCTCATTGTCGTGTTCGTCGGGCTATTCCTGGTGCTTGTTATGGGGATCATGCTCTCCGCGTGGTGCTGCAAAGGTAGGCTGGATGCTAGCCAAGTTCGAGTCTGGGCGTTAACTGATTCACGCAGGGTCATTCGAGAATCCGCTGTGCTGCCCGTGCTATCTCTGTGCGTGTTGCGGAGGACTGGGTGAGTGCAGCTTGTTGGTGTCCTCTTGCCGTTATTTCCACTGACACATGGTCACAGCATGTTTAGAGTGTGTCGGATGTGGACTTTGTGCCGAGGGAGTAGATCAGATGTAGTAACTCTTGTATGGCTCGCATCCACCAAGGATGTGGATCGTGTCATTAGATGTGCTTTTCGAAAAGTCTGCCGTCACATTGAAGCAGTCGCGATCACACGCAGTCAGAGCGTGGTGCCTGCAGGCTGGTATAGCTTCATGCCACGTGTATTTAGCTTCAACAGCCACACGATACGGTTTCATCTCCTGCTCACCGATAACAAACCGTCCCCAGGTACCACCCATCAGTCACCTTCCAAGTTCGGACCATCGGCGTTGAGGTTGCTGTCGCGTGTTTGTCCGTGATCGCAAGTGTGTGGGCTGCCGCAGTTGGCTATCACCCCCACCCCAGCCCACCATGCCCTCCAGCGAGGAAGTCAAGCTGCTCGAGGGCGTCGCCGTGCGCCAGCACCGCTTCCGGCTCTCCGTGCCCGCCGCCAACGACGGCGAGCCACTGAGCACGGGCGGCATGACAGGAACGGTGCGTGTGCCACCTCTCCCCTGGCAGGGCGCGCCGCGACGTGTCTCACGCCCGCAGATCGTCCCCCCGTCGCACAGGGCCTCCCGGTACAAAGAGAAGTGCGTCGTGACGCGTGCGGTGCGGGATGTCGCCGGGCTGACGAGCAGTGGTCGCGGTTGCTAGGTTTCACGCGCTGAGGGAGAAGTACACGCGGGTCACAGCTGTGAGTCGTGCTGATTGCTGTCGTGTGGTCTGGTTTACCGATGTGGGTGCTAGCAACGAGCTACATTCGAGTCGGAGCTGGACGTCGCCAACGCCAAGCTCGCGAAACTGCAAGCAGAGAACGAGTGAGTGGACAGTGACTCTGCCTCGGAAGCGGCTTGGATCAAGCACAATTTAGCATGCTCCTCGACGCATTGTGTCTGGCAGGGAACAATCCGTCTAGCTCTCTGTTTGGAGCATTTGCCTCTTCGCCAAAGTTGGAATCGAGGGAGTTGCCGCCAACAGATGTTGATGCACTGAGCCGCACGAATGGAAAGGAGCGTGCGTATGGGCACAATGGGCATACAAACCCTAATCAGATAGTCAATGGGGAACATCCATAACAGGTTCACATGTGCATTGAGAAACTTGGTCAAAGTCACATTGAGCACACGCGAGGGGATGAGAAAAGTCCCAGAAAAGCTAAATTTCTACACTACTGTACAACATATCTAATTTCCGACCGCGTGGGGAGCGAATCAAGCCAAGAGCTGAGCAAGAGACAGAGCAGGGCTGGACGGTCCCAACGTGGGGGCGGCATTCTAGTCCAGATGAGAACAAAGCTCGGAAAAACGGATAGCACGCACCGTGAAGACAGGTCCAAGTACCTTGAACGAGGCCAGTACCTGGGACGACACCTTACCGGACGAGTTGATTCCATTGTACGCCGTCTGGAACGAGGTCAGGGCCGCGTTCATGCTCTTGATTTGGCTCAGGCTGAAGGCCGTGCGGGACATGTTCTGGATGCATCCGTCAGTCGTCTGAGTCGTGCAGAAGTGCGGGTCATACAATGCTGTTCACTGAAGTGTAGAACGCCTGGATGAAGGGCCCAAGTTTCTGCACAACAGCCTATGCAGGGAGGATACCAGTCAGAAGGTAGCATCCAAAGAAGTCGGAGCGACAACAAACCTGGGAAGCCGCAGCCGAGGTGTACGAGAGAGTCGGCAAGACTTTGATCATCCTCACAAGGTCTGCAGCGCCTTCCTCGACACCCCTCACGAGGGAAGAAGCGCTCGATGAGTCTGAGCCCGACAAAGCCGCATTCGCAGCAGCGTTGGCGGCGACGTTGGCAGCGCCGCTAGTCGCTGCGAGGGACGACTGAGCACCGGCGGCAGCAGCGACTGCATTGGCGGGGACTGGCGCGACGACTTGCTTGGCCGTGCCCACGACGGACGAGGCAGCAGGCGCAATGGACGAGGCGACACCGTAGATAAGAGAGGCGGCGCCAGACGCAGCAGATGAAGCGGCAGGCACAACAGCATTGGCGGCATGAATAGCCGCGCCTGCAGCAGACGAGGGGATAGGAACAATCGAGGACACCACGCCTTTGGCCGATCCGACGATTGAAGATGCGGCTGGCGCGATCGAAGACGCAGCGCCTCCCACGACAGAAGCTGCACTGCCCGCTTGTGCAGCAGCAGGTGAGACGACTGCGTTGTTGACGGAGGGAACAACGTTCTTCGCTGCACCGCCGACACGGTTTACACCGGACGCGGCGGCAGACGCTTGCTGAACAGCCGCGGCGACGAAGCCAGAGTTGTTCGAAGAGGAAGGCGTGATCGTGCCAGAGCAGACGGATGCTGTCTGGGTGACGGTGACGGTGACGGTCGCTGCAGCAGCGGCGTCGGCGCCGCTGTTCCCGAGGACCAGATTGGCGGCAGCCAGAGGGACAACAGACAGCACAGCCAGAGGAGCAAATCTTGTAAGCATATTGAAGCTGATGAGGGTAATAGCTGAGGATGAAAGTTCGTCAAGGGATGAAGAGAGCTCGTGAGATGTCGTGTGGGTCGTGAGAGGGTAAGCTGATTGCTTATCGTTGAAGAACGCCAGCCAGCCTTTTATTCCTCGGGAGAAAGGAGCGGTGTACTCAGACATAAGAATGTCTCCTCGTTAAAAGTGGAGCCGCGAGACTTCCGGCCAAGTTCACATTTCCGGGATGAAACAGAGTTTTTGACAGAGGTCGGAAAGGCTGAAACCGAGAGGGAGAGTGTCTTTGGGGCCCCTAATTCACCGATTAAATATCAGCGTGGTAGGAAAATACATCGCGATGCTCAATTCGAGGCTCCAGGGCCTGGAGGCGAGAGACGAGGGTCCCGATTGCCTAATCAGCATCATCTTTCCGAGATGTTCTATGTGGCTATGCCGTGATGCAACAGTTGCCGAAGGGCCAGGCGTTCAGCCGCAGACAAGCCGATGCAAACAAAAACTGCGCTCACCACACACCATCATGCAAGTCGACAACCCAATATCCCAACCATCGCTGTTCGCACCATCGTTCAGCACCGAATACTCGCTAGATCTCAGCGATATCTTCCATAACGACCTCTTCGCTTCGGTGCCCTCCGGCTCCACCGCGGCCTCGTCCTCTTCCCCCTCTTCATCCCGCGCCACGACCCCCAGTGTCCTCACACCCCCTCAGGCCACTCTGGACACCTCTTTCCCCGACATCCACGATGGAACCAGCCCGGGAAGCCTGCTCGGCTTCATGGACGAGGACATCAAATCCTTCGATCCTATGTCTATGCTGAATGCCACTGCCTCCAACCCGTATGCTTTCCTCAGCGCCTTCGGTAGTGGAAATGCCACCGCCTCGTCATCTGCACCCGGCTCTACGGAGCTGGATGGTCTCTTTGCTATCGACCCCCAACTGGTCGATTCGCCTGCACCAGCAGTCATGACCGATTTCGAAGAAAGCGCATCGCCGGAGTCGTTGTCCATGTCTCCCTCGGCCGACGATGAAGAGGATTTGGCATCTACGACCATCGTTCCCGTCAAGGTCGGAGGTCACGGCAAAGGCCGAAAGGGCACGGTCGCTAGCGGGGGTGTGAAAAAAGCCACTGCCGCTGTGACTGCTGCACCGAACAAAGAGAACGCCGTCACATTCCACCCATCGATGCTGCTGCCACGCAAGAAGGACGGCTTCGATGATGATGACGACGAGCACGAGTTGCCGGAAGACTGGCGTCCGCCTCCCGAGGTGTTCCAGAAGATGACCAGCAAGGAGAAACGTCAGCTGCGCAACAAAATCAGCGCACGTAACTTCCGTGTCCGCCGAAAGGGTACGTCGTCAACTCTCTTTCCTCATGATAATTGTCAACTGATTGTTATCCCAAGAATATATTTCTACGCTGGAGGATAACATTGCTGAACGTGACCGGCTTCTTACGGCCATCCGCGCCGAACTTGGCAGCTCTCAGAGCGAGAACGTTGCCTTGCGGCAGGAAATTGCCACGCTGAAGCGGACGTTGCTGGAGAATCGTGGGCCTGCCCCCGTTCTACCTCCCCCCGCACCGCTTTCACCGTCGGTGCCGGCAGCGTCCCCTTCTATCGCCGCTCTTTCATCCCCATCAATCGCTTCTACCTCCAGTGGTCGAGGCTCCCCATTGCCCACGCCCATACTCACAAGGACCTGGCTGCCAACTCCCGATTCTGGGGTGGCGTGTCCTCGTCTTTGGGTGGCGGATTCACCAGCGTGCATACTGTCACCATTCCGGATCTGTTGGGTGCCAATCCGTTCGCTTCGAGTCCATTCGCCAGTGCCCTGCCTGCAGTTAAGGAGGTTCGCACCATTCCATCTTATCAATCTGAACATCTTCTGAACGCACAACAGCAAGAGAACCTCAATCCGGCACTCAATGGAATCAAACCATCAGAGGTCTTACGCAGCGGACTCGGTCTTGGTGCGGGCACTGGTGCTCCGACTTCCAGCGGCGATGCATTCGGAGACGTCAACCCGTTCACTGTTCGCAATCTCGATTCGTACGTCCCACATCTTTGATGCTTGCAATCGCCCGTTATAAACTGTTTGACAGGTACAGGATGCATCTATGGGAACGTATGGCTGCTCAGTACAAGTACAACAACGAGCTTCCATCCAAGACGCACTTGCCAACGCTTCCCCCGCTCACTGGATTGGCCAGTCGGATGCCAACGAAACACTTCCAGTCCCCGTCGACGAATGCCAACTCGCTTTCGTCCGCTATGTCTGGCATGTCATTGTCTGGCAAACCCAGTGGCAGTACTCCCTCTGTGCATCAACGCTCCCTGGAGAAACAGCGGGCCGACGCCGAGGTCGCGCAGACTGCTATGTACACTGCGATGGCCAGTCAGACTCTCCTGAAACGACTCGGTGGAGCGTTCTGGGACGCCTTCTCTGGAAACGAGAACTCTCCTTCGCGATTGGCTGCACCGAAGCTCGATGCAGACAAAGTGCGCAGAGTCCTCGATGGCACAGCTGTCCTCAAGGTTGTCGATGTCGATCCTCCGTCTCCGAAAGTCCAGTCGTCGGCGAAGACCGCCGTGCCCGTCGCGTGCACATACAGCCTAAATATGGCGTCCATGCTCGAGGAAAGCATGCGTTCGCTCAGTCTCGGAAAGAAGTCTCAGTAGTCTTGTTATGTCAGCCATATGTGCCACCACATCCATCACTCTCCTTCCCTCCTCGCAGTGCTTTGACGAACCGATTTGTTTGTCAGATCCCAACCCATTTTCGGACCCCCAGCATTCCAAATCCACTCCCTTATTCAAGCGAAACTGTATATATACTTATTAGATCGTCAGCTATCCTGTGTAGCTTGGATAATACTCGATACTCATTGCAATGTTGATCGTTGAAACGCCGAGAAGGCCAAATCTTTCTGCCTTCCGAGAAAGGAAGCCTCTGCATCCGGATAAGGAAGCCAAGTCCTTCATTTGAGTGTGACGACGACCCTGCAAAGACGCGCTACTGACTTTGAACCCTGAGCAAAGATTAACCCACTTCTTTCTGAATTCAAGTTGGCACAGATCTGGGCAGACGCAATCATCTGCTGCAGCAATCATCAGATGGACTCCCGGTTCGACTCGGAAACCATCGAACTTCGAAGACTCTCAACTCGGCCATGTCAAACGGGGACATTCTTCACCATCCTGCGGTTGCATGATCCACATGGGGCTGCCACTGCGGGCTCGCACACATCACCCGGCTTTTCTCATCCCACAATGGCTTCCAGCACTTGGGTGCCCCAGCGCTCTGTCGCAGAGAGTACGTCGCCCGTCCGCGCGTCCTTCAGTTGCATCCGTGTCTCACGACCGCTCTCTCTTTCTCTTTCCCTCCCTTTCGCTTTCGCTCAGCGCAAGCTATTCTCGACGCTCCCGGTGGGTGGCCCCGCGCGCTCTCACGCGGTGCGCAAGCTTACAGACGATTGCACAGAATCGCTACTGGAGACGGAGACGCGTGTGATCGACAACAAGGTGCAGCGGGTGTACAAGAAGCTCTGGCCGACCATCCGAGACTTCTGGCTGTGGTCCGCTGCGAGGACGGGCAATGCCGTGCGTGGTGTGGCGCTCTATGCGGCGAAATCGCGTCTCATGATGTCGCACTCAGGACAAGACGTATGTCGTCTTCGAGAAACAGCGGTACACGTACCAGCAGATGTTCGACCGGTCGGTGAAGGCCGCGGCGGTCTTCCGGGATGTGTATGGAATTAAGAAAGGTGTGTGCTAGAGATGTCTACTGTCCGTGCTGATGTGGGGCTAGGGGACAAGGTAGCCATCTGCTCGCGCAACAATCCAGAGTACCTCGTCGCCTTCTGGGCTTGTCGTAGGTCAAGTCGCGGCTCACGGTAAACTCTGCTTCACACTTTCACAGACTTCCTGGGAGCCATAACCGTACTGGTCAACGCGTCAGTGCTGGAGATTTTCCCACGCTATATGCATGCTCAATACATCTCGACTACAGCTGGCTGCCGACTACTCCATTGCTGCATTGCTTCACTCTGACTGAATGCAAGCTCGTCATGCTTGACGCTGAACGCGCGGATCTGCTCGAGCCAGGGGTCAAGCAGCTAGGTGCGGCGGGCACGGTCGTCATCGACAGCCATGAGGGCAAGGCAGCTGGGATGGGATGGCTTCCTGGAATGCTGTGATGGATCGCTATACTGGGGACGCTCGCTCTGTCTTGGCCACGAAAGTAGAGCTTCTGCCGGAAGACGACGCGGTTATCTTTTTCACTTCGGTGCGTTCTCATGCCCAAGGCGGTCGTGTTATCAGCTGACGGCTTGCGACAGGGAGTATGTCCTCATTTTGCTTTCAGATGCCGAGCTTACCATGGTCCCAGACTACAGGATTACCCAGTATGTGGGCCGCCATCTCGCCAAGTTTGAAGCTAAACGTTGTGGATAGAGGGAGTGCTCAGCACCCATCGCCAATACATGACCAACACCTTGACTGTGCGATACCCCTGTGTTCTGTGTGACAGCCAGCTTACACGGGCAACAGGCTTTCTCGGCCCGAGCCCGATGCATGGTGCGACGCGGTGAAGCGATGCCGGTCCTAGATCCGAACGCGTCGCAACAAGTAATGCTTGCACCGAGTCCATTCTTCCATGTCGTGGTAAGCGCTCCCGTGAAACTCGTTTGCTGAAAGCCATTGACACCTTGTCAGGGTGTGAGTCATACTAGTCGTCGGCCTTTCCTTCCCCGGGATGCTAACGCCCGAACAGTTAACAACATTAGTGGTCCGTCTGCAGAGTTGAAATGGTTTCGAACGCCGATGAACTGTCCTTGCGCAGATGATAGGGACCTTTAGCGGGGCGAAGCTCGTTCTGATCCGTAAATGGAATGTCAAGGAAGCCATTCGGTTCGTCTATCCCCGCAGCTTCGGCCTCCATGACCCACTCATCACACCTACACTTGACAGTCTCGCCGTGGCGGAGAATGTCAACTACTTTGGCGGGTGCGTTTCGTGACTAGATGCGCCCGAGGGTGTTATGATATCCGCTAGCGTCCCGTCCCTCTCCGCAGATATTATCGAAAGTGAACTGAGCAAAATGGGAATCGCGCTTGATACCTTGGCGCTCGGTGGGGCGGCTGTGCTGCGGAACTGGCTAAGCGAGCGCATGCGGCCTTCC